TGGTGGTGTTGCCGCCGCCGCCGCCGCCTTCACAGGAGTAAATTTTTGCATTTTTACCTCGATACACGATTCCAATTAAGGGTTAAACACGATAATGATAATAAAAAATAAGTAAAAGCCAAGGCTCGTGACACGTTAAGGCTACGTTTAAAATTCATAATTGCTATATAACCTTCAATCCGTTTGAGAAGTTAAAACAAAAAAAAAATAATAATAATAAAGATACGATATTATGATAATTATATGGAGAAGAAGTAGAAGTGGAAGGAGAAGAAGTAGTGGAAGAAGAAGAAAAATAAAATTATTTGTTTTTCTTTTTTCTTTTGTCACATTGAATTTGCTTTGTGTACTTCATTTTAAGAATAAAAATATAAAAAGAGACGGAAACGTTTGTTTGTGTTTCCCTCTCTCTCTTTCTCTCTCTCTCTCGCTCTCTCTCTCTCGCTCTCCAAGGTTTCATATATTTTTTTTTTTTTTGTCGTTAACATTGTACAAAAAATTACCATTCGGGTTTTTTTTTTTTTTTTTGTACTTCAGTTAATTTATTATTATTATTATTATTATTATTTTACACGTAAAAGCTCAAATGTTAATAAAAAAAATTATTTGTGTAAATATTTATTTATTAATAATAATAATAGAAATTATTATCGTAAAGGTTTATTTATTTTATACTTTATTGTATTTTTACGTAAAAGGTTTTTTTTACAAATAATTTTCGTAGCCTTTGACCCCCCCGCCCCCCCGACATCCTCCACATATTGATTGATTTAAGCTTAACGAAGAAACGGGTTTGGAACGAACAAAGTTTTATCGTTTTTTATAATTAGCATTATTATTATTATTATTGTAATTGTCATTATCATTATCATTACTATTATCATCACTCATACGTAAATACGATGGAAAAAATTATTTTACGTAAAGGAAAAGAAAGAAAGAAAGAAGGAAAAACGTGGAATTTTTTTTTTTCGAACTCGGGGTTGATCGATTACGTCATCAAATGGAAAAAACGATTTTTTTGATCAATTAGGGTGATGGCGTTACGCGTGTGAATGTACGTGGGTATGTACGTGCAAAAATTGGTACCACTGGAAAATGGCACATCGGGTCACGATCGGATAATAATAATTTTTATCACTAACGGGAAGTATAAAGATAAAAAAAAAAATTCTCATCTCGCTGATAAGAATTGTACCTTATGTAATGCCCATACCTCGAGCACTACATAACGACGTTATTTTTTTTTAATGGAGTACCTGAGTACCTGCTACTACCATTTCTTCACGACGACGACAACACTATTAAATAATTTTTTTATTATTATCTTTCAATCGAAAGTCTTAAATTTTTTTTTTTACTTTTTTTTACACGACGAGATTCTTTAAAAAAAAAAAAAAAACTCGACGCCTTTTAATTACTTTCAATTAAAAAACAAAATGGCGACGATTTCAAAATGGCGACTATTTTTTTCTAAGGTTTTTGAATTATTTATTTTTATTTTTATTTTTATTATTTCTATTAACCTTTTGCCTGCGCGCGCACACGCACACTTTGATTTATTATTATTATTTTAATTTTACGTTCGCCATCTTTTATTTATTTATTTATTAATTTTTCGTGACGTCAGGTGTGATTTTAATTAATTTTTTTTTCACTTCTGCTCTTTGTTACGTAATTTTTATATCTTCGATGGCCGACGATTGGTTTTTATTTTTTTTAATTTATATCAATCGTTGTTGTCACACTTCCGCCATCACGTGTGTGCACGTGTGTCAATATATGTGTCGTAGGTATATATGGTCAGTAATGAGAATATATCGATTTGTAAAAATTAACCAACCGTATGCGTTGATGATGACGATGTACACCCACCTGTTGAGATGGTGGAACTTGACCTAGTTAAACGATTGACGACAAACACACAAACACAAAAGGTGTAAAATATCAATATTTTGCAATATTATTAATATTATTATTATTATTATCAATCAATCAATCATTCAGTCAATATAAATTTATTCATGTTTAATTAGGTCAAAGTTCAAAAAAGGGTGGAAAAAAAATTAATTAATTTGTTTTACGTTTAATAGATTTTTTTTTTTCTCTCAATTAATTTATAAAAAAAAAAAATTTTGCAACAACAAGATGCATAAATTTAAAGTTTTTTTTTGAATTGTACCTCACACGTGTGCGCGCACGTATGCACGTGCACAAAAACGTAACGCTTTATTTGTTTTTATTAACTTAAAAATTTTTTAAATTATTTCTTTCTTTCATTTTTTTTTTCTTTTTCTATCTTTTTCTCGTTACATTATTTATTTTGTTATTTTATTTTTATGTAATCTCACCTTTCTAGAAATGTTTAGAATGCCGCATTTGGATTACTCGTCGTATTTTTAGAAATAATAATAATAATAATAATAATAATAATAATAATAATAATAATAAAATTCAAACGCTCTCTTTCCCCCCCCCCCCCCTATTAATCTTTTAAATTATTTTGTTTTTGTTTTTGTAATACGAGTTTTTTTTTTTTTTGTTTTTTAATTAATGGATAATTACGTCGTCGTAATTAAATAATATATTATGTAGAGAGAGAAAGACTGAGAGAGAGAGAGAGAGAGTGCATTGTTTTTATTTTTTTTTATTGCTTTTTATCTTGTTTTTTCTTTTTTTTTTTTTTTTGGTTTTGTCCGTTTTTGTAAGAAAAAAAAAAAAAAGGGCGCGTAATGATGTTGTATTACGTATTAAAAAAAAAAAAAATACGCGGGGAGGTAAAACCCATGACGTCATTTTTTAAAAACTCTATTTCGATTGAACCGATAATAATAATAATAAGAATAATGTCAGTAAATTTTTTTTTTTCATATTAAAATTTTAATAGTAACTAATTGACCGCAACAACAAATTGACAAAATTATATACGTTAAATTTAGTATTTAATTATTCGCACCGATGTTTCTAAATAATAATAATAATAATAATAATAATAATAATAGTATCGTACGATTTAAATCTCGATTTGAATTTTCATTCATTCACCCTACGGTCATTAATTATTTATTTATTTATTTATATAAATTTTCCACCGATAAATTTATTCAGTTCCTGTTTCCTAAAAAAAAAAATTTTTTATACTTATTTACCATAGTTTTATTATTATTATTATTATTATTATTATTATTATTATTATTATTATTATTATTATTGATATTACGTAACGTTAGTGTTACATTAAGTTTTAAAAAGTAAAGAAAAAGATAGGCTTCGAAGCAGTTCAAAAAAAAAAAATTTAATTTAATTTAAAAAAAAAAAAAAATGGCATTTTTCTAGTCGTATAATAAAATTACATCAGAGTTTTCCATTTTTATTATTATTATTATTATTATATATATATTTTTCAAAAGAAAATGAAAAAAATGAAACAACGTCTCTGGAAAATTTCTAACATGAAAGCGTTCTCATTAATTGAAGGTTAAATGGTGTGATTATTTTATTATGTTTGATTTTGTCGCCAAAAAAAAAAAAAAAAAAAAAAAAGAAAAAATTTCTCTTCGGGTTACGACATTTTAATTTGAATCATTACGACAAATTTTCCTAAAATAATGAGTGCGATGAGTGTAAAAGTGCGTGAGTGCGTAAAAGAATATTAGACCGAAGGTTTGTCGTCTCGCAAATACCTTCTTTTTGCTCGATGATGCGTGTCTTTTTTTTTTTTTTCCATCCTCCGGTTGGTTTGATACTCTATGAAAAAATTATTTCGTGCGAAGTAATAATAATAATAATAATTAAGAACTTTCGCGTGAAATTTTTTTTTTTTTTTTCTTACAAAATTCATGTAATTAAACGTTGGGTGTCATCAATTTCCAAGTAATGAATAACCGTCGTGTGGAATTAACATGCGTAACGACGACTTTTATTATTATTATTATTATTATTATTATTATTTATTTTTGTACTTTTCTACTTACTTGTACCTTGAGTAATAATAATAATAATAATTTTTTTGACGTTTGTAATGTTTATGAAAAAAAAGAAAGAACCTTTTTGTAATGGTTAATAATTTTATGACTACTTACCTGACTACCTACCTACCTACCTGTTTGTTGTAACGCTTGTGATTTAGACTTTGACTCAATTGAAAGAAGGAAGAAAGGAAGGAAGCGTACCTGTGCCTGTCTGTTTGCAATTCTTTATAATTAATTTTTTTTTTTTTTTTTTATGCATTTAAAGGTGTCAATTTTTTACGTGGAGTTTGTCAATAAGATGATTATTACTCCTTATTATTATTATTATTATTATTATTTGTAAAATTTTAATTAGCATTTAAATATATGTGTGGTGGGGGGTTCAAGGTTTTTGTTAGCATAAGTTGTCTTTGTCAGAAAAAGGTTAAATTAGAAAACAACACAAATTAATAATAATAATATTTATTTTGTTTGCAGAGATAGCGAAATTCACAACATGCACGACAATCCAGCATACGACGGAAGTCGTGAAAATCTTTCCGGACCGGATGTGACAGCCAGAGCACATCCTCCTCCGTTACAAACGCAATTAAGCACGGTACACACGAGGAGACAACAAGCCGTTTGCGTGAGGCATGCTTTTAAGCATTACGGGTCGAACAAAAAACCAAATCATGTACTTAGTAACTTAAACATGACCGTTGCCAAAGGTACAATGTAAGTAAATCGTTAATTTTTTTATTACGGGGGGGGGGCGGGGGTTGGAACGATTCGCGTCTCGTGTTATTTATTTAAAAAAAAAAAATAATAATAATAATAATATTTACAGATACGGTTTGTTGGGAGCTTCTGGCTGTGGTAAAACGACTCTATTAAGTTGTATCGTGGGAAGGCGTAGGTTAAATACTGGAGAAATTTGGGTTTTAGGTGGTAAACCCGGAACGAAAGGTAGCGGAGTACCTGGCAAAAGAGTGGGTTACATGCCTCAGGTGAGAAAATGATATAATTATTATTATTATTATTATTATTATTATTATGCGTTACGTCCGTTTTGTTTTGTTTTAACGATGGGAAAATTTTGGAATTTTGAATAGGAAATTGCTCTGTATGGAGAATTTTCGATAAAAGAAACCATGATGTATTTCGGTTGGATTTTCGGCATGGAAACCGATGAAATAAACGATAGACTTCAATTTTTGCTCAATTTTCTCGACCTTCCGAGTGAAAACAGACTTGTTAAAAATCTTAGGTGAGATATAAACGTAAAAAACCACGCGATGATCATTCGGCCATCTTTTTTTTTTTTTTTTTAAATTTTTTATCGTTTTTTTCCTTAAAGTGGCGGACAACAAAGAAGGGTTTCATTTGCTGTTGCTTTGATGCACGATCCGGAGCTTTTAATTCTGGATGAACCGACTGTCGGAGTCGATCCTCTTCTCCGTCAAAGCATATGGACTCATTTAGTTCAAATAACAAAAGATGGTAACAAAACCGTCATAATAACAACGCATTACATAGAAGAAGCTCGTCAAGCGCACACGGTAATATTAATTATGACGACAGCATGACGTCATATATCGTCGAAACGACGTCATTTCATTATGAGATCATATATTTTTATAGATAGGACTTATGAGAAGTGGACGATTGTTAGCAGAAGAATCTCCCCAAGTTTTGTTGACAATGTACGGTTGTCAATCGTTGGAAGAAGTTTTTCTTAAATTATCAAGAAAACAAGGTTCGAACAATGATAATAATCAACAGGGAGATTTAAACATATCAAATAACATATCACTAGTTAGTACGAATTTCATTTTTTTTAAAATTAATTTTATTTTCGAGACATTTTAATAATTCGATTGTTTTCCCCCCGCTCCCGCTCCTGCCCCCCCCCCCCCATTCAGGCTTCACTTCATTGGTCTAAAAAGAATGCAATTTACGTAACGGAAGAAAGCGGAGTCGTCGGATTAAATTTTCATCAATCTAAAGAAGCCTTACACAATAATTACGAACATTCAAACGGAATGGGAAATGTACATTTGGATGTGAGTTTTATATTATTTAAGGTTTTCCGTGACCAAAAAAAAAAAAAGGTTTATCTCCTGTAAATTTATAAATTTTAGATTAAAACGATCGGATCTAAAGCAAGTAGAGCAATGGATATAGATTGCGACGATTGTGGAAACGTGGCAGATTGTTGTAAAATAACAACCAAAGGAAAAATAAGAGCACTGTTGCAAAAGAACTTTTTAAGAATGTGGAGAAACGTCGGGTAAGCTAACGACGCGAAAGAGAAAGAAACGGAAAAAAAGATGGCGGAAATAAAAAAAAAAAAAACATTAATTATTATTATTATTATTATTAATTTCAGAGTCATGTTATTTATATTTGCATTGCCAGTCATGCAAGTTATTTTATTTTGCCTTGCCATCGGTAGAGATCCAACGGGATTAAAATTAGCCATCGTTAATCACGAAATGGATTATTCGACAATGGAATGTCCATTTTCTAAAAATTGTAGTTTTGCTAATTTGAGTTGTCGATATCTAAGTCATCTCAACAATACAATAATAAAAGTTTGTTAACTTTTCTTTATTATTTTCCGAATCGGTCGCCATTTTGTTTTTATTTATATTCCCCCCCCTTTTTTTTTTTTTTTTTTTGTAAAAGGAATATTTCGAGACTCCGGAAGACGCGCTGGACGCTGTTAAATCGGGTGATGCATGGGGAGCTTTGTATTTTACGGAAAATTTCACGGATGCTCTCGTTGCTCGTATGGCATTGGGTAGAGATGCTGACGAAGAAACTTTGGATCAAAGTGAAATTCGAGTTTGGCTCGATATGTCGAGTGAGTGGAAATGGATTCGATTTTCATGAGTTTTACCTTATTATTATTATTATTATTATTATTATTATTATTATTTTTACATCATTCTGCTTTTTTTTTCAAGATCAACAAATCGGATTGATGTTAAATAGAGATTTACAATTAACATATCGTACGTTTGCTCAAGATGTGTTGACAGAGTGCGAACACAATCCGAAACTCGCAGACATTCCAATTCAGGTACGTTTTGGTTCGTTCATTTTTTTTTTTTTAACAAAAGGTTCCATAGCCATTTTAATTTGATTTTTTTTCCAGTTCAAAGATCCCATTTACGGTAGTTCGGATCCGAGTTTTACGGATTTCGTTGCTCCCGGTGTCATATTGACGATAGTTTTCTTTTTGGCTGTCGCTTTAACATCGTCCGCATTGATTATCGAAAGAACGGAAGGATTGCTCGATAGGAGTTGGGTTGCTGGTACGTGACCTACACGTGACGCACACGCACACACACAATAGGATTATTTTTAAACGATTCCCTTGTCTTTTACAGGCGTCACTCCCGTCGAAATATTATTCTCACACGTCGTCACGCAATTTGTCGTCATGTGCGGTCAAACGGCTCTAGTACTCATATTCATGATTTGCGTTTTTCAAGTCGAATGCCACGGTCCTCTTCACTGGATAGTCATATTGACCATTTTACAGGGGTTGTGCGGAATGTGTTTCGGATTCGTCATATCCGCCATTTGCGAACTCGAAAGAAATGCCATACAATTGGCATTGGGAAGTTTTTATCCGACACTTTTGCTCAGCGGTAATCACGATTCTTCTTCTTCTTCTTGTTTTTTCGGGGGGGGGGAGGGGGAGTTTCAAATCTCTACTTATAAAATTTTTTTATCATTTTTATTGACAGGTGTGATTTGGCCGGTTGAAGGTATGCCCATTGTACTACGATACGTTAGTTTAGGTTTACCATTGACATTAGCAACGTCAGCCTTAAGGTCAATGTTGACAAGAGGTTGGGATATAATCGAACCGGATGTTTACAACGGTTTCATTGCCACAATAATATGGATTGTTATTTTCCTCACCATAAGTTTATTGGTATTGAAACTTAAAAGAGGATAAATTTAACATACATACATATTACATGACCATTATCATCATCATCATCATTACTATTTTTTTTTGTGTATTTAACGATAAGAATCGTAATTAAAAAAATAGTAATAATAATAATAATCAATTTGTTGTTGTTGTTTTTTTTTTTTATTAAAAAAAAAGAAAAAAACGTTATTTATTATTATTAATTCGTCGACGTTTTTTTTTGTAACGAAAGAAAAGAAAAAGGTTAAAGGTTACGATCGGCCATATTCTTTCCATTTTTTTTTTTATATTTATGGAAAAAACCGACATAAATCTATTTTTTTTTCGTTGTAAAAGACTTTTTTTATATTTCGCAATTATTTTAATTGATATATTCAGTCTGAAAAAATTAAAAATTAATTTAGATTAATTAGAATTTATTATTCTCTCTCTCTATCTCTCTCTCTCATTAAAATGTACAATCATAGCCGATTAAAAATTTTTTCTTTTAATAATAAAAAGAAAAAATATAAGGAAAATAAATTAGATTAGAATTATTTTCGTTAAGTTAAAAAATTTAATAAACGATCTATGATTGATTGATTGATTGATTGATATTTTTAAATGTCGTATCGATAAAATAATAATTTTAATAATTAATTATAATTATGTACTTTTTTTTGTAAAATAAGGTTGTGATAAATATATATATATATATATATGAGAGTTCACAAAATATCGATCCTCCATTGCTCAAAATAATTTAAGCCAGTGATATGATATATAAATATTATTTATAATAAATTAGATAATTGAATTAAATAATAACAATAATAATAATAATAATGGATAATCACGTGGCATAGAGGATCTAATTAATAAATAAAAATTATTTTATTCGTTTAAATAAATAAATAAATAAATAAATAAAAAAATTTTAAAATTGTGAAAAGGAATTTTGTTTCGTTGAAATAAAAAAAAAAAAAAAAAAAAAAAAAACAAATTAAATTAGTTTAGAATGAATGAATGATTGATTGATTGAATGAATGAATGATTTTAAATGTTTTATTATTGTTGAATGTAAACATGTCAATTTAAAATGTGTACACGCTCAATTTTAATAAATAAATAAAAAAAATATAATATATATATATTAAATTAGGTAAATGTTTTAATCGATTACTTATTAAATATATAAAAATTTTTATTTCTTAATAATTAATTATAATAAATATTTATTTAAAAAAAAAAAAATGATAATAATAATCGATAACATGTTTTTAGAAACATTGAAAATTTATTTTTCGAAAACGAATGAGTGATAAATTAATTTTTATCGCACACGAGAAAATATTAAAATTTAAAATAATAATAATAATAATAACAAGTACATAAGTTAATAAGTGATTAAAAATTGATATTTTTGTTTTAATTTTCTAAAATTGAATCGAGTAAATATTTAGGATTCGGTTCGAGAGACGTTTTAAAAACTTTAAATCCAAATTCGATTAATTGTTTTTCTGTTGTCGGACCGATTGCGACAAACTGAAAATGTACAGTTTAATTGCATAAGAAATTTTTAAAAAATATATATTTGTAATTTTTAACAAGTGTCACATACAAACCTTAATGAATTCAAAATTATAGTTTAATTTTTTTAATATTGGAATTGTATAATTAACACCAGATGGGCTAAAATATATGAAATATGCAGGCTTATCATTAATTTCTAATTTTAATTTTAATATGTTTTCTTCAAGATCTGAATGTGGTTTGGTTTTGTAAATTACTAAATCATCTACTTTAATATTATTTTTTTCTAGTTTGATTTTAAAATTTTTTTGTGTCAGTGATCCGATCAAATATAAAAATGGTTTTTCAAATGATTCTGGAAGAAGTAGTAGAAACAAATATATATAATTAGGTAAGCAGGCTATAAATTTTTGAATGTTTCCGATAAAAAATAAAATTACTTTTGCATATTAATTCTGCTAATGCATCACCATTCCCAGTTTCTTTTCCTCGAGTTATAAAACCTAAATCTTTAGCTAATTTTTCTGTTTTTTCTCCTATTACATAATTTGTATGATTTTTCCACTGGTTAATTATTTCTTTATTATCGTTATTATCAAGTGATAATTTCAATCCCAAAACACTCCTTGGACTCGTAAATATGATTCCTTAAAAGGGGGGAAAAAAAATTTTAAGTAAATACAAAAAAAAAAAAAGTAATTTTATTTAATTAAAAAAAAACCTGAATAATTTTTGTGATTATTTAATTTTATTGTCAATTCTTCAATATTAATAAAATCAAAATCTAAAACAGGTATTAGGATTGTGTTAAATCCTTTTGACAAAAAAGTTTCGTAATAAACATCATTTTCAACATTTTCTGTTTCTGATATCGACTTAAATAAAACTATTTGTTTACATTCATAATCATTCATTTTAATTCCGATACTACCAACTTATGAAAAAATTACTTTTTTAATAAAAGTTATTACTTTTAATAAATCATAGATGGCAGAGCTGTTCCTTCTTTTACCTTTGGCAGTTACTTTTTTAAAAAAATTCTTTTTTTACGTTAAATTTCTGTTTTGTTTTATTTTATAAAAAAAAAGATTTGGTGTACGATTTATTATTAATATAAAGAAGATATTACTTTTTGTAATCCGCGCACGCACACACACACGTCAATTTCTTTGCTACATTAGTCATAATCAATTATACGAAAAAGAACTAATGAAAGGTAGGGAATCCATTTTTGATTCTGAGATTTTCCTTAATTTTAATATCACTGTAGATATAATTATTGGTAGAAGATAGACGCCCAGTCTGTTGACGCCATACCTGTAGAAGACATCAGTTGCTGTCATATCTCTAGTAGAAGGCAGTTAATGTCATACCTGTAGAAGAAGCCACTTGATGTCATATCTCCAGTAGAAACCAGTTAATGTCATACCTGTAGTGGAAGCCAGTTAATGCAATACCTGTAGTAGAAGCCAGTTAGTGCCATACCTGTAGTGGAAGCTAGTTGATGTCATATCTCTAGTAGAAGCCAGTTAATGCAATACCTGTAGTAGAAGCCAGTTAGTGCCATACCTGTAGTGGAAGCTAGTTGATGTCATATCTCTAGTAGAAGCCAGTTAATGTCATACTGAAGCCTGTTGTAGAAGCTTGATGTTGATAGAACCTGTTGTAGAAGGTAGTTGATGTTATACCTGTTGTAGAAGTTAGCTGATGTTACACCTGTTGTAGAAGTTAGTTGATGTTATACTTGTTGTAAAGCCTGTTGTAGAAGTTAGTTGATGTTACACTTGTTGTAGAGGCCTGCTGTAGAAGTTAGCTGATGTTACACCTGTTGTAGAGGCCTGCTGTAGAAGTTAGTTGATGTTATACCTGTTGTAGAAGTTAGCTGATGTTACACCTGTTGTAGAAGTTAGTTGATGTTATACTTGTTGTAAAGCCTGTTGTAGAAGTTAGTTGATGTTATACCTGTTGTAGAAGTTAGCTGATGTTACACCTGTTGTAGAAGTTAGTTGATGTTATACTTGTTGTAAAGCCTGTTGTAGAAGTTAGTTGATGTTACACTTGTTGTAGAGGCCTGCTGTAGAAGTTAGCTGATGTTACACCTGTTGTAGAGGCCTGCTGTAGAAGTTAGTTGATGTTATACCTGTTGTAGAAGTTAGCTGATGTTACACCTGTTGTAGAAGCCAGTTATCACATCTGCCTTAGCTGACAAGTAAGTAAGCACAAATATCTATTTAATTTAATAAACAAGTTTTAACAATAATTCATTAACAGAATAATATCAATCAAAAGAAAAAATTTGTTTTATTACAGGAGAGCAAACAGTAGAGAACAACCACAAACACAAACCAAAAGAATTTATTATATAAGAGAAAAAAAAAACCTAATAGTTTAATAAATTTTTTACTTCTTTCAATTGGATCAATTAAATTAGAAACAGTTCAGTAAGTTTTTTTTCTTTTGTTTTTAATACTTTAAAGTTAAAATGAATAAAATAAATAAAAAAAAATGTTGGGATTCAGAGTCTGAATTCAATTCATTTGAAAATATTTAGGTTGTAACGTTTTTTTTTTTTGTACAAAAATTGTTTTTAAAAATTCTAACGTAACGTTCTTAATAAAAAAAATTTTCAAATAGTATTTCTTATCGTACTATGTTAATGTGTTATCACACAAGATTTAATTGAAAATTTTCACGAAATATAAGAAAGAAAAGAAAAGAAAAGAAATGCAAAGAAAGGAAGAAAGAAAAATCATTTTTTTAAAAAATTATTATTATTGTAAATATGAAACGAATGCGTCAAAAGAAAAAAGAAAAGATTTTTTTTTTTTTTTCAAAAACATTATTCAGCATATAAATGACTGATTTGCAAACAAAAGACGGAAAAAAAAACCAAAAAAAAAAATGGCGGATTTATAATTTTGTTTGTTTCTTTTTTAAATCATCATTTTAAGTTTTTTTTTCTTCTTCTAAGTAAATTTTTTTTAAAATTAATTTCTTTTCTTATTATTATCATTATTATTAATAATTTAAGTTTTAATAATAATAATAATGAATTTTCATATAAATCAATCAAGTTTTTCCTTTTTTTTTATTTTGTTTTCTTTATGAAAGGGTAAAAATAATTATTTTAATTAGAAAAAAAATTTGCAGGGTTTTTTTCACCAACCAAAGGTCACCAGGTGTCAATTCATTTAATATTCTCACGAGGGCAATGATTTTTATTATTATTATTATTATTATTATTATTAATTTTGTTGTAAACAAAAATATTTATTATCGAAGAAAAAACAAACAAACAATTTTAATTATATCGTAAGGTAAACATTAAATCAATAAACCATTCAATGTTTATTAAAAAGAAAATTTTTTAATTTTTATTAATAATAATAATAATATTGTTTAAAAACTTCGATAAGTACTTTTAAAAGTTTGCCGCGTTTAAAATTGAAAATAATAATAATAATGATCGATAATTATTGAGAAAAAAAAATCGATCGATCGATCGATCGATGGTAATTTTGAGTGTTTAGTTTAAGAAAAAAAAATGGCGGAAAATATTAAAATTATTAAAGTAATCGTTAAAAATATTTATTAACGATAAATTTTTAATATTTCAGGTTAAACGATAATAATAATGATAATTAATAAAATGGGAATAATAATAAGGAAGGTAGTAAAAAAATAATTTATTAAACAAATGGAAAATAAAATGATGATGATGGGAGCAATGCGCAAAACAAACAAGTAAGAAATCGATTTTTTTTTTTTTATATTCATATTCATTCTTGTTTTTATTGCACGTGCAGATACGTTGATTCTAGGTCGTGACCTCAAATGACGTCATATTTATCCCCCTTAACGCCATTGCCCTAAAAATAGGGCAAGCTTAAATTTATTTATAGTAAGTGTTTTTTTTTTTTTTTTTTTTTTTTTTTCCCCTTCTAAAATTAGATTTTGTCATTTTTTTTTTTTTTAATTACTAAAAAAAAAAAAATCATAATTTTTCGATTTATCCGACATATTTACAAAAAAAAAAATTTGTCTCCTCGGGAATAGGATCGAAAAATAAAAAAAAAAGAAAATTACGAGGGTAAACATGCATACACGTGCGATTAAATATTTAAAAAAAACTTTTATCGTTTTCATTATTTTCTTTTTTTTCTGATCGAAATTTACAAACGCAACAACAACAACAACAACAACAGCAACAACAACAACAACAACAACAACAGCAACAACAACAACAACAAATCGTTAATGAGTTTTTTGTTTGTTTAAAAAAAAAAAAAAAAATTAAATTTTATGTTGTTGTCGGTTGTTGGTTGTTGAAAAAAAATTTTCCCTTTTTAAATTCAATCATGAATTTTTTTAAATTTTATTACTTTTTAATATCGGGTATTAATAATAATAATTGTTTAAATACTGCGTCAATTTTTTTTTTATTTTTCAAAACACTATTTTAACGTGACGAAATTATTATCATTATTATTATTATTACTATTTTTACTCGTTCGTATGGAAAAATTATTAGAGCGTCAAAGTTTGACGTTTTAATATATTTTTCTTTTTTTTTTTTTCTTGTTTTGGTGGAAAACCTTAAGAAATATTACTTTTTTTTTTGTTAACAATAATGATGATACACTTAATCATCATTATTATTTCGATTATGTTAAGCATATGGTTGGTTAGGAAAATTTTTTTTTTTTGTAAAGTTATGAAAAGATTTTGGTGAGATTTTCCACTTTTTTTTTTTTTTTTTTAACTGGAAAAAGGTGAGAGGAGAAGGGGTGGAGGTGGGGTGGGAGGGTAAATCCCAATTTAAGCATATTTAAAAAAATTTAATTTTTTTTTTTTTTTATTCTCTCCAGAAATTCCATTCATGTTCCTATTTTAGTCGGTTGGTGATCTTGCGCGAAAAAGATTCGGTCACAAGTTCATTGACTCAATTTTCCATTCATCACCTTCAAAGACCAAGAAATCCTTTTTTACCCGTTTTCAAAAAGGTTCGTTCATCGCGATAAAAAAAAAAAAAAAATTTACACGTGTCGGTAAAAAACAAAAAATCATTATTATTATTATTATTATTATTATTTACACGTTTTGTATATACACTTTCGAGAAATTTCTTTAGATTTATTAAATGGAAAATCTCGTGTTGTCGTCAAAGGGAAATTTAAAAAAAAAAAAAATTATTAATGGCTTCCCATTTTCCTCGGATAGTCGCGTTTTTTTTTTTTTTTTTTTTGGGGGGGGAGGAAAGTCCTTGATCGTGCCTAATAGATATGAGATACAAATTTCCTTACCTCCCACCCTTCCCTTTCGCGCTTTGTTCATACCAATATTATTTTACCTTATCATTTTTTTTATCAATTTCTTATAAATTAATTTTCGATAAATCAATTAACGATCGCGTCTAACGATTTTTTATTCTTAATAATGATATTTATTATTGATTAAAAACAAAAAACAAAACAAACAAAAAGAGGGGAGAGGAGGGGGTAAAAAAAATTCGTTTCGATTAAAAAAAAAATAATAATAATAATAATAATTTTTTTTTTTTCGGTCAAAACTCGACCTCCTGTTGTATTTTCCTAAGTAACTGTGTCAACATCCCTGATTCTCCACGTGTACATTTATAAATGACGTCATCAATGCCTGACCCAATTTTTGTTTTTTTTCAAAATGCTAGTAGTGTATTTTCCCTCAGCAATATCTTATATATATATATGAATATATTTTTTTTTTCTTTCTCCTCTTTTTAGAAATATTTCAATAATGATAAAAATTCTTTCAAAATCCGATATTTGTAGTAATCGTGGTTGTAGTTTTTTTCGTTTTTTTTTTTTTTTTTCTTCTTCCACGACAATTTTTACAAGATTATTATTGAACAAGAGGAGGGGAGGAGAAACAAAAAAAAAAATTTTTTTCCTAATAAATAATCATAACCGATTTCGTTTTTTTTTTTTTTTGTTTTAGATTAGAGAGAGATGGGGAGAGAGAGAGAGAGAGAGAGAGAGAGAGAGAGAGGGAATAAAATTTGGTCGTGGCCGTAGATCATCTCTACAAATCCTCTCTTGATGGATTCATAATGAGAAAGATTATTATTATTATTATTATTATTATTTTAATATCAAATTAAAGAATTTTATTAAACGGAAGCAGAAATGGAAGGGCAAAATCAACACAAAATGTAAGTTTTTTTTTAAATTTTCAAAAAAAAAAAAAAGTCGTGGTAGGATTTTTTTATAACCGATTACCTAATTCCACGATAAACGATCGAGTGGCAGGTACTTTTGTCGGTATCAAAAAGAAAAATTTGTTTTCTTCCTATACCCCCTCGAAGAGATCGATTTTCATTGTCGCAAAAAGTGTTTACCGTAAACAAAAACAAAATGGCGTTTATTTTTTTTTTTTTTAGTGAACAACAAATTTATACTTTTTCCACTCGATAAGTTTATTTAATAACAAAATAAAATAAATAAATAAATAAATAAAATCAGTCGGCGACGTTATATATGTGAACGCATAGAGTATTTGTCGGACACGAAAAAATTTTTGGGTTTGGAGGGTGGGGTGGGGGGGGAGGAAAAACGGTGTAATTTTAGGTCAATTTTAAAAAATTATGCATGCCGCGTTTTTTTTTATTCGTCCATATAATTTATGTTTAACGATACGATTAATCGAACGAGTTTATTTATTACAATCGAAATTAAATATGGCGCGAAAAATTCGAGATATAAAAAAAAAAAAATTTTATAGAAACTAGGAAGAAGTTGTTGTGATTGTCAATCGACCTTTGATTAACCTCACGTATAATAATAAGTTTACCGACCTCCCTTCCCTTTTTGACCCCCCCAAAAAAAAACAAATTTTATTTCACGACAAATATCGAGTTGGAAAACAAAAATCGTGTTTACGCGACATTTTATACAAGAGAAAATTTTCGAGTTTAACGTCCTTTTAAATTTTTTGTTTTCCGTTCCTCCATTTTATCGTTTTTGTCTTTGGAAAATTTGACGGGAAAAATTAAAAGTTTATTATTATTATTATTACTTACTCTCGGTTCAAACGATCGTAAACTTTTGAAAATTTCTAAAACAAAACAAAAAACTTTTCAATTCGTGTTATCACATCGAAGTGATAAAAACAAATAAAATCTCATCCATCTTCTAGTATCCATCGTAGTTCGTGCATACTTTACTTAATTCACTTTAACACTAAATTTATTTACTAAAGACTAAAGACTAAAAAAAAAATCAAAACGAATAAACGCCCCCCCTCCCCCCCCAACGACGCCCCCGGACGTGTCTTCTTAACAAACAAATCCCACCAAGTCAACGAACGTATCCATCGTTCGAACCCCTTTATTTAAATTTATTCTTCTTCTTCTTCTTCTTTTGATCAATCAATCGTCGGTCGCCATATTTAATTATTATTATTATTAGTACCGATACAATTTATCCTATTGAAAAATTTTTTTTTTTTTTTTTAGTGTTCGATATCGATTTATTTATTTATTTTATTATATTTAATTCGGGGTCAATGACACACACGGTAATAATTATTTTCTTATCATTGATATGAACACTTTTAAGTGGTCAAAAATTTTGGAATTATTTTTTATTTATATATATTTATATAAATTGTTTAATTACACGCGAATAATAATAATAATAATAATGATGATGATGATTTTTTCATATACGGTTTGCATAAGCGTGGGCGGGAAAAATTCTTTTGTGTTTAATACTATTATTATTATTAATATTATTTCTGTTGGTGTTATTATGTATTGATGATGTTTGGTTTTTTCCCCGTTGGAGATGGGGAGGGGGAGCGGGGAGGAAATAAAAAATAAAACACGAATTCCAAAAATTAATAATTTTAAAATTTTATTTACAATATAATAATAATAATAATACAATTTTATTTATATATATAACAAACAAAATGAGTTATAATTTTTTTCTAAAACAAAACGGAAAAAGAAAACAGTGCTACCAATTTTTTTTTGTTTTTTTTTTTTCGTAACGTTTCGACGACCGTTTTTTTTTTTTTTTTTAAATATTTATTTGTTTTAATTATAATAATAATAAAATATTAAATAAATTATTATTAATAATAATAATACTTAATAATAATAATGAATTAATAAAAGGTGCGTTCGCGTAAGAGTAGTAGTAGTATAATATTTGCCGTTATCGTAAAAGTTTTGAGCATTTTTATTTTTAAACATAAAAATTTATTTATTTATTTATTTATTTATTAATCGATATCTCTAAAATTTTTTTTTAAAAAAATAATTAATAATAAATAAATAAATAAATTTAAATTTTTTTTTTCTAAAAAAAAAGACAAACGCTAAATCTTTTCTAAAAATAAATCGATTATTAATTAATAATAATAATTTTATATCGTGTAAATAAATAAATATATATACGTTATCGTGAGCAAAAACTAATTATTATTATTATTATTATTAATGAAATCGTGACGTCGTCAAAACGTTATATTAAAAAAAAAAAAAGAGAGAGAGAGAGAGAGAGAGAAAAAAAAGGGAGTTATCGTCAAAATTTTCAAAATATGTTAATAATAAGTGTTTATTATTATTATTATTATTATTATTAATAATGGGAAAATTTTTAACACGTGCTCGACCGATTAATAAATAAATAAATAAATTTATTAAAAATTTTAATTTAATAACAAACGTGTGAAAAGTTTAATTAATAATTCTAATGCGTAAGGGGAAAAAAATTTTTTTTTTTTTTTTCGAAAAGGAAAAAATTTTCCGAAAGGAGAAAATTTTCATTTATCCGTTTTTAAACTTTTTTGTAAATAAGGTACTCGTACAGGTACCTGACGATAACGCATCGTATCCGATTAAAAAAAAAAAAAATTAATTTTCACCTGTACGTAGTCGTCGTCGACTAAACAAATTAAATAACTTTGCTTCGATTATTATTATTATTATTATTAGTACAAAGGGGTGTGAAAATCAACTGGGTCACTAACAAAATTTTCCTCCTCCCCCCCTACCACGAAAAAAAAAAAACAAAAAATTAAAACAAATGGCCGAAACGTGTGATTTTATTTAGAGAAAGCGGAGTAAATTTTTTAATTCGTACATAAATTTAATTAATTTAATCTAATGTTGTTGTTTTTCTGTTTTTTTTTTCGTTATGTTGTCCGCACTGCGAATGTCACTCGATGTAATCGATAAGTTATTTATTTATTTATTGATTGATTGATGATGGTAAAACTTATCGTATTTGGGTTGTCATTTGCGTGATTGCGTATATATAAATACGCAGACACACGCATTTTTTTTTTTTTTTGATAACTCAAATGTTGATTAAAAACCGAATAACGATGATGATGATGATGATGATAGTGAAATTTGGGCGTGGATAAAAATTTTTTTTATTTTGTGGCGAAAAAAAAAAAAAATATTTATTAACGTGATTGATTTTTCTCGTGACTACAGTTGATGGCGGTGGTGGTGGGGGGGGGTTGGTGAGCGATACGCGATTTCAAACTCTGAAAATTCTAGGATTGTTTACCGGTGGAGACAAACGAAGAAGAGATGAATTCAATTTACCATTTGAATAATTTGAAGTCATTTTGTGTTCCGGAGACTGGTGTTGTTCTCTGCAAAATGAATCCGTAGGAGGTACGAGAAAAGATGTATTTCTATCGAATTTCGATTTGTTATTATCCTCGTTTTGAGCTTTAGATTTTTCATTCGAATCATATTCGGTTTTGATCAATTTCGAATAACAATTTGATATCCGGGAAAATATCGATGAAAATTCCCTTCGAAAATTTGTGTTGAGCCAACCGTATAGTAAAGGATTAGTTATGGCGGAAGACATCGCGACAATGTGACAAAAAGCGAAAAAAAGATACGTTGCTATCGAGCTGCTGTTGTTGTTGTTGTTGTTGTTGCTGCTGCTGTTGCCATTTTTATTGTTGGTTAGTGGTAAAATGGCTGAAGCCAATTGAAACGTAGTCATGGGAAGCCAACTAACGGCATAGACCAAAGCTATGCATGAAAGTATGAAAGTTGTTCTGCGATTTCTACGTATTTCTCTTCTCTTATTGCTTTTCGTAGATTTTGATTTGTAACTGAATCTCGAAAATGAAAAACCGTAGAAATCCGAATTTTCTCGAAACGATAGAAAAAAATCAGATTTTTTCCTTGGGCTCAAATCGCAACTGTTTCTCGAAGAATCCGAATTTTTTCTAGAACAATCGGATAATTTTAATGAACTTTCGCAACTCCTGTTGGAATTTTCAGATCCGACGGATTCTCTTCTTTTTATCAACAGCAATTCTTTTTTCGATGAATTCACGTCGTCTTCTTTCGATTTATCCATTACCCCATCGTCACCCATCGAGTTTTTATCTTGGATCACGGGTTCGACGGGTGATTGTATGTGTATTTCCGGTTTTAATTTTCTCAAAGGTTTTATGTGTACTTTTAAATAAGATGATATTTTCAAATGTATGATCGTGAGTACGGTTACGGGTATGACGAATTGAACGAGTGCTAATGTTATTGTAAATGCCGTATGAAATATTTTCGACGGCCATTTTTCCACGCACTTATCGTAAAATATTAATTTGTTGAGAGGATTCCGCGGAAAGGATTCCGTGGCCGTGTAAAAATAAAGGGGGAAACTCAACGCGAAGCTAAATATCCATATTAAAACGATTATTAATATGACGCTCGTACATTTTCTATTATTTAAATTATTTGAGCTCCTCGATTTGACGATCGTGAAATAACGATCCAATGCAATGGCGGTGATTGTTCCCGCTGAAACTGTTATGTTGGTATCTGTCAACAAAAAGAAAATTTTTTTAAATAAAAAACATTCTTTTTAATCGTTTGTTTGTTTCTTATTTTTTTATTCTTTTAAGAAAATTCATTTCCCCTCCCTCCCTTCCCCCACAATCTATCTACACAGAAGTTCAGTGTCATTTTAATTAAAGAAAATTAAGAAAAAAATTTTCTCGTGGGTTTTTTTTGCACATCTTAAACTTTGTTTAATTTTTTTTTGTTGTTGCAGAGATTGTTTACAACAGCAAATAAATAAAGTTTTTGTTTTTACTTTTTTCAGATTTTCTTTTTCAACCCCTTTCGATCGGGTTATTTATTAAAAAAGAAAGTGAAAGTGATTGAAAAACGTTGGTGGTGGTGGTGGAGGGGGAGGTGGCGGTGGAAAAAAGAAAACGATGGGGTAAGTTTGATTAATTATTATTATTATTATTATTATTAATTTACCTTGAACGATCGAAATGATTTTACAAAGTAAATTTCCAAAAATCCATTTTCGTTGTACGAGAGTAATGAGGGTGAATGGCGTGCAAACGCAACAAAGTGTCAAATCAGCGACAGCGAGATTAACTATGTATAAATTTCGAGATTTTTGAAAATCCATTTTTTTTCTACCGCACTGTTTCATGACGACAAAACAAACCAAAACGTTCGATACGACACCGGAAGTCATTAAAACAATATAAATAAAAATTAAAGTGATTTCGATTTCGGGAAATAAAAAATCCGTCGATTGTCGGGATTTCATAAGGACGTCGTAAGCGAGTTTTAGGCTTATGTTGAAAAACACGTCGGATTGTGTCGTTGTCGAATTTTTCATACCGTCCATCGTATTGAGTACGAGATTACGACTCGTTAAATTTCGTGTTGTCGCCATTTTAAAATTTTCCTCTGGAAAAATTAAATTTTCGACACTAGTGAAAATTAAACAAACATTCGCACTTGGTGAAAATCGGAAAACGGAAAAAATTATTTTCGTTTATTTTTCTTTTAACGACGACGACGACGACGACGATCGCCGCCGAAATTCGGGTAAAACTGCCAAAAGAAACAAACATAAGGCATTCAACAAGTAGTTGTTATTCCTATTGGTAGAGGTAAAATTGTACGAGTGGATGGGAGGGGGGATGAACGCGAAAATAAATCCTGCGCCTTAAATACGTACGTTGTTGTTTCCCCCGGAATCCTTCCTTTCGAAAAACTCCTGGAAAAAAAAAATGTGAATTTTTCTTGTTAGCATTTCCGGTATTTAAAAAATCTCGGGTTAATGTTGCTGCTGTTTCTGCTGCTGCTACAATTCCCTTGTTTTGTTTGTCGTTTTCTTTTTTTACGTATAAATTATTATTATTATCATCTCATCGTTTGTTGATTTTTTTTTTAAATGTCTCGGACAAACCGTGAAAATACCCCGAACGGTATACTTTGTCTGGAAAAAGTAATTATTTTATAAATACCTCACGGGGAAAAAAAAAAAATGATGATAATAATAATAATAATTTTTTTTTTAAAAAGGAAACGGAAGGAGATTTTTTTTTTCCGGGAAAAAGTCGCTCGTTTTAATTATCCTTTGTCGTCAAAGGTTTTTTTTTTTTAAATCGTAAATTACATACGAGCGGAAAAGGATTAAATAAAGGCGTAGAAGTCGTAGGTACCGATACTCGTCTCTGTTTTTTCCTTTTTTCTTTTCTCACGGCATCGTTTTTCTTTTTTTTGGGGGGGATTTTTCGAATGATGAACAAGGTCAAATAATAGATAAAAATTAATTGCATCGATAATAAATTTAAAATGCACGCGAGATAAAAAAAAAATTATAAGTAATTAAATGGGGGGCGGGAATCGGGGTTAAAAATCCCTTAAATTTTTTTTTTTTTTTTAAATTTGTGTGAAGGTTAATATTCTGAATTCCAGAAATAAATTCGTCTGGAAAAATAATTTTTTTTTTTCGTTATCTTTCAGTGTTTTTCCGATATTATTTTTTTTTGATTTAAATCTTCTCTCTCTCTCTCTCTCTCACTCTCTCCTACCCAATCGAATTAATCGTAAATTTTCGTAAATATATATTTTATTTTTTTCGTGAGGAGTTTTTATTATAAAAATAAATAAATAAATGGATTGGAAGGGATTTTTTTTTTTAAAAGGGGTTGTTGACCCTTTACCTTTAACACGCACGCGGTTACATTTTGATATTTTTTACCTACCGGTAACTTATGGGTTAAGAGAAAAACAAACGTGAAAACGCAAGTTTTTGAAATTTCGTGTTTTGCGTTTGTTTTTGTGGGAAAACGTGTTAATTATTTTAAAGAAAGAAAGAAAGAGAGAGAGAGAGTGAGAGTAAGAGTGAATGACAGAGAGAGAGAAAGTAAGAGGGAAGCTGAGAAAGAAACAGAAAGAATAAGAGACACTAAGAGAGAGAGAGAGAGAGAATGAAAGAGATGCTAAGAAAAGAGGGAGCTAGAGAGTAAGAGATATTAAGAGAGTAAAAGACACTAAAGGAGAGTGAGAGAGAGTAAGAGAGAGAAAGAGAGAGGAGGAGAGAGAGTAAGAGTGATTGACAGAGAAAGATAGAGAGAGAAAATGAAAGAGATGTTGAGAAAAGAGGGAGAGATACTAAGAGAGAGTAAAAGGCACTAAAGGAGAGTAAGAGACACTGACAGAGAGAGAGGGAGAGAGAGAGAGAAAGAAAGAGGGGGAGAGAGAGAGAGACGTTTGAAAAGGAGATGTATTAGGTAATAATTAATTTAAGATTTAAAATTTTTATTTTTTGCTGTCGGTTTTCGGTGCGAAAAAAAAATAAAAATGGGGTCAGTTTTTTATTTAAAAAAAAAATAATAATAATAATAATAAAAAACAAAATGTCGGCGTCTGATTTGTTTTTTTATTTTTTTTATTATTATTTTTTTCTTTCTTTCTTTCTATTTCTCTCATAATCATATCGTTCAATCGAAATTGGTTTACCCAAAAAAAAAAAAAAAAAAACGTAGCAGAAGAAATTTATGAGTTTACGTTTGGTATTGCGTTATCATTTTCTTATTTTCTTATTTTTTTTTCTATCGAATCGAACAGAAGAAATTTTTGTTTTGAAAACAAAAAAAAATGGCGACAATTTTCCCTTTCTCTTTATAAAAAAAAAAAAAAAAATAAGAATTTTCCGGTCGGTGTTTGTCGTACGGAAGCGGAGGAAAAACGTTGATTTTTCACATTTTCCTTTAATATTAATATTTTCTTCCGTTTGTTCATCTCATCCGACATCCGGTTTTTTTTTATTTTATTTAAAAACAAACGAAATAATTAAAAAAAGAAAATTAAATGTCGTCGTCGTCATCGTCGTCATCGTCGTCGACATCGTCGTCTTCGTCGTGGTCGTCGTCGTCGTCGTCGCCGCCGCCGGTAATTTCAATTTATTGATTTCCCGCCGTTTTGATTTTAACAATCATGTTAAATTATAAGAAGACCCGTAATCCACCTCCTTTTTAAAGACAAGATGATACTCGAAAAGGTTTTCATAGAAAAAAATTAATAAAAAAAAAAAAAGAGCAGAAAATTCTAGAAATCATAGATGGATCATCGATCTAAAAAATACGATGTATCGATAACGGAAAAAAATAGGATAAATATGATTCGTCCAATTAAAAAAAAAAAAACGGATTCAATCGTAAAATTTTTATGGAACAATCATGGAATGATCCAGAAAAAAAAAATTTAAACAAATTGTGTTACGCGGTTCCACCATATTGAATTTTTTAACGATCGTTTAAATCCTGACCGAAAAAAAAAAAAAAAAACAAAATTTCTAGAATTTTATTTGTTTTTGCACATAATAAAATATAAACCGGATACGGATATAAGAATTTATCAGAGCCCCAGAATTATTATTCGTTTAATTAATATAAATAATTAATTTATTTGACGCCATGATGGAAAAGAAAAAAAATTCATAAAGTTAACGTTACAGAAAAAAAAAAAAAAATTTAGGTCAAATTTTTTAAATGCATAAGTTAAACAAAACGCGTAAAAAGAAATCCGGGATGAGAGAAAATAAATCAGGACATTGGAAAAAGACGTTCATGGTGCTGTGCGTGAAAAAGGAAAAGTAAAACCGAAGGATTAAAATTAAACGGGAGAGAAAAAAGGATTAAAGTAATAATAATAATAATAATAATAATCCGCGTTTAAAAGTTTTAAAAAAAAGTTGTAAAGTCTTAAAATAGGTTATAACGGTAGCGTTCGAACGGGGGAGGGAAAAAAAAAATTCCTTCGAATGCAAATTTATTATTAAGAAGATGTTTAAACTGTGAGAGAAAGAGAGAGAGAGAGAGAGAGAGAGAGAGAGGGAAAGAACATCCGGGATGTTGTTAACGAAAAAAAAAAAAAAATGGACGTTAGGATGGAATTTTTTCAAAAAAAAAATAAATAAATAAATAAATTTTCAAGGTAAACGTTGGAAAAAAAAAAAAAGAAAAAATTCGTTTAATCGTTAATTTCCGGTTGAGTATTATTCCGTCTGTAGCATTTCCGGTATCTGCGCGTGACAATTAATAAAAAAATTCCCCCCCCCCCCCCGTTTTCTTACTCTATGCTTGTTTTACTTGATTTTACGCGAATATTTTGTTTTTTTATTTTAGGAAAAATTAATCGAACGATTATTATAATTATTATCGAACGTTTTGAGAAGTCTAACGACACGTTTATTTTCGCACGTCTGTAACCACGTTTTTTTTTTTTTTTACACGAGAAAAATAAAAAATAATTTCTTTTATCTTTATTTTTATTTTTGAAATCGGTTAAAACGTTTCGATTGATTTCGTAAACAAACAAATTATTTTTCAAGGTTTGCCAACCTTACGAAAAAAAAAAAATCAAAAATTTGTTAAAATGTTTCAAGTTGAAAAAAAAAAAAACCGGATGATCTAATTTTTTTTTTCTCTCTTTTTTTTTTCTTCTTCTTCGTACTTACTTGTCCTCTTTTTTTTCCTTTTTTTTTTGTTTTGAATTTTCTATTTTCTTTTTCTTTTTTCTTCGTTGTCCTACTTTTTTCTTTTTTTTTTTTTTTTTGGCCCGTTTTAGCATCTTTATTAACTGACTCCTTCACCCCCCGCCTTTTCGTGGTAACTTTTCTTTTTTTTTTTCCACATCTAATATTTTTTCTTTTACTTACAACCGCCCCCTGTCTTTGCATGCACAATGTTTTTCATTAAACAAAAAAAATTTAATTAATCACGTGGTCGTTTATTTATTTTTTCTACGAAAAATTTTCTATATCGTTATTATCATCATCATTATCATTATTATTATTACAAATAATTTTTTTATCCGATGTTTTAAGGCATTTGATGTTTAAAAAAGTTAATGACGTTATCACAAACATGGCAGACAAGCAGACGACGACAGTGGAAAAAAAAAAAACGATTTAATTAGATTGTAATAATAATAATAATAATAATACTGATATATCGTTGTTGTTGTTATTGCATTACAGGTACAGGTTTGAATAATGAATGTATCGTTTTAAACCGTCGCTGACGTCTCGGAATTTGATTGAAAGAACAAAATAAAAGAAAAACCGCGATCGTAATCATCGTCATGGCCGCCGTCGTCGTCGACGTCATCATCGACGTCACCGTCGCGATTTAAATAAATTTTCGTATTTAAATTTTTCGCGAACGTTAATTAACGGATTGATAAGGAAATGGTCGAAGAGTAACAAGAGAGTAAGACAAAAATTTTTTTTTTTCGCGGTACCTGTGCCTGCGTCCTACGTCATCGTTTATTTACTCATGGTACGATATCAAAACGATTTTCGCAAGAAGAAGAAAAAGAAGAAGAGGGAAAGAGAGAGAGAGACGAAGAGACAAAGACAAACAATAAGTAAATATTAATGTTTAAAGTTCAATTTGATTTCATTCATTTGAAAAAAAAAAAAAAAAAAAAAAAAAAAAAGGGGATTTTGTTATTTGATTGTTGTTTGTTGTCGTTGTACAGGTACGTAGTGTGTGTGTGTGTCGAAAAAGAAAGAAAACAAACGGTATTTATCGTGATTTTATTAACGTGCGCGTTGTTAAAAACTTTTCTTTTTTTTTTTAAATCATTTTATGACATTTTTTAAGTGATTCTCTCTCTCTCTCTCTCTCTCTGAAGAATTAAATGTATTTATCGATAAGAAACAAATATGAGGACGACAAATTTAACAATAATTGATTACGTCACGTTCGTCGCGGCGCTGTTCGTGACGTTGGCGGTACCCATATACAGTGGATACAAACCCCGAAGGGATGATACAAAAAAAAATTTTGTTTTCGCAACGGGGGGTAAAATATCAATGGGAATGATGATATTATCAATGTTGAGAGGGATTTTAGGAGTCCGAATGTTTTTAGGTAAGATGTCGAACTTTGTATTAATTTTCCAGCAGGGAAAAAATGAAAACCTCTTTTTCCTTTATATTTATTTTGTCAGGGAATCCCTCGGAAATGTTTTACAACGGCACGAGAATGTACGAAGTCGTTTATTCGATCATGTTGACGTACCTCCTAGCTTCATACTGTTTCATACCAGTTTATTATAATTTGGGAATAACTTCTGTTTATCAGGTGAGTAGGATGACGGTTTACACATTATTATTATTTTTATTTATTTACTTATTATTATTATTTTATTTTTTTAAAGTATTTGGACATGAGATTTAAATCTCAATGCGTGAGATGTTTAGCATCTGGATTTTACATTTTCCGAAACATATTAAACACTAGCGTGATTATATTTACCCCTTGCGTCGCATTGAAATTTTTCATGGGATTTTCATATTCGGTTTCGATAATCACCCTAACGGCAATCAGTACGTTTTGTGCCTTTTTGGTAAGTTTAAAAACGTCATTATTATTATTATTATTAGTTTTGGTTTTCTTTAATTGGGATTCTGTTCCTAAGAACAAAAGACAAAATATTATTTATGTGAAAAAAAAGCACATCGCGCGTATATAAATTCGGGTAAATTTACTCGGAAATGAGGCCGGACACGACCGGAAACAGTTTAACACGACAATGAGACAAAAACCCAGACGTAATCGTCATAGGTTATAATTTAAAAAAAAAAAAATGCAATTAGATAATTGTACTCGGTAGGAAAAATGCGAAAAATAAAAAGTTTGAGTACGTGGGAGTAACGCGATCGTGGTACCAGAATCTATACGCCTGATAAACGCTAAAAAACAATTCGAGAAGTTTAAGGACGTCATTTTAAAAAAAAAACTTAAAGAATCGAGAGGGGAAACCCGGAAAAACCCCTACCGACGATTACATGGAACTTGTCGTGTATTAAAAGTGAAGATAATAACAATGCGAATAATAACGACAATTATTATAATTACGGTATTATTATTATTATTATTATTATCATTACGTTTCAAAAAAAATTATTACCACGTTAAATTGAAACGAAAATTGTTGAGTAATTTTTTTCTTTTTTTTTTGTTATTTTTTTAATGGTTTCCTTCGATAATATTATCATCATCATCATCATCATCATTATTATTATTATTATTATTATTATTATTTTAATAAATTTTAAATTCGCAATGAAACTTTGGTCTCATAGAGTAATAAAAAAAAAAAAAATTATGTAAGTAAAATTTATTGTTTTTTAAGGTCTAGGTTATTCCAATTTTAAATAATAAATTTCCCCCCCTCCCTCCCCTCCCCGCTCCCCCTTCTCTCCTACGAGTTATTGATTTTTATTAAAAAATTAACGAATTAAATTTAATTGTAATCTTTTTACTTTGTTCATTCTATAATAATGATAATAATAATCTATTTTTTTTCATTCCGAGGAATCGGGTAATATTGAAGTACGAACGGAAGCAGTAGTAATAATAATAATAATAATGATGATTCCGTTTCCGGATTTCGAATGATTGGTTAAGTAGGTAATATTTCCGCTGTTGAAACCGGAAAAGGTTACGATAAAAAAAAATGGTACAATCGTCGTTCAGGAGACTAATAAATTGATTACACACGTGTAAAAACCGGAAGTCGTCATAAGAAATTTAAGAAAAAACGTGAAAAATGAAAGAGTACCTGAAAGGGAACCCGTACCGAAGAACGGACAATTTAAATTAAGAATTAAAATGATAATGATGATAATACGTTATAAAACAACGAATAAAAAATTTTTTCTTTTAAAGGGAGGATTAAAATCGATCATGTTAACGGATGTAATGCAAGTCTCGATATCAATCGTTTGCGTAATAATAATAATAATAAAAGGAACCATAGACGTCGGAGGATTTATGAACGTTTATCAAACGAATAAGGATAACGGTCGTTTTATATTTTTCGAGTGAGTTTCTCTCTCTCTCTCTCTCTCTCTCTCTCTCTCTCTCTATCTCTCTCTCTTACTCAAAGGAAAAGTTTAAAAAAAAGAAAGAAATTTGAATTTTTTCAGTTTTAATTTCGATCCGGAAATCCGCGTGACGACCGTGTCAGCTCTTTTGGGTCAATTTTTCATATCAACTTTTACATTCGGATGTCAACAGCATTTCGTTCAAAGATACGCGAGCATGAAATCTTTGGAGGCCGTTCGTAGGTACGCGTATCGGAAGAACAATTTCGTTGAAAAAAATACAATTATTATTATTATTATTATTATTATTAATTTTTTCCAGATCGTTTTGGATTGTTTTACCTCTGACATTTTTTTTTTTTACTTTGTATTGGGTCGCGGGAGCTGTGATTTACGCAAATTACGCATATTGCGACCCGCTAACATTGGGAGAAATAAAAAAAATGGACGAAATCGTTTTGTTTTACGTAAATAATGCATTTCATAAATTTCCCGGCATGATTGGAATCGTATTGAGTGCTTTATTTAACGGTTCAATAAGGTAATTATTATTATTATTATTATTATTATTTGTAACGAAAAAAGAGTAATTTTTTTTTTTTTTTTTGGCAGTTTGGCGTTGGCAAGCCTGAATTCAATGGGAACGGTAGCGTGGGAAGATTTTTTAAAAAGAATTCCACTGTTTAAAAATTTTAACGATCGTCAAGAATTGATAACGATAAAAATATTAACGACTTTTTTTGGAATACTAATCATCGGCGTGGCTTTCGGAGTCGCGACACTTCCGGGACTCATAGAAAGTTCCATGCTCATGACTTCCGCTTCGAGCGGTCCACTACTTGGCGTTTTCGTACTCGCATCCTTTTTTCCATATTGTAACTGGAAGGTTAGTTAAAGGTTGGTGGGGAGTAATGTCGAGTATTTACCAATTTTTGAAATTGTTACGTAGGGAGCCGTTTCCGGAATGATATCGAGTCTCGTCATCACGTTATTCCTAATGTTGGGTAGATTGTACACGAGAGGAAAAAAGGTTAATTTTTTACCTTTATCAATCGAAGGATGTACGAACACAACATTTGACGCGATAACGTTCACACCGGAAGAATACGAATTAATATTAGGGAAAAAAAATTCGTCTGCTTACACGTATTTCGAACGAGATACGATAGTCGAGGATAAGTTAGTTTTGTGACTTTTTTTCCTTTTTTTCTTTTTCCACGATTTTTTAAGGATATCATTGTTTGCGTTTCACTTTCAGGGGATTTTTGGATCATTTGTTCGGGATAACTTACATGTATTACTCGGTGATTGGGACTCTGACATGCGTTCTATTCGGAGTCGTCATCAGCGCGTTGACAGGTATCAAAAAAAAAAAAAACGTTTTTAAGGTTCGTAAACATGGATTTATTTAATTATAATTACAGGAGGTTCGAACTATGCCGAGGATTACGACGAAAAACTCATACATCCGATCGCTCGTAAAATAAATAATTTTTTTACTGGAAAATTTAAAAAATATGACGTCACAAATCCCGGGGATAAATCAAATTCTAAGAAAAAAATTAATTTAAAAAATCATTATGATGATGATGATGATGATGACGATGGGAACATCAAATTAGAAAAATTAGTTAATAATGATAAGGGAGGAAGAAGGGTGAAATTAAATAAGGAGGGTGAAATCAATTTGAATTACATTCCAGAAAAAGTTAACGAAAGGTAATTAAAAAAATTAATAATAATAATAATAATAATAATGGAAATGATATGGGTTTGAATGTTTTGATTTGTTAAAAGATGATGGTTGTGTGTGTGTTGATAAGCCTTATCAGTGTAAATTTAATATTTTTTTATAATAATGAATCTGAATAAGTCTTCCTTCGAGAAATTTTTTTTTTCCGCAAGTTGGCATGACTGGAAATGTTGAGAGAGTAGTTAATAAATAAAATTTTAATTGCATTTAATTAATTAAAAAATTATATTATTATTACAATACAGAGTGAAAAAAAAAAAAAAAAAAATGAAATTGTTTAAATAAAATATTTTTTTGATTTTATCCGTGAATCAATGCGGCAACATCCCATGAACCTTCGATTGCAAATGGTCCTTCAACACTTACATTATTAGGTGTTATGATTCCTATTTGAAATTTAGGCCATGATTTAGCATCCCTGTAATATAATACTTCGACGCATTTATATATTAAATTAACAGCTTCTTCTTCTGTCAAACCGCCATCTTGTTTACGTTTTTCTAATTCGTCTCTCATAATTGGTATGGCTAAATATGAACCAAAACCTAAAAAGTAAAGAGATGTTGATGGTATTAATATTTTTTAAGCAAAAGGTTGGTAATTGCGTGTGTACTTATAAATGTATCATTTAAACAAACCGGTTGCAACGTGATCGTCGAGAAAAGCTGTACCGAGTTTATCAACAGTTCCTAAAAATGGTTCACCATCTTGTATTCCTCCTATAACGTAATTACTCCAAAGTGGATCTAATTGTGTACGTCTCGTGTATAAAACTCTCGTTAGCCAATGGTATAAAGCTTTCGGCTTCATGTAAAATCCATCATCGACACATTCTTCATCGATTATTTTTTGGTTAATAACCTCTTTTAAATATTGAAAATCAGCATAATCACCTCCGGCTCCGATGATTATATTTTTATTGACTTTATAAACTCTCGAACAATCACGAAATCTTGCTAATGTACCGTAAGAACCTAAGGTATCTGCGGCAATAACTACACCGTTATTAAATTTTATACCCAAAACAGACGAACCTGTTGTAATGGGTTCCTTAGATCTTTGAAATCCGTTATTCGATCCGTAACTTTGTTGTGGCTGCATCGTAAAGTTTCCCGGATTGTTTGTTAATATTCCAAAAGGATTAACACCGAATCCAAATTGTGAAAAATCATTTAATCCGAATAAAGACATTACGGCGAATTGAAATTAACAGTGACAAACAATATTTGAGTTCTTAAATTAGTTTTTTTTTGTTGGCCAACCTGGCGTAATAAAATTTAACTAATGATTGCTTCCACGTTTTTTTTTTTTTCCCAGGTGGTGAAACGTTTCAAACTTGGCGTGTGTTCAATAATGGAAGTGTTTTACCGGTTAAATTTTAATTTTGTTAAAAATTTTCATGTATTGTAACATATAAAATATAATAATTAATTAGTAAATATTTCTTTATTATGAAACAGATTTCTCAATGTAAATATTTTTAATTAAAGTTTTGCCTTTCACTAAGTAATGATATTATTATAAGCATAAAAACCCGCCGTTTCGTTTTTTTTTTTAATCGAGTCATTTTTACTTTTTGATATTTAATAAAGTATGGAAAGAGATGATTATGAAATGTTAACATCTCAAGATGTCGATAGATCAATACGTTTACTTGATAGTGCGTTAAGCACACCGAGAAAATCATTATTGAAAATCTCTAGAAAACAGAGCAGAAAAGGTTAGTTAAAAGTAACCTTAATTATATTCGCTATAAGCGAAGCACATTAAAAAGTATGAATTTTTTTTTTACAGTGGATGATTTGGATATTTCCAAAGATGGATCATTTTCATCTCCTCTGTCATTTAAACCTAAAATTAGTAAAAGATCGAGTTTGAGCGTTGAAAACGTTTATGACAATTCTATAACATTTGGTGCGAATGAAATAAAAAAATTATTATCAGAAACTTCTTCAGTAGGTTTAACACAAAATCAAAATACTGCCAAAGCAGGTAAGCAAGTTAAACACTTATGTATGTGCAATAACCTAAATTTATTATTATTATTATTATTTTTTGTTTTTTTTTATTTAGCCAAGGATAGGTTATTTTTTGATTTTTTGGAAATATGGCAAACTCATGGTTCAATTCGAGAAGTTTTTGAATCGATATTAGATTTTGTTCAATGTTGTTCGCATACTGTAACCTCTATAAAAAATGTGTGGAATCAAAATTTAACAAAACCTGGATTTTTCGATGAAAAAATCCTAACAGAGATTGAATCTGAGAGAAATACATGGAGATTAATTTATGCATTATATCAGGTTAGAAATTATTTATTTGTTAATTGTTTTAAAATTTTAATCGAATAAATTAGAGTATTAATATGGTCGTTCACTGTTTTTAATTTTTTTAGAACAGGCTTGCACTTTTAATGCAACAAGAAGAAGAAAATGAAGAAGAAGATGAAGAAAATGATTACTTTCTTCAAAGCGTCAGCGAAAAAGAAATTATGTTAAGCTTGTACAAAAATGATAGAGTTATCAGAGAGGTATGAGATTCAAAATTGTACACTTTTTGTTTGACAAAAAATATTTATTTTACGATAAAAATTTTCAGAGCCAACTTGTCGTCGATTGGCTTGAACAAAATGCATCTGATTTAGCTGATGGATATGGCCTCGAACAGTATACAGACAAAACGATTGCTTGGGAAAATACTTTACATGAACTTCAAAGTAAAAAACCGATTCCGTATAAAAGTAGTAGAGAATTAATAACTCAATTGGATCCAGATGCACCACACAGAGAAAAAAAAGCACTCCATGATTTAGATAAGGTCACCCATATTTAATTTTTAAAAAAAAAAAGAGAGATTTTTTATTGAATTGTGATAATTATTTTTGGTAAAATTTTACAGGAAGATGATGATAGGTTAATACAAGAAGTTTATCAAGAAATTCGTCGAGGACATTTAGATGCAGCGCAATCGGCTTGCGCACACGCTGGTCAATCGTGGAGAGCTGCCTTGCTGGAAGGTTGGAGGCTGTATCACGATCCAAATTACTCTGCTAAAAATAATCAAGTTCAAAGGGAACCGTTGCCGGTAGAAGGAAATCCGTACAGGTAAGTTAAAGAAATACTTCAACGGTCGTCATTTTTTTTTTTTAATTGATTTTTTTTTTTTTTTTTTTTTGGCAAATCAGAGACATCTGGAAATTATCTGCTTGGAAAATGTGCGAAGATGTAACAATGCCATTAAAAGCTCGAGCATCATTGGCGGCATATTGCGGTCATTTACAAACCCTTCTCGACGCATCAGTGTCTTGGGAAGATCAATTATGGAGTTATTTAAAAGTTTCCATCGATGCAAAAGTTGAAAAAGAAATCCGTGAAATTAGTTTGAAAAGTTACGTCGAAATGCCACAATTGTATTGGAATAACATGTAAGTTTTGCATAACCTCATAAACATTTTTTTCTTTTCTCTCTCTTTTCATGTTAAATTAAAATTAATTTTTTTTTTTTATAGAGTGACTCTGGAAGAAATATTCAACGAATTACAAGCGAGTAAAAATCCTTTGGTACGAAGAGATGCGATGTCACCCGAACACATTGTACAAAAATATTTAGTTTTAGATCAAATCCCTCAACTCATGGAAGAAGTTTCAAAATGGATCCAAGGTTTTTTTTTTTTTTTTTTTTTTTAAATTTCCTTTTTTTTTTTTTTTTTTTTTTTGTACCGACATCATTTTTTTTGATATTTTTTAGGTTCGGACATGAGCGTCGGAAGTGATTACGAATCCGTGTCTCCTCATTTTCTAAGATTTTTAACTCATCTCGTTTTGTTTTTACGAAGGATAGGAAGGAGCGAATGCGACAGCGTTGGAGATGCCGTCATCGAAGCTTACGTTAAAGTAAACGCGAAACGAACGAAGAATGATTTTTTTTTTTTCTCTCTTTAAATTTAATTTTAATCGTTTAAATATATTTTTATAGTTATTGATAGAAATGAGAGAAAGCAAATTGGTCGCTTGGTACGTGAGTCAACTAAGTCAAGAAGATCAAATATATTATTACGCGGCATTTTTAGAAGAAATAACGGATTCGGAAGAGAGAAACGCATGTTTGAAAGCAGCTCAAGAAGCCGGATTAAACGTTGATGTAATAACAAAAACGGTCGTTGAAAATATTCGGTAGTTTTTCGTTTTTTTTTTTTTTTTTAACGGTTTTTTTTTGTGCGGCCATTAAAGTTTACAAAATTAATTATTTGATTTTGATTTACAGGCAACAATCTCCGTCGAACGATGTTGCGACTATGGAAGTACAACCCGACGTAAGTCCCGAAGATTTGATAAAAATCTCAGCGCTCGATTGGTTGTTGTATTATCCGGGACAAAGAACGGAATTGTTGATACAAACGAATGCTTTGATTGCTAATTTTTTATCCGCTGGAAACATACAAGCCGCACGTTTGGCATTTAATAAAGTGAGTCGTGAGATTTTCCGCACACCTGATACAAAATATTATTATTATTATTATTATTTTCGGTTTCGCTTTCAGATTCCAGATAGTACGATTGATTTAATTGTTAGTTCAAACGTGAACGATTCCTTAACGGACGATACTTACATAAATTTAGTTTTGAACAACATGCCTAAACAAGTTTCGTGCGCGACGAAAGAATATCTTTGTTACAAAGCTTATTTGGTGAGAATTCGACGATACTCGCGTTTGTTTGTTTGTTTGTTTGTTTTTGGAATTCGCGAATTAAAGGTTTTTTTCCCTTTCAGGAAGCGGACGAAAGTTTTTCCGATTGGTTTCAATATTTCAATCATGGTAAACCCATCGAACCCGTACTAAAGGAGGGTGCGAATTTCAGCGAAAAAGTCGCATTTCAACATAAATACAGTCAATATAAAATAAATTACGATAGGTGGAAAATATCGATGGATAGCAAGACGGCGGCGAGTATTGAAAACAAATAAAAATGGTTAGAGTCGATGGACTTAACATAATTTTAAAAAGTTTTTTTTTTTTTTATTCCAGACCACGAAAACTCTTTTGTACAACGTGCTTTTGTTTCCCATGGGTTGGTTGGTGGACGATGAAAACGTCGAAGATAACGACAGAACGGTACAATTGTCAGGATTGAGATCGATTGTCATACCTAAAGTGACGTTTCTCCTTCATACTGTCATGCACGGAATGGAAGATTATTCGGGTTGCGTGGCTCTGTCGGATCTCATTGCAGCCGAACAATATAAATTGTATAAGGTGAGTCTTGGATCGTTGCATCCGGTTTAGCACAGCCAGTCAAAAATGATAATAATAATAATAATAATAATAATGTTTTCGTAAATAGGTTTTCAGTAAGCAAAAACTTCAAGATTTCTTATCGAAAGCATTGGAATCGTCTCTTGAATTAATGAACCAAGGTAAAGATCCTTGGGGATACACAGTAGTGTAAAAGATATTAATAATAATTATAATAATTTTTTTTATAAGAACTTTGTTTAAAAAAAAAAAATATTGTTTTTATTACTTTATATTAAAATAAAATAAAACAATGTAATATTTCAGTTTGTTTTTATTGTTTTTTTTTTTATCAAAATGGAGTGCGTAATGAGTGTTTGTTTGTCGTGGCAATAGATTGCGGTAATCATTATGAATTAAGTTGGCACAACTGTTAAATGTTTCAATGGCAGAAATCTTTGTTTTAGATTGTGTATCAATCAGTTTACACCTAGTTTTTATTAAATTAAATATAAGAAAAGAGTTAAATTTCGTTAGTTAAAAGTTTTTGAGAGTTATGTGACATTTATTTTAAATAAAAATATTAAATATTAATTAATTATGCCCGTCGGACAGGTAAGAAAATTTTTTTAATATTTTTTTTTTTTTTGAAATCATCAAAGCAACGTTTGCATAGCCTCTAGGTTGATTGATATAAATATAATTTTTCGTGGCCATATCATTTACGGAGATTAATTATTGGAAAAATTAATTATTTTGTTAAAACCGTTAAGTTATTGCATCCAAAGCTCATCGTTTGCATTACGTAATCTTTTTAAAAAGATTTAGATTAAAACAATTATGGAGTTTTTTTTCTTGAAAATATTTATTAACAGGCAAATCACACGACTCCTTTAGAGGATTTAAGTGGAAATAGAAATAATCAGTGTTTAAAAGTATTTATTCAAAGAGATTACAGTGAAGGAACAATGGTTAAATTTCAAACTAGAAGGCCTCCAGAATTAGAAGATAAGGTATTGCTATTGATAATAAGTTAATTCGAATAATGAAACGATAAAGTTTATATTTTATTTATTTATTTATTTTTTTTTTGGGGTAGATTGACAGAGAAACATTTGAAAATACAATTCATCAATTAAATACTTATTTTGAAGAAGCTGAAAAAGCATCATGTACAACATATTGTGAGGGTTGTCTAGCTTGTTTGACTGCATATTTAGTTTATATGTGTTCTCAAACTCATTACGAAAAGGTAACATGGAATAAATCGAATTTACAAATCGATAAATTATGTTAATCGTCTAAAATGTAATTGCAATTTTAATAATTGACTTGAAAATTTGTAGCAAAATTTATGATAGAATTTGCTGTCAAAAAAGAATTATTTGCTTTGGAAGATTATGTGACGAGTTAAAATTATTGATTGATTGTCGATTTAAAAATTTGTTTCAGTGTCTTCGAAAGGTAGCAAAATTTATTGCTGAACAAAATCAAACAATTTACGAACCACATAATCTTCACATAACAGATCCAGTCGAAAGAGGACTTAGAGTTGTATCCTTTTAATTTTTTTTTTTTGTGTTTTGGTGTGCGTTTATGTTGTGTCGTTTAACTAAAAAAAAGTCGTGACGTGAATTTTCTTTAATTGAAATTTTTTTTTATTTATTTACAAATATCAGATCGAAATAGCCATCTTAGATCAACCCACAGTGCCAAAAACGTGACTTTCTCTATCGCATTCGACAGAAGAATTTTTCATGTGACGTTCCATCATTCTCCTCGTCTTCCTTCCTTTTTCTCCCTCACTCTCCCCTCCCCACACTCCCCCCACTCCCTCCTACCGCGTGTGCGTTACTCACGTGATTTACATGTTATCAACAGTCAATTTATTATTATTATTATTATTATTATTGTAATTTTTTTTTTCTTCTTTTCGTTCGGGAATTGGAAAAAAAAAAAAAAAAAAATCTAAACGAAGAAAAGGAAAGAAAAGAGAAGGAAATCGTTAAAGAGAGAGAACAAGAGAGACAGAGAGAAAGAGAGAGAGAGAAAATAAAAAGATGTGGAAAAAGAAAATGATAAATGTGAGATGCGAGAACATTTTCCGACAGAATTGATTGGATTCATTTTTAGAATTTTGTCTTTTGCTGTCGCAAGCTGTCGCGTTAAAAAATATTTTCTGTCGTTTGTTTCTTCTCTCGTTTTGTGATGATGAATTTGACAGATAATAATAATAATAATAATAATAATAATGATAATTTGAACGTTTGCAATATAATTGTTTTCTAAAAAAGGTTCGAGAAAAGTGTTTCGAAGCAAACGACAGCAAAATAATTTTTTTTTGTTTTTTTTTGTTTTCGTCTCTTTCTCTTTATATCTCTTTCGTCTGTGTAAATTGTTCGTTTAGTAACAAAATCAATTTTCGAAATGAGAAAGAAAGAAAGAAAGAAAGAAAGAATTGGATGATGACAGAAACGCGAGAAAAAGAAAGAATTTTGTCGACTGTACAAATTTTCCAATTAATTTTTCTTTTTTTTTTTTTTTTTTTTGCTTTTTTTTTGCTTTCGCTGATGGAAGAAAAAAAATAAAATTTTCTTGCCCATTGTGATATATACATATACATATATATATATTTTTTGTAATTAACGGTTATTTTCTATTATTATTATTATTATTATTATTATTAATTTTGTTTTTGCTTATTGGAAGTCTCGTGATATCAAAAGAAAGTATTTTGTATTGTGAATCGTTTTTGTATCGTTTTTCTTTTTTTTTTCGAAAAATCTAAAGTTTTTTTTGTTTTCTTTCTTGTTAATTGTAAAAAAAAAAAAGTGACAGTGAGTGATAAAATAATAAAAAGTAATAAAAAGTGGGAAAAAGTAAGAAAAATGATTTTCCGACGATTTATTTATTTGTGTTTGTTTGTTTAAGAGTGTTTATTTGTTTTTTTTTTTTATCACTATTATTATTATTATTATTATCATCATTATCATGATCGTAATCGTTAGGTTTAATTTTAAATCCATTATACTTTTTTTATCGTGTCAGAAAAGAAATAGAAAGAAAAAAAGGCATTAAAAAATAAAAGAGTCGACGACAAATCATTTAATTTTGTTTTATTTATTTATTTATTTATTTATTATAATTATTATTATTATATCTAATTTATTCTATTATGGAAAATACACACGAATTGTAATAATAATAATAATAATAATAATAATAATAATAATAACAATTGTCAATAATTATTGGGGAATTTATAATTTATATCATCATCATCATTATTTACAATTTGTGAGAAAAATTTTTTTTTTCGCCTTAAAAATGCTGATTATGCAATATATGAACAGGATGGGGAAAACGAATGGGTGTGACGTAATCACAAACGGTGGTGTAGAGGGTTAAGTGACGTAAGATTGATAAATTGTGTCGGAAATATTCGGAAATGTTCGATTGTCTTCGGTCGGTAATATAAAATTATTTTACCTGTAAATAATTAGAGGTAGGTGCGATAGTGGGAGGGAGGAAGGGGAGGGGAAGAGTAGGAGGAGATGAAAGGGGAAAAGTGATTATCGATCGATCGGGAGGAGGGGTTTGGGGCGGGGTAGGGGGATGGGGAGAACTCATTATTCTATTTAAATTAATAATAATTAAATTTTTTTTTTTTTTTTTTTTTAAAAGTATTTTCGAAAATTTTCTAATTTTGTTTTTATATCAATCTATCTAAAAAAAAAATTAATTTGAGCAAATTTTTTTTTTGCGCTTTTTAAAAAATATTTTTTTTTGCTATGATTCACTCGTAATATTATTATTATTATTATTAAACCTAACGAAAAATCAATTAAATTTTATGACGTGAAAAAAAATTGGGGGGAGGGGGTGGGTTAACGAATCGTAACTTTTATTATTATTATTAATACTTAATCAAGAGTGAGTGAAATACGTCGACGTCGTCGTGTCATTAGAAATTTTCTTTTTTTTTTTTTAATCTTAATTATTTAAAATTTAAAGGCACTCTTTCAAAACAAAATGTCTTCCGTCACGAGTGAAAATTTGTTTTTTTTTTTTGAAGTGGTACTAGAAAAGTTTTTTTTTACGTTTTTTTTTTTTTGGTTTTTTAATTTCAAATTAACGTACAAAATTTTTTACGCTTGTTATTTTTTGTCGTGTCAATTTTAGATTTTGATATCGGTGGATGATCGTTCGTGCTGCTGTCATCTTCTGACGTTGGCACGTCACTTCTTTTCGGACTGTTTTCCCTCGAATTTTTAGTTTTGTAATACAGGGAACGACTCTGACGATTTTGCATGGATTTACCTGTTGGGAAAACTCAAAAAAATTACTTTCGGTTGTGCTCGTGTGGGTGCGTGAGTGCGTGAGTGCGTGTGGTCATCACCTTTTGTCTTTCTCAAACTTGCGAACTTTCCTAATGCTATACCGACGGTACTGACTTTTCTTTGTGCTGCTTCTGATATTTGCAAACCGTTATCTGATTCCACGGTCGATTGTCTTTCCAAAGAATGAGAACAATTTAAAGTCGTCACGGTGAATTCAATGTCTTGAGGTTGTTCATCTGAATTAACTGAACAAAAAAAATTCATTTAAAGGATTCTTGTGGAAGACAAGAGACGGGGAGGGGAAAAGGAAAATTCGTTACCTGCAAATTCTTCGACGGGTTTATCGATGGTATCGTGATCTATCCAAGTCAAACCCATTTCGACTTTTTCTGCCAAATCTTGCCAATGATTTCTATTAGCCAAACAACCTTCGTAGAGAGGACGGATCCATGGAAACGTGTCCGACATGACTTTATATAAAGGAAGGCAAATGACGTCAATGAAACCGACTTGCATTTGTGGTAGTTCGTCTTTTCTCTCTCGATCCATCATCGCCTATTCAAACGTCATCATCATCATTATTAAAACCGGAAACGTGACTGCGTCGACGGTTGTTGTTGTTGTTGTCGTTGTTCCATTCTACTTACCACGGGTTGTTGATTCAATTGTAGTTTTTCTAAATCACCCTGATCGAAAAATTCATCTGCTACCAATTTAGCCATTTTGTGTTGTACTTCCCAAGGTTTCGATATAGCGCTTACGTCACATGCCGTCATCATCATTCCGCATAAAACTAAAACAAATATTGATGGAATGTAAAAGAATACTAATCGCAACTCATACTTAAATACTAACTTTCTTTTTTTTCTTCGCTTTGCCAATCGAATTCTCCATCGTCTACCAATTCTCTAAAACGATTTTTCTTTTTGAAATACATGGCAAGATCCGTGGACAAAATGGCGTTTTCAACGATCTTCATGACTTGTCTGTAATCGTCCGGAGATAAAGCCTGAAAGGAAAAAGAATTTGCGATGAAAACGCGTGACTCTCGTTTCTGTTTGGAGGGTACCTTAATCCGCACCTGGAATATGTTATTCCCTTCACTGTTTAATATCATAACGCATTGATCGAAATGATGATGTTCCATCGTGCTTGTCGTGTATAGGATTGCCAATGGCGATTCCGTTTTTGTTTGAAATGCGTTGTTGGTCCCTCTGTGATCCAAATCGTGACAAAGGCAAGCGACTAATAAGCCTAAAATCTAAAAAAAAAAGGTTTTTTATCAATGATATCATCATCCTTGTCGTTCTTATCATGATAAGTGTTCATCCAGCAGTACTTCTAAATCCGTCATAAATCTTTCCATTTTTCCAGTTTTCAACATGGCGAACATTGTTTGAGCAACGTTTAATGCGTGTCTCCAATTGTGATATTTAACGGGTCTGTAATTTTTTTTCACGCTCAAAACCCACCGACAGAGTACCTGGAAAAATTTTACTTATTTAAACAAAAAAAAAGATGTGGAAAGGTAGAGAAGACCGGAAGTCGTACTCACGTTGTAGGGAATTTGAAAATGTTTTATCAAATTACATTCCATAAACATTCTTATGGTCGCTCTGCAAGTATCTTCATCCGGAAGTTTAAAATCAATGAATTTAAAACTGGAAGAAAAGAGAAAAATGATGATGATGATGTTTTTGTTAAGAGGGGGGGGGTGAAATACCTTAAAAGATTATAAGACTCGACCGAGGGTATGAAATCGTTATATAAACGTTCCGTATCTTCGACGGATGCTGATGCGTGATAAGATAAACATTCCAAAGCGACTTTTTGTTTCGCCATTAATTTACATGCATTTTCGTACATTTGAGTATTATGGATTCCCAAACCGCAAAAAATTGCAAAAGCTTCAAATATTGATACGTCAGAATCCGTGAAAGGTTGCTGATTGGTCTATGGAGAAGTAGAAGAAGAAGAAAAATTAAATTTGTCGAGGAGGAAGGGAAGGTTTGCGCATGCGCGACGTTAAAATTGTTATCGTACCTTGTTTATCAATTGCGCGACACCGATTAAAGTTTTTTGACCGTTCGATATCGGCATGCAAAGTATACTTTTTGTTAAAAAATTATCTTCTTCTTCTCGGACATCTTGATTCATCCATGTTGTTACGTCACTGATGTTTAGAATCTGCGAATGTGAAAAAAAATGAGTAACCGATTAGAATCGAGTTCAGCCATTTTGTTTTTATAAAAACTTACTTGTCCGTTAGCTGCGACGTATTTAGCAATTTTAACCAATTTTGATGAATTTATTGCTTTTGATTTTAAAACTATGGCATCCGTTTCGTCTGCTCTCAATTCGAATATTGTTGAAAATCTTATTTTCTGAAAAATGATCGTTATTGTTTTTACAAATTGTGGTTTTCGAACCAAAAAAAATTCACATACCTGTACGGATTCCTTAGCTTTAAATATATCATCGACGTTAATATTATTGCTCTGAAAATAAAATTTGTAAAGGTTTTAGGGAATTCTGAACCTTTTTAGGTAGAAAAAAAAGTGAATTATGGATTTACCTGTCGTCTGGACAATGGTTGATGTTCTTCTTTTTTTTTCTTCGGTTGTTGAATTATGTGTTCCAAATGATTCTGAAAGAGGAAAATTTCGATATCAGTTCGTTTTAGTCATAGTTTGGTTGTACCTTACTGAACAACAGGGATAATTTCAAATTTTCGTGACGATTCGAATGTAAAAAGCAGAAGACGAAAAGTACGAAATATTATTATTATTATTATAAGCGAGGGCGTTAGATAGGAACACGTTATGAATTTTTTATTTTTTTTTTTTTTTACGGGGTTAAATGCAAATTTTTTTTTTAATTTTTTTTCTGATTGGTCGATAATTTATGTTAATTTAAAATGATAAGAAAAAAGTGGGCGGAGCTAATTAATTAATAATTATTATTGATTCGTTAATTTTTTGACTTCCTCTCCTCCCCCCGTGAATGGATAATAAAGATAATTGGTGTAAATGAATTTTTCCATTAAAAAGGATCAATGAAATTTTAATAATGGGAGAAAAGAAAAAAAAAATGGAGGAAAAAAATCTTTTTTTTTTTCTATTTCGATAGTGTTTCATTACAAGAAATGTAAACAACAACCAAAGTGCGAGACAGCTGACAAAAAAAAGGGCAAACGAATCGAAGTTTTTTCTTTTTTTTTTTTTTTTATTTGTCTGTTTACTTTCACGTCGGAGAAAGAGAAAGAAAGAGATAGAGAGAGAAAGAAATTCGTTATTAAAAAATTTATATCGAATGTTTGAAAGCATAAAAAAAAAAATAGAAAGAGAGAGAGAGAGAAAAATTATAACTTTGTTTCTGTTTAAAATAAATAATAATAATGATAATGATAGGAAAAATTCATTTGTCGCGTTTTTAACGTTAAAAACCATTAATTTTTTATTTGATTAAAAGATTTTCGGACGTGATAATTTATTGTGGGGGGAAGGGGGAAGGGGGGAAGAGAATAAATAGGTAAAAATGGCGGGTGGATGATAATAGAGAAAAAAAAGTCGTAAAAATCGAATTAAATTTTTTTTTTTTTTTTTTTGGAATTTTTGAAAAGATTTTTTTTTTTTTTTTACGATCGAACCGTTAAAATTTCTAGAATGATTTTTTTTTTCATGTGAGAAATAAATAAATTTTTGATTTATTTTTTTTATTAAATTTCGGTTGGGAGAAAAGTGTAATCAAACGACGACGGCCATTTTATTTATTTTCCATCTCGTTTGAGTGGAAGAAAAGATTTTTATTATTATTATTAATTTACGGGGAGATTAATAATAATAATAATTACGACTCACCTCTTCCGAACAGCTTTCTAAATCTAATAAATAAACGGCACATCTTTCGCATTTGAGCAAATCTCGAGCTTCTCTCATTATTTTCGTTACGAGACATTCTAAATTGCTTTGTTCTTCGAAAATGCTTCTCGCCAAATGTAAAAGAATCTAAATAAAACAAATAAATAATTACTACGTCTTCATCGGTGTTAAAAAGTGCGTGTGTGCGTGTGTTGATGGGCGCGTGATTAATTTTTAATAAAAATTAAAGTCGATAACCAAAAAAAAAAAAAAAAATTTTCCTCCTCTACGTTAATTTAAAGGGATTTTTTTTATTTAAAAATTTAGTTAATAAGTTAATCACTTGGAGCGCTAGTGTGTAAAAAAAAAAAAATAAAAAAACCGTTAATGCGTTCGGTCGTAATAATTTTAAAGCGTTCGTTTGACGCAATTTTTTTTTTTTATGACTCCATTTTTGTTTTCTTTTTTATTTATTTATTTATTTATTTTTTTAATTACTCTTAAAATATTTTATTATTATTATCATTTTCCGTACCGTATACATGTTAATAAAATGTATTTTATTATTTTTTATCGTTGGTTATAATTATTTAACGGTTTTTTATTTATTTCCTTTCGCGCGATTTTAAAACGATTTTATTATTATTATTATTATCATAAATAAAGTTAATAAAAAAAAAAATTATTAACGTAATAATTATCGATGAATTGTTTTTTTTTTTTTATTAAATTTGAAAAAGGTGATAATTTATTAACGCGATGATGATGATGATGATTTTTTATGTTTAGATTTCTACCCCCTCTTCCCCCAGATCCCCTCAGGATTAAATATCTCCTGAATAATATTCGTTTGGAACCACATCAATTCTATAAGTCTATTCTATTCCTGAACTTCTGGAATGTCTGGAATCAGGTAGAAAAAGAAGAATACTTAATCTTAATCCCTTTAATCCAAATACTAATCGCGTATGTTTCTTAATTTAAGGATTAAAATTGGATTAAAGAATTAATACCTGTTTGTTCCTTTTTACACAAAGAAAATTCTGAGATTATACGTACGTATGTAAACCGCGTTTAGAGAGAGAGGGGGGGGGAAAATTGTCGGAAAACTCACCGTAAGATAAACAAAGGATTTAAGTATTTTAATTTCCGTTTGTTTAAAAAAAAAAAATCGATTTTGTTTGTTTCGAAGATTTAAAATTTTTGTCGTGTCGTCGACATTTTTGCCCTCCCTTTTCCCTCCCTCCCTCACTCCCCTCTCTCCTCCCGCCCCCGAAAAATCTTATTTATTCCTTCTTATTAATTTTATTATTATTTTTAAAAACGTGTTTACTTTTTTCTTTTTTTTTTTGTTTTGTTTAATTAACGAATTAATTTTCTAACGTGTGGGAAAATTAAAAATTTTCTTTTACATTGTTATCGATTAAAATTTTAAGAAAATAAATGTTTCCTTTTTAAAAAAGAAAATAAAAAAGAAAACCTGAGGCGCTTTTCTTTTTTTTTTTCGAGTCAAACGCCATTTTTTTTCTTTTTTTTCAGTCAAGCGAGCAACTGTAATAATAATTTTTTTTTTTTAATAACTGTAATAATAATAATAAATTATTATTATTATTAGTTATTACAACCGCATAATAATTAATAATGATAATAATGAGTTATTTTATTAATATTCAAATGAGAGAGAGAGAGAGAGAAAGAGAGAAAATTTATTTTTTTCTTAAAAAAGAATTTGAATTAATTAACCGAGTGACGGACATTTTATATTAATTCTTTGTTACGTTTTATTTATTTTTATTATTTCCGTTTTTCTATTTCGAAAAAATAAACCGGATGTGGAAAAAAAAAATAATAATAATTTTCTAACCGCCGGTTATTAATCGACTTTAATTAAAAAATTATCACACACACACACACAAACGCACACAAAAGAATTTTTTTAAAAATAATAATAATAATAATTTTTTTTCCGATTTTCCCTTTATTTTTCCTACCCTTCCCCCTCGCCCCTCTTCCTCCCCATCATCATTTTTCGTTTCATAACCGTGAAATTGTTTTTTTTTTTTTTTTTTTTTTTTTTTTGTAAAGCAATTTCAAAATAAACCAGTATACAAAACTTTATTGACCTTTTTCTGGCCACAAATTGTTTTTTCTCCCTTTCACTCCCTCCCCCCCTCTCTCTCTTTCTCTCTCTATCCAGATTTTTTTTAAATTTTATTTTATATTTTTTTTTTTTGTCGACCGAGCCGACGACATTAATCTGTCGCGATAATTAAAACGACCAAAAAATTTATAATTAAAAATGAAAAAAAAAAAAAAAAAAAAATTTTGTTTTTGTCTTTTGCCCTTTTGTTTGTTTTGTTTAACATTTTATTATTATTATTATTTTAAAAAGGTTTTTGGAAAATGTGCAAAATTCGGTCGGAAAAACAATGGAAAAATAAAAACTTACCTGATTTCTTTTGTATTCCTGTACGGAAAGCTCAAATAATTGAGCATTTTGTATACCAATACCACCAAATGTTAAATACCTTTGAAATACCTTTAAAAAATAATAATAATAATAATTAACGGTATGTAAAATATAAGGGTGAGAATATTTTTTATTAAAGGGGGGAGGGGGGAAAATTACTTCGACATCTCTCTGTGTAAATTCCTGAGATCCATTTGTTTTATTTATTATTTGAGCTACGCCAATAACATCACCTTCGTAATTACATATTGGCATTGATAAAATTAAATTTGTTTTATATCCGGTACGCATGTCTATTTCGCTGTTGAACCTGGGATCCTAAAATAAAAAAAAACAACAACAAACAAAAACAAAAAAAAAATTTTTTTCCTTCTTCTTCTATCGTTAATAAAACCCTTTTTGCCCCTTTTTTTCTCATATTATTATTATTATTATTCTATTCCAATTCATTTCTTTTCTCATGAGTGAGTTTTTCTTTTTTCTTTTTCATCAAAAAAGAAAATTTTTTTTTCCTTTTTTCCCTTTTTTCCTTTTTTTTCTACGATAAAATTCTCGTTTTAAATCGTTTTAATTTTTTTTTTCTCATCATCATCATCATCATTATTAAATTAAATTAATTTTTTTTTTATTAATATACCCTCATTAAAAATGTTTTAATTGTTTTTTTTCCTTTCTTTTCTAATTATTTTAATAGAAAATTAATTGAAATCAATTAATAAATGAAAATTCTTTTCGAAAACGATCGATCGATTGATTTATTGAGTGAAAATAAAAAAATAAGAAAAAATTTTCCGCCATTTTTTCTTATTTTTTTATTTTATTTTTTATTTTTTAAAAAGAAATGCGTTTACTTATTTTTAAAATAAAGTCGTAAAAGAAAAAATAAAATAAAAAAAACGCGCGTAAAAAAAAAACGTGCGAACGTGCGTGAGAGTATAAAAAAAAGAAGGGAATAAATAATAATAAAAAAAAAATAAAAGAAAATTTCGTTTCCCTTTCTTTCCCTCCTTTCTTCTTCCTCTCTGCTTTTTTTCCCTGCAACATTTTAAATTTCCCTCTTTTTTTTCTCCTGAATTTCCCTGCATTCGAATTTCCCTTGTGCGAGCGAGGGAGGGAAAAAAAAACGAAAACGAAAACTTTTTGCTTTTGAGCTTTTAAAGGATTCGGGGTAGAAGTAAAGGAAGTGGGGAAGAGTAAAAGAAAAAAGTGGGCGGAGCGTGAGGTAGAAAAAAAGAGGGGGTGGGGAGAGTTTAATGGAATGAGGGAAAAAAACGTTTTCTTAACTTTTTTTTTTCTCCCATTTCCCTCGACGAAAAAAAAAAAAAAAAAGAAAACTTTGCCTTTTTTTTCTTTTATTCATTACGATTAGAAATATAATTAAATAAGGCCGGTTTTTATTTTATTTATTTATTTATTTTTTTTAAAATAATAACTTAATTATAAATATAACAAAAATAAAAAAAAATGTCGACACAAAAAAAAAATCTAATGCCACGATAAAATAAATAAAAAAACGGAGAGAGAAATGGAATTTTACAAAAAAAAAATAATAATAATTTTTTTTTGTGTTTCCCCTTCCCCTCCCTTTTTTCCTCCCTACTCCAACATTTATTTCCGGTTGTTTCGATATCGTTCGATTCGGTTAGTGAAAGAAAAAAAAAGGGAATTTTTTCACGATTGATCGTGGTAGAAGAAAAATAAAAATTTTTTACTCACGTTATATGCATCGCTTATGTTAATTATTTCTTTACTTTGAGCAACGTAACCGACGATTCCGACTCCGAATGGAATTTTCAAATCTTCATTTTTAACTTTTTCAATGGCTTCATCAAAATCTAATCAATAATAATGATAATAATAATAATTAGGGATTTTCAACGGTTGGAAACATTCAAAAGAAAATTTTTTTTTTTTTTATTTACCTGTGTCTACCGTTACGTCAAATAATTTAGCGACCAAATAACGTTTATCCGGGGGTCCTCGTGCCAAAAATAAACTTCCTCTATCCGCATATGTCAATAAGCAAACGTTTATTAGAATTTTATGACACAGTACGTCGATATCTAATTCTGTTGCCACGTCTCTTATTAATTCCATAAAAAAATCACCTTCGTCGATGGAATGATTTCTTTTTCGAGTGTCCGCTCTATAATTATTATCATCGACGATAATAAGGGAAAAAAAAATTCTATCATTATTATCATTATCATTATTATCACGATCGTAGCGATAAATACGAGATGAGAATTTTTTTTAATTAATTTATTTTAATTTTAAAAAAATTTATTTACATAAAAAATTATTTATTTAAATGATTTTAAGAGGGAAAACTTTTTTGTTATGAATAATTTTTAACAAGACTCGAATTAGAAAATCGTTAATGAGGAATCGATACTCGTAATTTTCCCGTTGGAAATTTCTAGAAAAAAAATAATAAAGATGATGATTAATAAAATTGTGTCAGGGGAGGGGAGGGGGGAGGGAAATTTCATACAAGAGTTTTCCATCTGGTATTAAGATGATAAATAATCGTTTTAAAAGTGCAAACAATGCGAGGGAAAAAAACGGTTATGAAAAATTTAGAGGAGATGCGTAAAATTCAAGATGGTGTGCGTGAGTGGTCCAGATCTTTTAGTTTATTGTTTCATAAAAAAATTTTTTAAAGTTAAAATGATTTTAAATCACGCGCCGATGAAAAAAAAAGCAGAAAATTTAAAAGAGAAAGAGAGAGAAATTGTTTCTGACGACGGTACTGATCGATAAAATAAATTCTCAAAGGAAAATGTTAATTGCAAGAGAGGAAATGTTTGTACAAATCAAAAAAGAGAAACTATTTCCGGTTGAATTTTTTTTTTTTATAAATAAATGAAAAAAAAAAAAAAAAAAACATGAGTGAAGTCGAAATATGTTTAAATTTTCTTTTTAAATCGCATTTTTTTTCTAAACGGAAGAAATTTATCGGGCCCATTTTTTGTTCGTTAAAAAGAATTTCCGGTCAATATGGCGGACTTTCTTCTAAAAAATTTCTGAAAATAAATTTTTTAAAAAACGTTGAAAATTTTAAAGTTAAAGAAAGTAGAAAAGAAAGAAAACTTTTTTTAAAAAGGTGCAAATTTAACGAATAAAATTTTTAAAAATTTTAAAAACGGAAACGGAAATGGTTTCCGATCGAGATAAAAGTACTGAAGAATTCAATTAACGAACAAAATCTAAATAAAAAAAAAAATTTTTATGAAATTTTCAAAGTAAAAAAAAAGGGGGCGGTAGTAGTACGAAAGAGATTCCAGGTAGAAGATTATTCTGGAAGTTACCTGTCGCATGAAATGATAATGATAATGATAATAATAATTATTATTATTACGATGAAAAGAAAAAATTCAAAGATTTTAATTTAATATATATATATTAACTAAATGAAAATTTTAATGAAAAAAAAAAAAAACTTTTCAATTAAATTTTTTTTTTTTGATTTATTAAATACGCGAAAATGTTATTTAGGTAGGGTGTGGTTGTTGTTGTTGTTGTTCTAGAAATTTCTGGGTCATTTCATTAACTTATTCTCACCGATTTGTAAAAATTTCAAACACGAATAATCGAATTAAATACGGGGGGATATGCGTTCGTATTTATAAATTTCAACGAAAATAAATATTATTATTATGAAGAACGAACGTAAATTTAGTAGAGGTGATGATAATAATAATAATAAATCTTACCCATTTTGAGATTTTAATTTTTTCGGTGATGATGACGAAACCCAAACTTGAAAAAGTTCTGACGTCACAGAATTATTTCTTTCAATTTTTTTCCGTCTCGTCCTTCCATCGTCACCTATGTCTTTTTCAATATCATTATTCTTCTTTGTATCATTATCATTATCATCATCGTCGTCGTCGTCGTCGTTGACGATTGAAGGAGATGATCCACCTCCTTCTCCTCCATTTCCTTCTTGTTTTTTCTGTTTTAATTTAATATCAGTTATTCTTTTTATCAAGTCGTCATTACCATCGCTCACGAGCCATTCTTCGAACGCGCCCGGATGATTCAAATAAATTTCGGTTAGATTGACTTTAATATCATTCATATCAATGACGGTTGTTCTATTGTAACAATAATTCACCATTTTAAATTTTCATTCGGAACCGTTTTTTCATATTTTTTTTTTTTCTATTTCTACCGTTATTTTGTTTGTTTGTTTGTTTACTTTTCCTTTTTCCTTAACTTTCACAACCGTGTGTATATATATTTATTAAACGTGTTTGTGCGTTTATGCGTGCGTGCGTGTTTGTCCGTTTTTTTAAAATAATTTATTCTATTTTATTCCTTTATTTAGAACATTTATTATAGGTCTTTTACTTCTTGCTTTCCTATGAACTATTTTTTTTTTATAGGCAGTGATCATTCTGTTTTTGTTTTTAAAAAAAAAAGAAACTTTAACGTCACGTGACGATTTTTATTTATTTATTCATTAACTATTTCCGGTTTTAGTTTTTGTTTTTATAAAGAAAAAACGTAACTTTTTTTCACGTAATTATTAAATTAAAATCACTCGGATTATATAAAGACGTTACTTCCTGTAAGAAAAATATACGATAGATATATTATTTAAGGATAAATTTTTATTTTTTTCCTTTAAAATTTTTTATCAGGAAAAAAATCGACCAATCAAAAAATTGCAAAAAAAAAAAACAAATTTATGATTAACATAATGAAATTATTATTAAACCACGCCCATTTTTATTTTTTCCACCCTCCACCTCCCCCATCTTCGTCGATTCGAATTTTCGTTGTTGTCCAGACAAGATATAGAAAAATTTATGTCAACCCTCACTCAAATGATAAAAAAAAAAATCTGAAAACACGAGAGAGAGAGAGAAAGAGAGAGAGAGTGAGAGGAAAATTTTTTGTTTTTCCAATGTGAATTCGTTATGTTTTTATTGTATGTCTAAAATTTCATATTTTTTTGCGTGTGCGTGTGTGTAAAAGCAGCACTAAAAAAAAAAAAACTACGTCATGGAATTTCATAATTTGCTTCTTCTTTTCTAAAAAAAAAAAAAATGACTGACTGGAAGACAACACTACTGACATTTTTTTTTTTTTTTTAGTAATAAAAAAAATTTCAAACCCGTAGAAAATTAATAGTCAGCAAAATTTTGTTGAAAAAAAATATGTCGTCGTTAAATATTATAAGATTCATGTAAGAAAAATAAAAAAAATAAAAAAAATTTTCTTTTTGGCGTCGATGATGAGTTTTTTTTTTTTTTTTTATTGGAATGTCTTCATCGATTTAATTACTTGAACCAAATTTTTGCTGATTTTTTTATATTTTTTTTCTAAAACATTCATTCCCTACTTCAAAAAAATTTTTAACTTTTTAAAGGGCAAAGAACTTTAAATAAAAAAAAAAAAACTTTGGTTGAAATTAATTTTGTAAAAATCGTCGGTTTTTACGTCGGAAAGGATTCCCAGAGGGTAGCGGGGAGGGAGGGGGAGGTAGTATAAAATTACACGAGGAGTTTTTATATATATATATATATAAAAAAATAAAAACTTTTTTTTTTTAACCGACTACGTATATATACAATTCATCATGTTTTTTTTTTTTTTTTTTTTTAAAGTGAATTAAGTTTAAAATAAAACGTCAGTCGGGGGGAAATTGAAAATTTTTTTTTTTTATTAAATAAAACCTTTTAAGTTTTTCATTTTTATTTCACCGACTTTTCCACTCCCCCTTAACCCATTTCAACCCCCCTTCTTCCCACACACTCACTCATAATTCCCTTTTGGTTATTTCGTGTTTTTCTTTCCCACCTCCTCACCGACCTCTTGAAAAGAAATCCCGTTTTAAAACAAACCGTAAAAAGAAAAAAAAATATGGCGTACGAAATAATAATAATAATTTTTTTTTAACTCGAAGTTTTCCGCCATTTATTTATTTATTTAATATTTTCTATTAAAAATAATTTTTTTAAAAATTAATTTAATGAGAAGAAAAAAAAAAAGGTTTTCATTTAGATCGTAACGTACGTACTTTGGATAAAATCCAATATAATTTTATGTTAAAGTTAGTAGGTCGTGACAAATTCGATTTAAAAAAAAAAATTTTTTTTTTTTTTTCCCCGTCTAGAAATTTCTGTTGTCACACTTAATTCAATAAAATCGGCAACGGTGTAATACACACACACACACACACACACACACAATCAATTGATCATTTAATCGTTTTACTAAAAAAAAAACTCGTAAAATCTTAAACATATTACAAATTTTCTCATTTAATAGTAATAATAATAATAAATAAACGTACCTTTTTAAAACGAACGAATTCGAAAAATTATTTACTTAATGACGTGTAAAAAATGTTTTTCGATTGATTATTAGAAAATCAAATAAATGACCGCCACCGCCACTGCCACCGCCACCATTGTCATCATCAAATGGTGACCGACTAACGAATGACATTGACGTAAAATAATATTACGTCACAAAATTAATTCACATAATCGATACAACAATTTCAATGATTTTTATTTATTTATTTATTTATTTGACGGTGGAGATTTTTTTTTTTAAGAAAAATATTAATTACGTTAATAAATGAATGAAATTATAATTTTTTTTACATTTCGCGGAGGTGTTGCAAAATGAGAAAAAAGAGGTTTGTGGTGTGAGAGTTAGTGGGGGAGGGATTTGGGGGCGGAGCTAAAAACGATGATTTTTATTCATTACGATCGGATGAATAAATTTTCTTATTTATGCCGGAAAACGTCGTCGTTTCTTTGACGACTATAATAAATATAATTAAAATCAAATTCATTCATTCATTCATTCATTTTATTTAAAATTTCATTTGGGGAATAATAATAATAATAATAATAATAAATTAAATTTTTTTTTTGTCACAAATATTAAAGTTCCATTTGCTACAAAAAAAAAAATATTTATTTCAGGGTTTTTTTTTTTTTTTTTTTGTAAATCGAAAAGGAATATTAAAAAACAAAAAAAAAGGAAACAAGAGCAGCAGCAGCAGCAACAACAGCAACAACAACAGCAACAACAACAGGAACTTTTTTTTTTCTTTTTTAGAACGAGAATAAAATTTTATATATATAAAAATAAATAAGACTGCAGGTGATTGTTTAATGAATTAAACATAAAAAAAGAAAAAGCTTTTTTTCGTTCCTCTCTCTCTTTTTTTTTTCACTTTTATTTTTAAATTGACTGTTGTAAAAAAAAAAAGAAAAAGGAAATAGAGAGAGAGAGAGAGATTTGAAAAAGGCACACACACACACAAAAAGGTCATTAATTGAAAAAACGGTGAAGTGAAAAAAAAAAAAAAAAACAATTTTCTTAATGGATGAATTAGAATTTTTTTTTTATTCGTTCCCCCCTTCCCCCATTTTAGTTTTAAATAATTTTATTTTTTAGGGCATTTCTATAAAAGTAGGTATAGGTATGAATATTTTATTAGCCCCCCCATCGAAATTTCCAAAAAATAAAAAAAAAGGGCGGAATGCAATTGACTTCGTAATAAAAATAAAAACCCAAACTATTTTCTATTTTACCTCGTTTTTCCCCTCCCCCCTTTGAAAAACTTTATCGCCCTCCCCTCCCACTTGATTTCCAAAAGGGGGAGCAAAAGACCCTCATTATTTTTAAATTAAACTGACAGGAATTTTTTTTTTTTTTTTGGATTAAAATAAAATTTCACGGGTTTTTTTTTTTAACGTTAAATCAGAGAAAATTATTATGTAGGAGGAGGGAGGGGAAGAGAGAGGATTTTCATTTCTCATCCCTCTCCTCTGGAAAACCGGCTGAATTTTAATAATAATAATAATAATAATAATAATAATAATAATAAATTCGCTGCGCTTTGTAACAATCAATTTCAATTGGCTCCCCGTAATTTTTAATTTCATTAACGGTAATAAAAATTTTTTCCTCTGTAATTATTATTATCATTTGGGGGGGGGTTTCCCCAAATAAAAAAAAAAATTTTTCTCAAAACGCTATCATTATTATTTCTTTTTATCGATTACATTTAAAAAAGAAAACAAATTTAATTAATAATAAAAATAATAATTTGTATGTTTCAAAAGGGTAAACAATTTTTTCAACTTGGAATTTTTTCAGGGATACTTTATAACATACGTAAAAAAAAAAAAAAGGTTTTCGAATACAATACCTTTTTATTATGTACCTGTCGCGGACACAATAACTGAACTAATTTTTTTTTTTTTCTGTTCAGAATCGAAAAAGAAAAACTAAAAAAAAAAATTTTTTTCTATTTAAATTTCATTTCACATTTTATATCATCACTTAAAACAAAAAAATCTCCACGCACGTTAAATTTTTTTTTATTATTATTATCATTACGACGCCGCGACGCACAAAGAAAAAAATATAATAATAATAATAGAAAATTCGAAATTTTCTTTTTTTTTTTTTTGTGTTTTTCACGCGGGGATATTTAGCTGATCAGCAGCAGCGAACTAATCTTCCTGGGATGCTGCCCGGTACTTGGATGCATTTCCCAAAAATTCTCTTTTCCTCTCTTCATCTTATCCTCTACCACTCCTCTACTCTACTTCCTCTCCTTTCCCTTTTCTACAAAATTCTATTCCAGATTTTCTTTTTTTTTTTTTGCTCTCTGTACAATAAATATAAGGAGACATGCGCATTTAAAGCTTTGCTCAATTTGCTTTTTTTGCTTTATCCGGGAAATTTTTTTTTTTTTCTTTTTCATTTGGCACGTATACTCCTCACAAATATTCCTGTCGTTGAAAACATCACACGATTTTCTTCTTCTTCTTCTCTTTTTTTTCCTGTCGTATATAAATCAATCAAAAATTAAAAAAAAAAAAATTGACGACGGGGACGACACTTTCAATTCTCTCTCTCTCTTTTTTTTTTCGGAAAACGCGCGTTTTCCTGTAAATCGTGCCAAAAAAAATATTTTTTTTTGCAACAACAGCAAAATTTTTTATTAATATATACCTACGGGGAAAATTTTTCATAAAAAAAAAATAAATAAATAAATAATAAATTAAATTATATATTATTAATTTGCTCCGAGTCACTCATGTATACAAAAAAAAAAAAAAAAGAAAAATTTTCCTGTCGTTTGAAATGAATTTTCCCAGGTTTTTATTTATTCGCTCGTGTTATCAGATTCTGAAAATTTTTCGTAATTAATTTTACCGCTTGAATGATAGTCAACGATATCACGTTTCCGGTTTAAATAATTCTACAAAAAAAAAGAAAAAGAAAAAAAAATTTTCCATATTATTATTATTATTATTAATAAGATCTATTGAAGTTATGTATTTTATTTATTATACCTCGCTGTGAAATTTATCTAATTTAAATAACAGGAAACTGTAAAGAATGTTTATGATGCCAACAATTCTCATCATCCATGGAAATCCAACGATTTCAGTCATTCCACTTCCAAAAACTGGACCTGGAATGATTAAAAAAAAATTTTTTCGAATGAATTTCCATTTTGGGGGGGGGGAAAAAAAAGGGAACAAAATTTTTATTTATTGTTTACCTAAAGAATATGCGAGACTGACTGATATTTGTTGCATTGCATAAACGGCACCGTAATGAGTTGAATATTTTGTGTCAACTAAAGCTGCCAAAAGGGGTACGAGAGCAGCATCGACAGCACCGATACCAAAACCGAGAAAAAAATGTGGGATAACTAATTGTAGCATCGTTTTTGCTGCTGGCACCTGCATATTTGTAAACAAATAAAAACTTTTCCTACTGGTAAATCAATAAACAAACGACAGCATGAATTTAAAAAAAAAAAAATTTTTACTGTTTGTTTGTTTAATTTACCAATGATGCAGATAATCCGACCAATATCATAGATGGTATTGCAATCATTGATCTTCTGCTTTGATAAGCTATTAAGGCCATTGAATTTGTACCGATAAAATAACCTAAACTATCGGGTATGAATGCCGTACCGAGTTGCCATTTCTACGACAGCAAAAAACAAAACATTTAAATATGACGTATCATCATGTCGCCAACCTCATTTTTTACAACCTTTGGTTTTATTTCTTGTAGTAGCCATATTGGTAAACAAGGTTCTAATATAGCAATTGTTGATGTTGATATTCCAATAGCACCACCCGTTAAAAGTATTTTCCTGTCGCTGAACAATTGTAACCAACCGGAACTTATATATCGTTTCTGTCGGAAAAAAAATTCTTTTACTTTTTGTTATATTTAACAAAATTGTAAATTTTTACTCACGTCGTTTGATCGTTTTAAATCCGTCAGACATAATTGCAAAGCTGAAAAAATCAAATCGCGACAGTAATTAAAAACGACAGAAATTTAACGAAAAGAAAAATGTCTTTGTGATATATACCTCCATCGATGCATATAAATAAAACAATGATGAGAAAAGGTCCAGTTTTTCCAGAATAATCATACATGAAACCACCGAATGGGTATCCTATGAGTACGCCGACAGCAACGCTACCCAAAACAAAACCCATCATTTTACTTCTTTCCGGTTCTTCCGGATATTTTTCCGCAACCAAACACATACCTGTACGTAAAAAAATAAAATTTATTGACTTTTGAAAAAATATTTTTCTCGGAAAATTTTCTTACTACCTGTTATTCCTATGCATGATGATGCGACACCTTGAAAACTTCTTGCTAAAAATAAAGCAAAGTATCCGGTGCTGAAGGCGAATACTAAAAATTACCAAAAAAATTATAAGATTTTAACGAAAGTAGAATGTTAAGGAGGTAAAAGAAAGGAAAATTACCCGTTGCCGAAATTAAAAGCGTACACGTTCCCAAAAACAACGGAAGCGTGTATCCGACCCTGTTTGTGATAACACCAACAACAGGATTTAATATAAGTTGTACCAAAGCTTTTGATGATAACAAAATGCTCATCCTTCCATTTTCCATATTCGGGACATCGAATATTGTTTTATAGGATGATGATGACGTCACGTTATCATAACTTTCATTTTGATATGATGATATCATTCGATACTCTTGGTTGTTTTCCGGTTTGTTACCATCTATGGAATTTTTTATTAAAAAATCTGGCATTATGGGAACTGATGAAAAAAAAAAAAAAAAGGAACTCGTGAATTCATTTCCGGTTTTTTTTCTTATGCGATTAACAAAAAAAATTTTTCCCACGCACTTACCAACCATTGTTAAAAGTACATTATCCAACAGGAGTGAAAGATACACGACACCGATTGTTATTTTTCTACTGTCGTTAAATAAATTTTTATAAAAACCGTTAAAACAAAACATTTTATTATTATTATTTATTTATTTATTTTATAAAATCATTTCCTGTTGTTGTTGTTGTTGTTGTTTTAAACCGACTTTCACGACCGAACATATTTTTAATACTGTTTATATCGAGGTGTAACATATCATTGTCTGCTGACAAGGTTTAACTTTCTGGATGAATATCACTATGGTTACTAAAGAGACAAATTACGACAAAATTTTTTGCGGTTCGTTTCCCGTTAATATAAATTCGAAAAGAAACATTTTCTAGAAAAAAACAGATTAACATCCCTTTTTTTGATATATTACTACTACTACTACAGGAAAAGAGAAAATTTTTTTTCTTTTTTTTTTCCTGTCGTTTTTTTTTTTTTTTTAATTTATTTATTTTTACTCTTTTATTTTAAATGGCGGTTAGGGACCCGGGAGGGAAGGGGTGGGGGTGGAAACAAATAGTAATAATAATGATAAATATACTTATAAAAAAATAATCATTAAATTTTTCTAATGTATGCTGTTGGGAAATTTTAAACCGAATTCGAAACGTCAATAGAAACGCTAATAGAAATGTAACGGAATTAAAAATAAAAAAAAAGTTTTGCACGTTGAAATATCGAATGATAAGAGATAAGAGTACATCGATCTTAAAAAGGGGGGGAGGTTATTAAACGGAAGTTCTGAAAAAAAATGGACTACATTTGGAATACATTTATGTAGTGTAGAAAATGTAAAAAAACTGAAGCAGCGTCCATAATTGTTACTGACAGGATCTGTAACTGTCACAAAAAGGCAAGAGACCTTTTAAAATACCTGCGAGGAAATCCTTAAAAAACCGAAAAGGGTACCTTAAGAGTTGGTACTACCAAATTGTAGTTATGTCCAGTTGACGTATACGTCATCATTCTACAAAAAAATTAAAAACAACAGCAAACGTTTCAAAAATTGTAAAAAAAAGGAAACAGGAAACAGGAAAGTATACAGGAAAAAAAACGGGAGTTACAAAAACACAAGACACGTCACTGACAATAATAATAATAATAATAATAATTTTATATTAAATATAAAAAAAAGGACATAAAGTCTTTTTAAATTTAAACATGAGATGATTTAAATTTACAAAATTATATAAAAACACACTTGAAACTTATGTTTAACTTACGTACTAAAAACATTTTTTTCCAACTCGAGAAAGAGAGGAAAAAAAAAATTTTTCTTTTTTTTTTTTTTATTTAATGCAATCTTCTCTTTACAGATGCTGCTTTAAATTTCCAGTCTGTTGAAACCAGAACATTATTAGGAAATCAATTTTGACCAACCAACCAACCAACCAGGCAACCAACCCCAAAAAAAAAAAAATCTCGTGTTTTTTTTTTTTTTACAGGATATTTATATTTATTTATTTTCCATCACAAATTTCCCCTACCTCCTCGCAAAAAAAAAAGGTCAAAAAGGTAATAAAAAAAAAAATTAATAATTTATTATTATTATTATGGTGTTGTTAAAATGGCGTCGTTATTTATAAAATTCGGATTCGAAAGTCCGATATTTAATGTTTCGCATATGTTATCACGACGAAAAACATTTCTAAACGATTTCAAATGAGTTTCAGACAAACCCGATGATAATACATTATCATTTAAACAAGGTAATGAATTTATATTGATGCTATTATTATTATTATTATTACTACGTAAAAACGACGTCATCATAAAATAAACTCTCGGACCGAATAAAAATATCAAATAAACGATTCCTGTCGAATTTATCCCAATAGCAACTGCAGCATCCCTGTACGAAGCATCCGACAGTATGCAATAACAACTTATCCAAGCTATCCAAACTAAACTGACGCAATAAATCGTAAACGACAGCAAAAAACCTTCTCTGTGATTTCTTTTCAAACGTATCACGAACGGCGTCGTAGATATTAATAATAATAATAAAATCATATTATAAGAATTATGAATTATGAATTCGTAACGGTTTTCGTCCCGTTCGTTTACTATCCCTTTCCGATTTGTGATAAAGTTCAAGGTCGTAGATACCTGTATTCCGAACAGTGATAAAAACAATATTATTTGTAAATAACCGTTTACGTGACTCACAAAACCGTTGCCTCGAGTTTCGCTTGTTGCTAACATCAAACACCTGGATAGGGTTGATGAAAACAATATGGCGTACGATACGGTTGGCACGACGATTCGAACGATGGAAATCAAACGTGTGACGTCATTATTTTTAACTTCGGATTCGATGTGATAGGGAAACGAGGATATAAACGTTAACATGACGGAAAGCATGAGAAAAATCATAAAAGACGCCGACGACGAACCTCCTTCCCGTAAATCCTCTTTCCACATTCTAATCGTAACGAACGTTAATATCGATGACGTAAGCAATAAACCGGAAATTCCTAAACACGTGTTACCTATGACCCACGTGATTTTTTTCCATTTTAAATTTATCATTGTTATTTTATATACGTTTTCAGATATAATTATTTCACTCGAATTATCATTTTCGTTTTTATTTTTTTTACGAATGCAATTTTTTTTTTTCACTTCCGGTATCGTGAATTTTCCTCTCCTTTTATCATCATCATTATCATTATCATTCGGTGTGATTAAATTTAAAATTTTTTTTTCGTACGTTAAATTATTTAACGATTTATACGTGACGTTTTGTTTTTCGTATATTTCGATTCGTTCTCCATTATTATTATTATCATTTTGATAAATGATAACGTCGGATGCGTTTAACGTTTCAGGTTCAACGAATAAATTATCGTTTATTTTTAATAAATGCGGAATAAATTTTTTTATTTTAAAATTATAAATTTGAAAAATGGCGGCATCTTCGTTTACGTGAACGTATGACGCGATGTATAAAAACATTTCGTTGTTCGGGTTCGGTTTTAATTTTAATATTTTTAACATTTCATCTACGTCATTTCCTTTTGTCGTCATATTTGTTACGTCATCGTCATCATTCGTTCGAGTTAAACTAATTTTTTTTAACGTTTCGTAACAGGTATCGGAATTATAGTTACATACCCGTTCGTTCAAATTTTTAAAATTATCGATGATTTCGATTATTTTTAATGCGGTACCTATAAAAATTGGACTTTTCGTGGGTTCAGAATGTTGATAATAATCATTGCGACCGTTATTATTATTATTATTTCCTCCTCCCACTCCTCCTCCTCCTACTCCTACACTTAAAAAATTTTTTAATATTTTTTCATCTCCGTAAGACGGTAACAAAACGATGACGTTTTTATCATACGCATCTGTAAAATTTATCATTATTATTATCATTATTATTATTATTACTATTATTATTATTATTATTATTATTATTATTATTATTATTATTATTTAAATTTTTTTTTTTACCTAGTACGCGACGACGATCAAAATCCAAATCCGTTGGTACTAAAATTAATTTTTCGTTAAGAAAATCTCCATTTTTTTTATTATCGTTTAATATTTTTATCAAATCCGACATTTTTGAATATTTTGCTATTATTATTATTATCATCATCATCGTGTCAGGTGATTCCGTGTAAGAAGAATCGAAATCCGTCGTGAAATTTTTTTTAAAAATCTCGACAAAACTAAAAAAAAATTAAAATTTTTTTTTTTTTTAGTTTATTTTATTCCACTCGAAATTTTTTTTTTTTTTTGCGTGTGCGTGTTTATTCTGCTGACACTTACTTTTCATCAATAAAATATTTTTCCTGTATGCAAATTTTCCCCCCATTTTCGTTCGATGATTTTTCTATAAATTTATCGAGTATAATATTCGAATCGGAAATAATCGATCGTATGGAAAACGATTGAAAATTCGTTAAAAATTCGAAAATTAAATCGATTAATACGTCATCATCAACAACATGTCGTATTTCTATGGTTTTAATTGTAAAATTATACGACGACGACATATTTCTTTTTTCCAGAACATTCGAACTCGTTAATATACCTAAAATCCATTTTAAACAAAAAATTTTCTCCATTTTTTTCAATTCAAAAAAAAAAAAAATTTTTTTTGTTTTCCTCACCTAAATTTATCGTGTCGTTAGATAAATTTTCTTCTATGGATTTTAAAAAATTTTCTTTTTCATCTTTTTTTGATGAAATTTCATAAATTGACAAACCTTAAAAAATAATTTTAACAAATTTTTTTTTTAATACGAAACAAACGACAGGAAAATGAAAAATGGAAAATGAATGATAACAAACCGATCGTTAAATTCGTTAAATATTTTTCCATGTTTAATCTTTCGATTATCCAAATGGCCGACGCCATTTCTTCCAGTGATTTTAACGATTTTATTTCATTCGAATCCTCTCCTGCATACCTATCGAAAATTCCTGTTTTTCCAATTTATGGAATACGATTATAAAAAAATTATCGTTAATAACCGAAAATGACGTCACAAGGAAAACTTCTACTTACCCGTAAGTGTCACGTTTCCATTTTTATTATAAATTAATTTTCCAAAATTTTCTTCTTTTTTTAATATTTCGCACTTTATTATTATTATTAAATTTAATAATAATTTAATTTTAATTATGTTCCATAATAATTTTTTCATTTTTCCTTTTTTTGTTTTTCCAGAGAACAAACAACTCGTGACGACAAACAACTGAACGCGACGGGACACAAACACACAAAAAATTTTCTACGAGGGGTTATAAAATATAAGGTAGGGGATGATTCATTAAAAGGTGACGTGTGTGTGTGCATGTGTGTGTGTGTAATTGGGGGAGGGGAGGGGGAGGCATGTGCGTGTGAATTACACGTAATAAATGACGGAAAAAAATAATACGAACCCTTTTTTTTTTAATAAAACCCCTAAAGGAAATTCATTCGTACGTGTCCGTGTTTTATTTATAAAAAAAAAAAAAAACAACGAAAAATTATTATTATTATTATTATTATTATTATTATTATTATTATTATTATTAATCGTTACATGAAATTTTATTAATTAATAATGAAATCGAAGAAAATACATAAATGGCGGTGTACGCCGCCATTTTTTCTACGGTCTGGCCAGCGAACAATTATTGACGTAAGCATATGATTCCGTGTAGTATAAGGTACAAAGGGCGGCGTTGTTTTCAAATGATATTTCGGCAACTTTAAATTCCGGATTAATTGAAACCTTAAAATAAATGACGTCACGATGTAAAATGCGTGAAATTTTTTTTTTTTAATAAGGAAAATTAGTGAATATCAAACCTTAAAATGATAAATTCCAGGATCGAGATCGGTTATATCGATCCATTGACAATCGATGTTATAACGATATATATCGGAACAATTAACGGAAATCCCTTGATCGCCGTAATTAGCGCATGCGTATGTCGGTTGGACTCCAGGTATGCATTGATTATCTTCCAAACAAAAAGATGCTTTGTGTCCTTCAGCAACTTTCGTACCGTTTTTATCCATGACGTCAAATGTTGCAAATACTTCCATGCTGTGATAATGCCTGAGAGGAGACAGACAACGCATAAAAAAAAGCGTTTTGGGAAAATGGAAGAGAAATTATTTTAACTCACATGTGACAGGAATGCCATTCCCATAAATGTTTAGGTATGAAGGGTCTAAAATCGGCAGTGCCAACGTTTGGAATTCTCGCAGTGAATCTAAGAAGTCTTCTCGTTTCCAAATGCCATCCGTGCGTGTCTTCTTTTTGTATTTGATATGCTTGAGAAGCCACGCAATTTTCTTCCATTGCACATTGTAAAAAATATAATTGTCGATCTTCTAAATGTATTGTTCTCATTATTTCTTCGTAGTCGATAACCAAATCCGCCATCACTTGAAAACAAAACAAAAATGAAAAGTTTCAGGTTCGTTGTAAATAAAAAATTAAAAATTAAAACTTACTCGGTACGCAAACGACTCCAGCAATGTGTCCTTTTTTCCCAGGGCATTCCACTTGTCCCCATTCGTCGTGGAAGCAGTGGGATAATCCGGTTTCGTTACCACGACATTGCACTCCGCTTAATATCATCGATGTATTACCACCCCCGAAAAAATCCGTTTGTACGGCATCGTTTGCATAACCCAAATTTAATTCCTTACAAATAACGTTGGCTTCTAAAAGACTCCAACCGTCACCGCAAATGACTCCCCAATCTAAAAGAAAAAAGTTTTTTTTTTTTTTCAATATTTAATAAATCAAATGAAAACACGTCACGTCCAGTAAGTTGGAAAAAGAAGGGGGGTAGGGGGGCAGGGGAAAAGAATTTTCGCACAAAAGTGACACGAAAAAAAAAAATTTTTTTTTATATTCTCGAAACGTTTTTTCTTTTTTTTTTTTTTTTTTTTTGTCTAAAACCACGTAATAAATTATACTACAAACCTGAATCTCCTATTTTTATTTCGACTCTTCCTTCTTGCGGTATCCTTCCACCCCTCAGTCTTATTTCAATTTTATCATTTTCTTTAGCTTTATCCTAAAACGAAAAATCAAAAAACGTCGCCATTTTTAAATACATTTTTAATCGTCCGTTCGCGTACCTGAATTTTTTTTTTTTTTTTTTTTTTTTTAAATTTAACTTACAAATAATAATATAGACCTTAATTTTTATTTTAGGTGGTTTTATAGTTTCCGGTTTTTTTACGTAAACTTCCGGTGAATCGCAAACGACTCCGGCAGCTTCATTTTCCGTACAATCGCTTTTACCCCAACCGTCAAATCTACAATCGGCGAGAGTTTTCTCATTTCCATCGCAATATAAATTATCCATCCAAAATTTTCCTGTCGAAAAACCAAAAAAAAAAAAAATTTTTTTTTTTTTTTTCCATTTTTCGTCATGTTGGTATCAATGGGTGAAGGTAATACATTTGTTGACGTATTAAAGTAAATGTAGAACGTGTGCGTGCGTGTGTGTGTGTGTGTGTGACGTTTGTCGTCAATCAAATGAGGTCAAGGGTAATAATATTAATAATATGATAAAAAAAATTATTTTTCTTCTCATATTTTAATGAATTAAAAAAAATCCACGCGTGGCATTAGAACGAATAAAAATAAAGAATTTCGTGGGGGGGAGGGGAGACGGACACTCACGTCTTGCTGTACCAAAAAAGGAATCGTGAGTCGGTTTAACTGCTTTTTCATAACCCAAATAACGGCAGACGATATTTGCTTCCGACATGTCCCATTCGTCGTCGCATATGCTTCCCCATTTTCCTAAATGATGAACTTCGACGTTTCCTAAAAAATTAATTAATTAATTAATTAATTAATACTCTCATTAATAATAATAATAATTAATTAATTAAGATTTCGACATTTTTCTTTAACTTCCTCGTATGCGTAAGGCAATAATAATAATAATACTATTTAATCTTAAAAAAAAAAACGAATCGAAAGTTTATTATTATTATTATTATTATTATTATTATTATTATTGTTATTATTAACGGGAATTTTCATGCGCGAACGTTAATTTTTTTTTTTTTAATTAACGCGAGGTAACCCAATTTAAAAAAAAATAATTTTTTTTTTTTGACGTTTGGGAAAAGGTCAAAGGTTAGGTCGAGTAAAAAATAATAAAACAGCAAAAATTTTTAATTGTTTAATTTAATTAATTATTAATTTAAAAAAAAAAATAAAAATTGATTAGAATTTATTTGAGATACGGCACTGATTTGAAATTTTACAGAGAAAGGGAGGAAGGGAGGAAGGGGGAGGGTTTTCCACCGTACGAATTCATCATCATTTTCTTTTTTTTTTGGGGGGAGGGGGAGGTCGCTTTCGAGGACGTTTTCACAAATTTTCATTTTTTTCTCACTCGTTCGGAGCGAGTTATTTTCCCGGGGTCGGGGGTAATAGGGGGAGGGGGAAGGGTAATAAAAAAAAATTCTTTTGAATTTTTAATAACACGTCGGGTATAATAAAAAATTTTATTATTATTATTATCATGTTTTTATATGTGATATGCGCGAATCGATCGATCGATCAATCGATCAATTTATTGAAATTTTTTGTTTTTTTTTATTAATTGTAATACGTGACTCTCATAACATACGTTCGAACTTTGACCCCCTTTTTTTAAATGAAATTTTTTTTTTTTCGCTCGTTTCTAATAATAATAATAATAATAATGAATACGTCATTACGTAATAAAAATTAATATTTCTATGATAGAAAAATAATTTTTGGAAATTAATTTCGAAAAAAAAAAAAAAATTCGTCTGCTTTTTAATTGATGGCGCCTTTTTGTTATTGTTGTTGTTGTGTTCCGAATGCAGGACCGAAACCAAGAAAAAATTAATATAATAATAATAATAATTGTTATCAGTATTGATGGAAATGATAAAAGAAAAACTTACCCTCGAAAGGTCCTCTTCCATTGACGACTCTTATTATTCCTTCTTGTTTTCTATATTTTTTCATATATTTTTTAATGAGTGTTTTTTTTTTTTCTCGAAAGTTCTGCGTAACGTTCGATGAATCGACACCATATAAATCGATAACGTTAATAAATAAAAAAAAAATTAAGTAAAAATTTTCCAAATTCATTTTTTCCTTTTAAAAAAAAAAACCCTAAAAAAAAAAAATTCACAACGCGATTTCCCCCACACAAAAAAATCAAAATGTCTATTGATTATTATTATTTTTACGATAGTTGTGACGGATCCGATGATGATGATGATAATAATAATAAATCGAACGGAAATCAATCGATTTGACTCCTTGCACGCGTTCTTATCTCCACGTTCATGACTGAACGGATAAAATGATTATAAATGTCGTCCGTTTGTGATTTTTATACTCAAAATTTTTTTCTCTCTCTCTCTCTTTATTTATTTATTTGTCTTTGTCGGTTTTTTGTTGTTGTTGTTTTTGTTGTTGTTGCATTCATTGGTTGTCGTTTGTTGATCGTTTTTGGCCTCACGTCTCGTCTTATGAATTATTATTATTTAAAATTTTTTTTTTGTTTTGGGCGTCGTTGAGTTCCAATTAAGGAATTTTTTTTTTTTTTTTTTTTTGTAAATTGTTATAAATTTAAAATTCGACGCGAAATATTTTTATCCCCTTTTTTTTTCCACGACACAGTGTCAATAATTATCGTGGGATTAATACAAACGATGATGATGATAATAATAATTTTTTAAAAAAAAGGAAAAGGAAAAGTTGTTTCACCATTTTTAATTTTTTTGATTGTTTATAAAACGAACCCAAATTTTTTTATTTTTGTCTTCTTTTTTTTTTTCAATGTGAAGAGAGGGGGTTGGGGAAGGGAAAAAAAGAGGATTGGGAGGGCAGACGAAGGGGGGAAGGTTTCGTGTGTGAGATGAGAAAAAAAATCTTTTTCTCTTTTGAATAATTCATATAACCTTTACAGAAAAAAAAATCAATTATTGATTTATTATTATCATTACTATTATTATTATTTTTTGGTTTTATCATAACATGAGAAAAATATATATTTTAACCAAGAGATAATGGATTCGTTATATATTATCGTAATGACATGGGAATTGATAAAAGATATGTGGAGTACACGCATATCTTCTCACACACACACACACAAATCATTTTTTGCAATAGTCAATAATGGCGAATCATTTTTTTTTTTTTCTTTATAAATTATTTTCTAAAATTGTTTTTTTACTCTTTAAATAAAATTGTTTAAACAAATCGTAAAACATTTTTAAAAAATTTCCCCCCCATCTTAATAATTATTCGCTCAGTATAAAAAATTAAAAAAAAAAAAAAAAGGCGCGGGCGCGAGTTTAATTTCATATATAAAATTTATTTAAATGACGTCACGAATGACGTCAATTTTTTTTAAATTTCATTTACGCGGGTAAAATTTTTCTCATCAATGTAAATAAATAATAATAATTGAAATTTAATTAAATAATTTATGTTATGATGATAATAATAATAATAATGAAAATGTGTGAGTGTTTTCTCACCCTTAAAACATTTCAATTTGTTTGTTTGTTTGTTTGTTTGTTTCTGTCATTATTAATAATAATAATAATTTATATAAGTTTTATTTCATTTTAATATTAAAAAAGGTTTTTTTTTCAATTAAATATTATTTGACTGTTTTTGGTGATAGTTTTTGGTTTATTTATAAAAGAGGCAAGTTGTCATTATTAATAATAATAATAATAATAATATTTATTGATTGGAAAAAAAAGTAAAATAATTGTTTACATAACATTTAGTTAATCAAAATGTTTATAAGAATTTGATGATTTGTTAATCCATTTAAAATGATGATTACATAATATTAATATTAAAGTTTTGATTTTATTTTATAAAGCGATTTTATTATTTTTTTAAACAACACATAGAAGGCAACGTTTATAATCTACTGTTTCATTAAACTGTCATGAATTATGATTTATATTGTTGTCCTTTGTAACAAACAAAAAAATTTTTCTTTTTTTTTTTTTTTTTTTTTGGTCAAGTACACAAAAATTTACTTGTGATATATTTAAATTTTTTTTTTTTTTTGAAAAAGAATTTAAATTACTATTAAAACAAATCAATCATTATTAATTTTTTTCTTTTGTTAATTATCAAACAATTTTTTTTCATTAATATTCTTCTTTTTTTTTTTTTTAATTACTAAAAAGTTTTTCTTGGAAAAAAAAAAAAAAGGATTTCAGTTAGTTTTTATGGCTTCGTATTGCTTACAAATTTTATTAAATTTATTATGTCTTTTTTTTGTTAGAAAGATATAAATTAAAAAGAAATGACAAATAATGTTTAATTGAATTGAGAAATGAGAAATGAAAATTTTATGAGATTTATAATAATTTTTTTGTGTTTCAAAGATAAATTTTATATATTTGATGTTATATAATTAAGGATAGTAAATTAAATTAAAATTTTAAAAGGTTTTTAAATAAATAATACTGATAATAATATAAAATAATTAATTTTATTAAAAAATAATATATAAATTAAGTTCGTTACATAAAGCTGTAGTATATGAGTAAATGAGTGACAGTGATGCCAACTGACTTTTCGCCATTTTCTGTTTTGTTTCAAAACTTGAGCGAAAAAAAAATGTGTAAAATAATTTTAATTTTTATTTGATTCGTTAACATTTTAAAAATTTATTATTTAAATATTATTTATTTTTAAATAACGAATAATATTTTAAAATTATTTTATAATAATAATGATAAAAGTTTTAAAAATATTTTATTTGATTCACGTAGTTAATAGCAGAAGCTGCTTAGAAATCAAGATCTCATAAAATTATCGATGTGGGAACTCAACTCATCATCTAAACAAATTAATTAATAGTTTTATTTTATTAATATAGTTGTAGTCGTTTTTATTTATTTATTTATTTATAAACGTAGTGAATAAGTGAAAAATTTGGTCAAAAGAAAAAAAATTAATATTTTCAATTAATCGTAAAACGGATGAGTTAATTTTTATTTTATTTAAATGTAAAATGAATTTTGAAAGGTGTACATGAAAATATCGCCATTTTCAAAAATTTGTGTGTGCATTTACCACACCCCTTCTATTTGTTGTTTTTGTTTTAATGGGAAAGGGTCGGTTTCGACCCGGAAACCGGGATAACCGCCAAGCTGGAATTGATGGAGCTAGAAAATATTGTCGCGAATACAGTGTATTTAAAGGCAAGAGAAGGTAAGTTTTTGAAAAGAAAAAAAAAAAAAAAAAAAAAAAAGATGATCCATTACCCAGTCAATGTTGTTTTTCGTACGAGAGAGAGAAAAAAAAAAAATCGTTCCTTAATCCAAAGTAAAATTATATAAATATTAAATTTTTCATTTTAATTTTTCTAGTTTAAAAAAAAAAAATTTGATTGTTTTTCTTATAATTTTTTTTTTATTATTATTCAAATAAAATTTTTAAAGTCACAAAGTAATCAGGTGACTAGATAAAAAAACTTTTACAATATTTGTCAGAGCTTTTTTCTGTAATCGTTTTCATTATTTAATCACATTAAAAAACTTAACAAAAACTTTACATAATTAAAGAAAAAAAATAAATAAATAATTTATTTATTAGAAATTTATTTATTGAGATGAAACTTTTAAAGATTTTTTTTTTTTTTTTTTTTTAAAATAATCAATCGCACATTTGAAATAATTTTTATATTTTTATTATTATTCGAATTAAACTAATAATTTTTTTATTGAGGTGGTTCAGATAATAATAAAGGGAAAAGTAAAAAATGGAGAAAAATTCTACAGTTTCCTCACATATCTCACTGTTTGGAATTAAAGAACAAAATTGATGTCAAATACTCGTACATAATCGATCAACAACCTATTGGAAGATTGTTATTTCGTCAATTTTGCGAAAGTGAAAATAATAAAAAATATCATCAGTACAATGATTTCCTCGATTTATTGGTAATTATTCTTTTTCTATTTATATTTTTACCTTCTACTTCTATCATTTTTTCTACCTGTTTGATTTATTTATGTAATTATAATTTTTTTTTTTGTTTTGTTTTGTTTTGTTTTCAGGAGAGATATGAAATTGAATCGGATGAAAATCGTAATGAAAGTGCACAGAAAATATACTCTACATATTTAGACAGAGACAGTTTAAATGCTGTCGATATAATCAATATTGATTTGATACAAAAGTGTAAAGAAAGATTGAACAATGCTGACAGGGATTTGTTTTTAGAATGTTTATCAATAGTTAAAAATTATTTAGCAAATGAGCCATTTTCAGAGTTCCTAGAATCAATGTATTTCCACAGATATTTACAGTGGAAATGGCTGGAAAGGTAAATAAAAGAAGTCAATTATCTAACGCAATTTTTTCAAATTGAAACATATATTCTTATTATTTAAAATTATTTTTAATTTATTATTTTTAGCTTGCCGGTTACGTACAAAACATTTAGGATGTATCGAGTGTTGGGAAAGGGAGGATTCGGAGAAGTCTGTGCTTGTCAGGTGCGAAAACGTTAGTTTTTTAAAAAAATGTCTTGATTTTTTTATTTTATTTTTTTATTTTTATTTTGCCTTGTGTGTCTTTTTTTTTCTTTCCAGGAATTTCATCCCGAAATTTTTTTTTTTTTTTTTTCATTTCCTATGAATTCCTTTATTTTCCCATCACCACCACCACCACCAATCCCATCATTCGTAACAAGTTAAAAAGGTATAATGTGTTTTTTTTTTTTTTTTTTTTAAACAAAAAAAGGTTTCTTTTAAAACAATTTTAAAATCATTTTATTTGAACAGGTTCGAGCTACGGGTAAAATGTACGCTTGTAAAAAATTGGAAAAGAAAAGGATAAAGAAAAGAAAGGGAGAAGCCATGGTATTGATAGAGAAACAAATATTGCAAAAAATAAATTCACGTTTCGTTGTTAGTCTGGCATATGCATACGAAACAAAAGATGCTCTTTGCCTCGTTTTAACAATTATGAACGGTGGAGATTTGAAATTTCACATATACAATATGGGTGGGGAACCAGGTTTCGATTTGTATCGTGCAAGATTTTATGCTGCCGAGGTATAGTCTATATATATATATTTTATATCTCAACCGATATCAATGACGTCATTGTTTTTTAATGATAATTTTTTTTTTGTGAAAAAAACAGGTTTTGTGCGGACTCGAACATTTACACGCTCAGGGTATCGTTTACAGAGACTGCAAACCTGAAAACATATTATTAGACGATCACGGTCACGTTAGAATATCAGATTTAGGATTAGCCGTACAAATACCGGAAGGAGACATGGTGAGAGGTAGAGTGGGTACCGTCGGTTACATGGCACCCGAAGTTATTTACAACGAGAAATATACATTTTCTCCAGACTGGTTTAGTTTCGGATGTTTAATTTATGAAATGATCGAAGGACAAGCTCCTTTTAGGTCGGTTGTTGTTGTGATGGCATGAGGAATAAGTGAAAAAAAAAAAAAAAAGGAGATGTAGGGTTATATTGTTTTTTTTTTTTTTTGCCCTCCAGAGCGAGAAAAGAAAAAGTCAAAAGAGAGGAAGTCGATAGGAGAGTGAAAGAAGACCAAGAAAAGTATTCGCATAAATTTACGGAGGAAGCCAAATCTCTTTGTCAACAATTGTTGAAAAAAAATCCAAAAATTCGACTCGGTTGCTCGAGTGGGAGAAACGGTGCCAAAGAAATAAAGCAACACGAATTGTTTAAGTGTTTGCAATGGAAAAGGCTGGAAGCTGGAGTTTGGGAACCTCCCTTCGTTCCAGATCCTCACGCCGTATACGCCAAAGATGTATTAGACATTGAACAATTTTCAACCGTCAAAGGAGTCAATCTCGATGCGACAGACGATACGTTTTATAGTAAATTCAACACGGGAAGCGTTTCGATACCCTGGCAAAACGAGGTAAACCGGAAATTGACAAATGTTTTGGATTTTGTGTGTTCCGGTCGTCGCGGAGTCGTCGATTGATTTGTTGGTTTTTGACGTATCATGTTCTTTTACAGATGATCGAAACGGAATGTTTTAAAGAACTTAACGAGTTCGGACCGAACAATACTCGCACACCCGATTTAATATTGGACGCACCACCGGAACCCGAATCTCCCGGTTGTTTCCCATTTAGAAGAAAGAAAAGACAACCGTCAAGAACAAAACCGATACCGATTCAAAATCATCAATTCGTACCCAGCTGAGTGAATAAAGGTAAGAGCATGGGGGGAGGGGGAAGGGGGAAGAGAAGGAGGGGAGAGAGAGAGAGAGAGGAGGAAGTAAGGATCGAGAAAATTTTTTTGGTTTTTCAGGTGAGGGGAAAGGTTTGATTGAAACAAGCCATCGTCCTAAGCCCTCGTTCGACAAAGCCCCGGAAAAATGGTTCGCCGAAAAAAAAAAAAAAAGAAAAAAAAATGACGAGTCAAACGTAATAATAAATATTTTTAATCATTCCAGTAAAAATAATAATAATAATAATAATAAGACTAGGTGTTCTTCAAAATTGAGATTTTTCTATAGCGTCGTAGATGTCCGCGATAATAATAATAATAATAATAATAATAGTAATAGTAATGATGAATGTGATAATAAAAAATGTAAAAGTTTACCAAACATACGAATGGAATTCACAACCAGGGAAAATTCGGATGACTATTACAAATCAAAATATTGTCTAACGAATCCTTTGAACAACGTGCCATGGGCGAGAGAAAACGCGGGAAAAAACGATGATGAAGAAAATGGCAACAAACAAGACAAACAACCGGAAACGAATCGTTTCGATGAACCGACGGAACCGGATTTGACAACTTGGGCCGCGTTGTTTTTGGAAAATAATCCGTCGTACTGACTCCGTCTCGGAAAAAATCCTCGTATCCGAAAAAGAAAACGCGGAAAATCTTCGTATTGTTGTCATCTTACGCAATGCGTAATCGATGATCGGAAAAACGAACAAACGCACAAACAAGTCTTGTCTGGGGGATGAAATAATAAGAGAAAAACTCATCTACCAACCTAAAAATGAATCAATCATCCGCGCACATTCCGCGTTCGAAGTTCGTTAAAAATGAGAAAAGAACAAACTAAAAAATGGAGGAATGAATGAATGAATGAATGAATGAGAGGAGACAAAGACGGAAGATAAAAGAGAAAGACAAAGAAGGAGGAGGAGGAGGTGGAAAAAATGGCGGGAAAATTGTTTTTTCTTTTTCTTTTTCTCTGGATGTTACAAAAAATTGTTTCTTATAATTGATAAAAAAAAGTAATTGTAAAAAACCTTTTATTATTATTATTATTATTATTATTATTATTATTATTATTATTATTATCATCATTATTTAAAATTTCTTTTTTTTTGTGTTTTTATTCGTACCTTAAAACTGTGATGATGATTTTTTTTCTTTTCTTTTTTTTTTTTTTTTAATGTTTTAAAACTGAATTTATGTTATATTTATTATTATTATTATTATTATTATTATCATCATCATCATCATCAACGCCGCTATCGAGTGATCAAATTTTCGGTCGGTTGAAAAAAAAAAAAAAAGAAAAAAAAATTTATTTATATTTACTTTTTAAAAATAATTTACACGTAATAAAGTAAGGAGTGTGTGTGCGTGTGAGAGAGAAAGAGAGAGTGGGAGAGTGTGTGAGGGAGTAAGAGAGAAAAAAAATACTTGCCAATAATAATTTTTTTTTTTTTTTCGAAAATTTTTCTTGTCCCTATTATGTCCCCCCCTCGTTTCCCCTTTTATCCCTTTACCGTTCCACACCCCCCGCCCGCAATCTTCCCCCCTTTCCCTTTTAATAATTGTTTTTTTTATGCACGCATGTTTATATGTATGTATTTTTAAATTGTGTCAATAATTATTAAAGTGAAAAGAAAAATAGTTATTAAAATGACATAAATCATAATCAATTAGGATAATAAATGATAGAGAGAGAGAGAGAGAGAGATGGTAAATGATAGTCAAAGATAGATAAAATATTTAAATAAAAAAGATTTATTATCCATGTGCTAATAATAATAATGTCTCGTCGTGCCATGTCGTCATCATCATCATCATCATCATCATTATTAATTGTATATACATATATAATCGATAAAAGATAAAAAAAACAAATAAATAAATAATCGATTATGTTAATAATTCAATTTTTTTGTATATTTTCCTTTTTATGATATTATATTACGTCATCACATAATCGTTTGATGTATAAATGAATAATAATAATAATAATAATAAAACCAATAACAATTTAATATATATAATTATATTTATTATTAAAATTAAATAATAATAATAATAATAATAATGAAAAAAGATTAAAGCAAAAATTTTTTTAATTAAAAAGCATTTTTTTTTTTTAATTAACAATTTAAATGTTAAAATTAATAAATATTACATAATTATCATCATCATCATCATCATCATCAACATCATCATCAATATCATTTACGTCATCAACGTCTTGATTATTATTATTATTATTAATTATGAATGTTGTTATTTTGATGCGTTAATTAAATTTAATATTATTATTATTTGAAGAGTTTTTATATCAGCAATGCGGTTATTTTACAGATCGATTCATCAGTCAATCAATCAATCAATCAATCAATTAATCAATCATTTTCTATTATTATTATTTATAACGATGACTATTAACGTTCGTTATAATTAAAAAAAAAAAATTGTATTGTACTTGTTGTTGTGTTTTACCTGTCATTATCATTACCTGTTTATTTATTTATTTATTAAAGTAAATTAAATGCGAGAGCAAAAAGTTAAACGATAGCAAAAAACATTGTTTTCTCTCTCTATTCGCGTCTCTTTATTTTTTTTTTTAATTTGCTATGAATCACTCGAAATAAAAAAAAAAATCAAAATTACGAGAGGGGGAGAGGGGAGAGAAAACTAAAAAAAAAAAATTTGACGACGATGATGGTGGTGGTGGTGGTGATGGTGATAATGGCGATTACGATGAAGATATTATTAACTTAATTATAATCACATAATTGTAAACAAAAAAACATGTTAAAAATAAAAAAAAAAAAAGTAAAAATCGTTACGTAATTGGGAAGAAAACGGACGAGACGGAAGAGGGGAGGAGAAAGGAAAGGGAATAAAGCGGATTGGTTCGCTAGAAAAAAGGGAGGGGAAAAGTGAAGGTGATTGGTTCGTTAAATAAAGAGTGGAGGAAGGAAACGAAGGTGATTGGTTCGCTAGATAAAAAGGGGAGGAAGGAGAATCGAAATCGGATTCGTACGGATTCGTGGTAGTAGTGGGAAGGGGAAAAAAGGAAACGGAAATCCCAAATTTACAAAATAACATAATTATCCTATTTGACAAAAAAAAAAAAAACAAATAATAATAATAATTAAACAATACATATAAAAAAAATTTTTTTTTTAAAATTAAAATTTTACTTTTCCGGCGACCGCCATTTTGTTTTTTTAAAAAAAAAAGGAAAAAAATAAAAAAAAATGAAAAATCTTGGACGATTCATCCATTATTGGTATTTAATAATATTTTAAATAAGATAAAAAAAGGTTTCATTATTAAAAGGTTATTAATAATAATAATAATGATAATAATAAACCCTTTTGCCAAATGAATTACTGATAAGGTAAAAAAAAGTAAGAAAATTTACAGTTAATTAATAATAATAATAATAATAATAAACAACAAACTCATTAAATATCTATAAACTAAATTATTTTTAACCTTTTACAACAAATGTTTTACCTCACTTTGTTAATTACAACAACAAAAATAATAATAATAATAATAATAATAATAATAATTTGACTAAATATGGCAGTTATTTTATAAACTATATTTTATATATATATATATATATATATGCGGCAGTAATTTGGCAGGACTAACATAATATACACAACATATGTATATGCGTGCGCGCGTGTTTTTGCGTGTTCAAATTATCATTATCATCATCGTAGTCGCCATTGATACGAACGTGACTGTTAAATCGCAGTGGGAGTTATAATAGCAATAATAATAATAATAATAATAATAATAATAATAATAATAATAATTCACGCGGATTTTTTTTTACAAGGCTCGTATTTTTTATTACGAGCACCCGCACGCACGCACGCACGCACGCACTTTCTGTATGCATGTTTGTGTTTGTGTTTGTTTATGTTTGTATGTTTGTTTGTATAAGCATTTATGTATAAATTTAAAATATCTATTTAAAATTAATTAATTAACAAACTCGTCGTAACTTTCATCGTCGTCGTCGTCGTCGTCATCTTCATCTTCGTCATTTCCCAAATCTGGAAACCTACGGAAAAAAAAATGATGATGATAATAATAATAATAATAATAATAATAATAATAATAATAATAATAAACGATTTAAATCAACGGATCGTCGAATAAATAGATAAATAAATAATTTTTTTTTTTACCATTAATAACTCTTGTTTCGAACGACTCTCATTGGCTTGCGTAAAAAAAATAATAATGATAATGATAATGATAATAATAATTAACGTTTATTGTCAAAGTCGAGAAAAAGTGACGGGGAAGGGGGAGGAGGGGAGGGGATGGGATGGGGGAGAAAAAAGTAAACGCGTGTTAACGTAAATAAATTATTAACCCTGTTTGTCCGTAAATTTTATGTAATGGCGGCCTCGATTTTTTTTCCATCGCAAATAAATAAATAAATAAAAATTAATTAATAATAATAATAATAATAATAATAATTTTACAATATAAAAATTCAATTTATTTATTTATGCGTGTCCCCCGTAATTATATATATATATATATATATATATATATATATATATATATATATGTTACAGGCAATGTGCGAAAAATCTGGTTCGGTTTTTAAATCCCGAAAATCCCCGAAATTAAAGTTCGGCTTTAATTTCTAATACATCTCGTCGATGAATCGGATGTGACGTCATCAACAATTTAACTAACAACCGCCGGTTGAGGCGGAAGTGCTAGGATCAGAACCTTAACAAACAACAACCGAAATCCGTACAATATTAATAAAATAATAATAATTTCATAAGCTAAGTAAAAGTTTTCGTAAAACGATCAAGTAAAAATGTGTCACGCGGGCGTCACCTTCCCCCCACTTCACCTCCCTCCCCCCATTACGTTTGTCACTTCGTATCATCATCGCCCGTAACGTAAATACATATATATTTATGTATATAATAATAATAATTATTATTATTAAGATTAATTTTAAATTATATTTCACAAAATGGAATACATAAAAAATAAATAAATAAAAAATATATATAAAAACCCGCTTTTGCACGAATCCGATTTGATGAGAGTCGATGACGTCGTCGGCGTCGTCATCGACGTCGTCATCAACGTAGGTATGAGCCTTTTTTTATACGACGTCGAATTTCTCGTTTTTATCGACGTTTTAACAAATAATTTATTTTTATCGAAGGGTTTGCTTATTATTTTAAATTTGAAATTTGACGACGGATACGACGACGTCGTCCGCGTCGTCGTCGTCGTCGTCGTCGTCCTAATTATTTCGTGTTTAAATATGTCATTATTATTATTATTATTATTGTTATGAAAATTATTTCTGTAATGATTCGAAGTAGTGTAAAATAAATCGTGTCGATCGTTTACGTCATCTGTCGTCACGTAAAAACCGTTAAAAGTCGGTAAAACTTTTATTGTTTTCCCGATTGTTTCGTTGTTGTTGTTGTTTGTATTTGACGTCATATTATACAACAACCACAAATTCCTTTCACTTTTTTTTTAAAATAATCCGCAAATGCATGCGTGAAAAAAAAAAAACAAATTATTTTATTTTATTATTTTTGATATTAATTGTTTTTTTTGTTTTCGAATCAAAAGGTTAAAGGTCATATTTAGGTATGATAATAGTTTGAACTTACTTTGAACATTCGTGTACGTTTTTAGAAGACAATACTGTATTATTGAAATTAACCGGAGAACCACCGATTTTCAATGAATGAATACAACCATTGAGTCCTCGAGTGTATAAACCTGACGTCATACGTTCAAAATTTGGTAATCCTCCTATAAATAATAATAACGATTTAATACATATATAATGACGTCATCCGCCATATTTTATTTTATTTCACTTTAAAGGATTTTACCTATGTATATATTTCCGGCTGTGTTTAATGACGTTAAATGTCCGCTCGATTCGACGTATTTAATTTCCCCATTGTTGTCCACTTCCAACCTTCCTTCTTTGGCATTTCTCGTAAGTACTGCTCTGTGTCTTTTACCGTCCGTCACTTTTTTATCGCTTCTTATGTGTACGGAACCGGAACCCAATTCGTAACTCATTTCCAAATATCCATCGACAACTGATGACAGTAAATTCATCGATTAATTGAACCGTTTCCGGTTTGTTTCCGTTTAGTTTAGTTCGATAATTATTTTACCTGCTACGGCCAGATAATCTTGTCCGTAACCGTTTTGACGAGCTTCTTGTCCGTGCCAGTAAAGGAGACCATCTTCCGTTGTGGAAAATTCAATGACTATGTTATTAGCTTCCTGTGATTTTTCTCCCGCCAAATCTTGTCTTAATTCTATGTAACCGTCACCGCGAAAACCGACGGAAGCCGATACGTCAAGACCTAAAAAATCGGTAGAAATCGTGAATTTAGGGAGGGGAGGAAGGTGGGGGGGGGGAATTCTGGTTTTGATTTTCCAATCAATCAAATTTCTTACGTTCTTCGCAAGTGGGTCCCGTGAATCCAAAGGTACACTGACAGTGATATGTTGTTTCCGTACCCGTGCACAGTCCGTTGTTCTTACAGGGCTTCAAAGTGAAACATAATCCGATTTGTGTTTCACAATGTCTTCCCGTGTATCCTTCGGGACAGGAACAGGAATAACTGTCGCCCTGTAACGATGATTACATTTCCGTAAATTAGAAACATAAAAAGGAGGAAAGCGTAAAAAGATCAATTTGTCATCATTTTTCACTCACTTCCGGATAACACATTCCGCCATTTATGCAAGGGTTGTGACTTCCGCAAACTGAAACTCTTTGATGATGACCGCTTCCGTGACCGTTACCGTGTCCGTTCATACTTTCGGACATATGACCGTGTCCGTGTCCGTGTCCATGTCCGTGATCGTTACCATGTCCGTTGCCATGACCGTTACTATGACCGTTACCATGACCGTTACCATGTCCATTACCGTTCATAAATCCATGTCCCAGACCGTGGCTGTGAGTTCGTCCGAAACCATTAAGAAAACCCTCCGGTATCGGACCTGGACAATTTCCTACGTTTGCAGAATCCACGGCAGATTTTTTAAAATCTAAATCTAAACCGGAAACTTGAACCTACATAGGAAAGAAATAATTTTTTTCATTTCCGTTTCGGAATTTTCCTCAAACATAAAACCCAATCGAAACTCACATTCGAAACGCAACCGCTAAAACCGTTTTTAACTCCCACATATGGGGAAACGTTAATTTTTTCTTCGTCGTAACCACCGACGTAGAGCAAAGTTTTAAGATTAAGCATTGGATTCCTCGATCTCGTATCAGACACTTCTCTTTCATCTTCACCGGCTTTAACGGATAATCTACCCTCTTTGAAATCTCTCAATGCGTTTATCGTTATCCATTCGTTTTCACCGAAAAAGTTATCCACTCTCAATTTGGTGGGACCTGTTAATGAGGAAAAAGTAATTAATGACGATACCCTGTGCCTGCGGGTTCCAACCTTCGTACGACACAATACCTGATTCGTTTTTGTATGAAAATTCAACTCCTCCATCTTTCATTGCAACAGCAACAAAATCTCTTAAACCTTCTTCGTCACTTCCGCAGTACATGATTAAACCGTCTCTTAAATCTTGAGGTTTTGCTTTCATCGAAACCTTAAACCTTTAAAAAGGAAGAAGACAACAGTTGGCATTACTGACATTCGAATAACGATTTCAAATTTATATTTAAAAACCCGACTTACTTTCTCAAAGCTTTTGGAGTCGGATACGCGACGTATGCGTTGTTGGCAAAAGATGGTACGATGACTTCGACATCATTTTCGCAACGTTTTCCTTCTTTTCCGAGTGGGCACTTACAATGAATTCCATTTTCTTTTTCCATGCATTTCCCTTCGCCGCAAGCTCCGTAAAAACAATTTTCTCCAACCTGAAACGTTTAACGATGTGGAAACGTGAACTTCCGGAAACGGAAATACGTACAATAAAAACAAACAAAATTTTTTTTTTACTTTGTCGCAATTATCTCCGTTGAATCCCGATGGGCATATACATGCGTATCCTTCTTTCGTCGGTGCCTCTTGACAAACTCCACCGTTTCTACATTTGTGTTCGGCGCATGTTTCGCAGGTTGTTATACCCTCGGAAAACGTTGCATCTTTAACCAAATCAAGTTCTGCACTTCCTATTTTCATTCTGCTTATGCAACCTGTCAAAACATTTTTTTTTCATTTTTAAAATTCGAACCTTTTCATCGTCGGAAAACATTTCCCGCATTGAACTTACCGACTAAACCTTTCGTGTAGCCAACCGATCGGTGAATGTTATTAAAATTAGATACTCCTCCGACGTATAATGGTTCGACCAAGTCCAATCCTTGGAATGTACCAGTTGTCGAACCTGTGAAAGGACCTTCGTCATCGACGTACATGATTCCTGACAGGTACACAACAAAACCAATTTAACATTCATCAACCTTTTTTTTCCCCCCCATAACAAACAATTTTCTTTTTCCCTTCATCTTACTCACCATCCTTTCTAGATCTTGTCAATTTAACAGTGTGCCAACGTCCCAACGAAACCGGTCTGTCGTTTTTAATTGTTGCTGTACCGGAACCGACGTCAAATTTAAATTCTACGTAACCGTCATTGAGACCCAAAGATACGAAATCACCGCTTCCTCCTTTCTGTTGTCCATTGTACAAAATCAAACCTAAGAAAAAAGGGAAGAAAAGGTTAAGGTTAACACTAAGAGCAAAACAACCGGAAACGGCGGTTAAACAAAAGCAATAATTTCTCACCATTGCTATCTTCCGGTTTAAAAGAAACTTCGATATCGAAATTTAAATATGCATCGGGAAGAGTTGGGAAAACCATGTAACTACTCGGTGCCTGTGGGAAATGTGGTACAACACCCGTGACGATCAACGTTACCGGTATGTCAACTTTTGTCTGTGCATTTTGAGCCATGCAAACATAAGTTCCGGCATCGTGAGCTTTAACGTCTGTTATTACCAAAGAGCGCTAAAGAACAAACAACAACAACAACGAATTTAATAATAAAAGTTAAAAGGACAACAACAAACAACAAACATCAAACAACAAACAAAAAATCCTTTACTTCTTTTATGTACGAATCTTTCGGTAACGCTCCATTTTGTTTTTGCCATGAAAACGATACCGGGGGTGGCAAATCCGTTTTACATTCCAATTCAACGGTTTTACCATATTGCGACGTTTGTATTTCTCCGAGTTTATCATGTGCGTTAACATCTGCAAGAGCCAAAAAAAATTACGTAAAAAAATCTTTATAAAAACAAACAAACAAACAAACAAACAAACGATAATCTCACCATTTAAAACGGTTACGACATAATCTTCGTGACGTATATTTTGCGGACTTTGAGTTTTGCATCTGTAAACTCCATCGTTCTCTAAACGGGCATCAACGATTCTACAATCATAAAATTTACACAATAATAATAATAATGATCACGACAGTGAGAGCAACAACCACAACAACCTCACCTTAAAACGTTTCCGAAAGATTGAACGTTACTTTCGAAATTTCCATCCACTTTAGTCCATACCAACGACGATGATGGTACTCCACCGCTTGCTATGCATCTCAATTCCAGAACTTCACCTTCTTTAACATTCGGTGAACTCGGTTCGATCTTCAAGTAGGCATTTGGGGTGTCTGCATAAATTCGTTAAATTATTATTATTAACAAACAAAGAAAAATTTCAATTTCACGATCGCGATCGCGTAAACAAAAACTATATATATATATATATATATATATATAAACGCATTAAAAATTTATTTTAAAAAACAATAATGATAATGATAATAATTGTAGTAATAATAATAATAATAATAATAATAAAACATTCATTTTTTTGAAAATGAAAACACTAACCGGGTTAATTCCATCATTCCACCTTTTAACACACAAAAATAAAAAAGTGTAAAGACCGATCAAGTGTATTAAAAAAATACATACATAATCTTCGGATTATCTCGTTTGATAATCCGATAATCCTTGTTAATCATAAACACAAACACTACAACTACTAACCGTAGTATATAGAGTGAAAGAAAAAGGATACCCGTAAGAAGACAAATTATTTAAATATTATTATTATTACATTCGCAAAAAACACATTTAAAAAAAAAAAAAAAAAAAAAAAAACATTTTTTTTTTCGTCATGGTATCTCTCTCATAGTAGAGATATCACACGTCATTTCCGGTATTTTCGTTTCCAAATATCCTCTTCTTCTTCCACGTTCCAAAAACATAACCGACAGGCAGACATTATAAAAACAATCACCACCACCACCACCATCATCATCATCACCACAACCGCAAAATAAAATCGAAAAATTTAAAAATACCACGTCGTTATTGAAAGAAAGAGAGAAAGAGAAAGAGAAAGAGATAGAGAGATAGAAAGCGACAGAGAGAGAAAGAGAGAAAGAGAGAGAGAGAGAGAAAAAGAGAGAGAAAGCGATAGAGAGAGAGAGAGAGAGAGAAGGGTAAAGGTAATAAGAGAAAAAAAATTATTGGAAAATGCAATAAGATAAGCGTTGTTAAAAAGGAATAAAATGGTTAACATAATTTATGTAAGCTTGTTTGTTTTGTTTGTTTCGCTTGTTTGCTTGTTTGTTTTAATTGATTGATAATAAAAAGGAAATTTAATTAAATAAATAAAATAAAATAAAAATAAAAAATAAAAAAACAAACCACGTCCGCGACGACAATATCTCTCATCAGATTGGTCCCTACAGTCCACTACTCCGTCGCAGACCGAATGGACCGGAATACATTCTCTGCTTTCAACGCACTCAAATTCTCTTGAGGGTTGACATCTTTCACCAGATCCTTTAATATATAAACACCGCCCATGCACAGTCATTCAATTAGTTCTTTCTTTCTTTTTTTTTTTTTTTTTTTTGGATGGGGGGACTTGGGGAAAAGAGCTTGGGGGGAGAAGGTTCGAGAGGGAAAAGATTCGGAAAGAGGAGGGAAGAAAAAAAAAGGGAAAATGAATCGGGAAAGGAGAGAGAGAGAGAGAGAGAGAGAGAGAGAGAGAGAGAGGAGAGAGGAGAGATGTTTTTAAAAAAAAACTGTTTTTTTAAAAAAAAAAAAAAAAAAACTTTCGCGTTCGCGTAGCAAAAAGCAAAAATTTTAATAAGCGCAAAAAAAATTTCCCGGTCACAAAAAAAATTATAAAAAAAAAATTCTTTAAAAAAAATTAGTTTTTACACCACTGCCCCAAAAATTATTACAGTGGCATGCATTTTAAAAAAAAAATTAAAAAATCAAAAAAAAAAAAAAGTGAAAGTAAGAAAGAGAAGAGAGAGAAGAGAGAAAGAGAGATAGAGAGAGAGAGAGAGAGAGAGAGAGAGAGAGCAAAAAACAAAAAAAAAATTTATTTTTTTTTTTTTTTAAAAAAAACAAAAAAAATTTTTCATGCCCGAAAAAAAATCAAAAAATTCAAAAAAATTCAAAAAATACAAAAAAAAATTATAAATAAACAAAAGGGGGGGGGGGTAGTTTAAAAAATTTTTTTTGCTGTCGTTCAACAACAACGACAACAAAAATTAAATTTGCTGCGAAAAATTTGCTGTAAAAACATTTAAAAAAATAAAATAAAATAAAAAATAAAATAAAAAAAAAAACGTAAAAAAAAAAAAAAACAACGTTCGTATAAAATTATAATTATTATTATTTACGTTCAAAAAAAAAAAAAAAGAAAAAATTAATAATAATGATAATAAAATCAATATCGAGTCTCCTGTAAAATTAATATTTACCTTACGTACCCAATCGTAATGATGATGATAATAATAATAATAATAAAATAACCGTTCGTCCGTTCGTTCGAAATGAATCCACGAACGGTCAACAAGTAAAAAAAAAAAAAAAAAATTTTTTTCTTTTCGTTCCATTACGATTGTTTATTAATTTTACAGCAGACGAAAATAATAATAATAATACACAACAAAGAAAAAAATAAAATACAATTTCTCTTTTAAAAAACAATAAGAAAAAAATAAAATGAAATAATAATAATAATAATAATAATATGAAAAGCGTTTTCGTGTCTAAAGAAAGAAAATTTCAAAAAAAAAAAAAAAAGAAAAACTTAAAAGTGAGGCATTTAAAGTTTTAAAAAAATTATTAAATTATTAATTAAAATAAGCAATTTTTAAGTTTAAATTCTAATGCCACGTTTGTATCACGTCGTGACGTAATCAAAAGATTTGTACAGGTATGGTATGTACGTGCGCACGCGGGCGCACGTGTAATCAAGGGAAAGAGAGTCCCCCCCTTGACTCTTAATGAATTCGATTCATCGCGTCACGTTCGAACGGTGAAAACAATTTTGCTTTGGGGGCGGGGGGGGGGAAACGACAATTAAGGTACTTACGATAACCGGAAGTGCTTGGTCATTGATAAAAGGTCGTGCCTGATAAAATGAAAGTGTGTGCGTGTGCTCTTCCAACAAACGGGAAACGCGAATTTTACGGGAGACATTTTTTTAAAAAAAATTTTAATTCACTATAATGACGTCACAGAACAAGAACCGGAAATCACTTGAGAAATATAATCGAAAAACCGGAAACGGTTTTTTTTTTTTTTTACAAACGATTCACTACAATTTGTTGTTCGTACAAATTTATTTTCACTTTTTTTTTGTAAACAAAACCAACACGAATAATTAACAAACAATCAAATAATAATAATAATAGTGAACACTTTTAACCGCAGCAAAAAAAAACCGTCATTGTAACCGACAGCAAAAAAAAAAAAAAAAAAGAGAACGTGTGACGTAATGACATAAAATACCCTGTCGCGTATTAATTACCTGAGCGTTTTTTTTACCTGAAATGTGCGCGTGGAAACCGGAAGTGAAACACAACAACATCCGGTTTTTAAATATATATATATAAGGGTAACTACTATTGTTTTCCCGCACAAAATCTTCTGCTATATACACATAAATACCGTGATAATAGATAAAATAAAAACAACAATCGCGTATATTAATGTCGTCTGCTAAAAACTACATAAATATATATATATTAATTAAAAAAACTCTCTTATCATTATTATTATTAAGTTGAACACTTTCGCGTGTTTTTTTTATTATTTAACGATAAACCTAACACTAATATTATTATTATTATTATTATTATTATTATTATTAGGGGAAGCCATATTAGAGCGAAAAAAAAAAAATTGATAATAATAATTCTAATCTAACGCGCCTATAAAATGCCTCACTTATTTATTTACGTAAAAAAAAAGAAGAAAAGACTTTTCCAGAAGAGAGTGGGGGGGGGGGTTGAAGAGAGAAAAAGAGAAAGAGATAGAGAGAGAGAGAGAGAGAAAAAAAATTTTTTTTTTTTTAAAAATCTTCCAAGAAGTAGTGACACGTCATCAAAATTTACTCACTGTCGACTCGGAGGTAAACGTAATCGCTTTGTATTCCCGAAGGAGTCGATATCTGGCAGGAGTAACGTCCTTCGTCCGAGGGACTCACGTCGACTATTTGAAGCATTTCTCCTCTTGGGAAAGCATTTTGCGGAAGAGGATATCCTCCTTCTTTGGTCCATTCGACGTGAGGAGTATGACCGGAACCGTCAGGATGTACGTAACAATTTAATGTTACCGATGAACCCACTCTTGCCGTAACATCCGGTTCGGCCGCCATTATCGAGGCACCCGATTCCGATGCTGCTGTGTAAAAAAATTTATTTGAAAAAAAAAAAAAAAAAAATGAGTTTGTAAAACAGGAAGCGTCGTCTTTTTGGCGGGAAATTTAAAAAAAAAAAATCTCTCTGACGTCATGCGATTAAAATGAGTTTCGTAAGTTAAACATTACGGAGTGAAATTACGGTGTTACTGGAAAATTTTTTTTTAAGTCGTGCCTGGAACGTATTAAATCGGACCTTAGGGTTAGATAATAAATTAAATGAAATTTCGTTTGTTGTTGTTATCATTATCATCGAATAAGAAAAAGTCTGGAAAAGTTTTATCGTTCATGTCCTAAACCTGGAGAAGAAGAAAAAAAAAGCGTAAAAGAATCATGCAGCAAATTATAAATTTGCCTTACCCCTAACGTCATCTTCGGGTTCTATATTGAACAGAAAAAAAAAACAAAAAAGGAATTACGATTTTTTTTCCTTTTCCTGGAGAAATTTTTTTTTACGTCTTCGTTTGTAATAATAATAATAATAATAAAACGGGATCGATGGTTCTTACCTAAAACTTCTACTTCGGCTATGGCTTCGGCCTCTCCGGCATAATTTACGGCCCTGCATAAATATTTTCCAGCATCTTGTACGGAAATCGATCTGAAATTAAGGACTCCACCGTTGACGTAAGCGCTATCCGGAAGTCTACGATTCACGGCTGACCATTCGATGGTTATGGGTTCGTCTCCGGTTGCCGAACATGTCGTGTAAGCACTGTCACCGAGTCTTACAACTTGTCGTATGGGTACCAAAGTGATTCTCGGAGGAGCTGAAAGAAAGTAAATTTTTTACTCGTTCAACTTCTTTTGTACCTTTTTTGTTTTTCCTTTCCTCCTTTTCGAGGTTACTCACCTACAACGGCCAAATTAGCTTTCGCGGTAAAAAGTACTTGTCCGAGATTGTTAAGTCCGATGCATTGATATTCGCCAGCGTAGTCAGATTGTACGTTTTCTATGTATAATGTTCCGTTTTCGACTCTCGATCCTGCTGGTAGAGGAGCGTTACCGGCACGTATCCAATCTAAAAATTCTCCAGGTCCTAGATCTGGAAAAGAAAGAAACGATTGTTCAGTTAAGAGAAATAAAAGAAATTTTTTGGATTCAAGTAACAAACAACTACGAACTTTCAGCTCTGCATCTGATTTCCGCTCTTCCGCCGATAGGGACAGAGTAAGCATCGTCAGAAGAAGGATGAGAATAAGGAGGTCGCGGACGTCTGAAATCTTCCGGTTGATACGGTGGCCTTTGATGTTCGGGATAGTGAGAACCTCTTCTGTCTTCCGGATAATGCGATCCTCTATTTTCGTCCGGTCTGAAGGGTTCGGGATAGTGAGAGCCTCTATGTCTGTCGTCGGGTTGTGGCCTTTCATGATCGGGACGGTAAGAACCTCTTCTGTCATTCGGTCTACGGTAATCAGGATGGTACGATCCTCTCCTGTCTTCCGGTTGGTACGGATGTCTCGATTGCTAATCACATAAAATTTTTTTAGTACAATATTCCTCATCTCGAACGAAGAAAAAAGGCAAAAGTTCCAAATTACCCCGTATGCGTCGCCACCTCCAGACGCGATATCTCCTCTAGTGGGTCCGATGTTATTGTCCAATTCGACTCTGAGCATGAGCCTTTCTTCCGTCGTTCCAGCCGAATTGATCGCTATACAAGAATAAGATCCTTCGTCTGCTTTGCTTACTCTCGTTATTTCGTGTACGGCTGCCATAGGTTGACCTTCGGTTATGCTTACGCTGAATCTAAGACCAAAAAATTCACTTTTTAAAACCGGACAAACTCGTTAAATTATAAAAAAAAATTTTTTTAAACTTACGGATGTTCTCTGTAACTAGTCTTAGACCATGAAACGCTTGGTGTCGGAGACCCAGTAGCTCTACATTCCAATTTAACTCTTTGTCCTTCCACAACGGAAACATCGTTGGATGGAGTTATTGTTATGACCGGTTTCGATTGTACTTCAATACTGGCAATCGCGTCTACACTTCCGGCACTGTTTTCAGCACGGCAAATGAATTGTCCTGCATCTTCCAATTTCATATCAGAAAACCTGAGAGGGGGGGAAAGTTAAATGTTAAAAATCAAAATGGCGGATGTGAAGCACAAAATAAAAAAATGGATTGTACCTTAAAACTCCGTTTGGTAATTCTTCGATATTCGAACCGAGAGACCTTCCATCAGATTTAGACCATCTGATTTGAGGTGTGGGGTCTCCTTGCGTGACCCTACATTGCAGTATCAAACTTCCACCTTCGTGTACGGTTTGACTGGCGGCAGGATACAATTCCACAGCCGGAGGTTCTCTTCTTTCGATGTCAACAAATGCAGAAGCCTGTGCGGAACCCGTGGGTGAATCAGCAATGCACAAGTAAGTACCTCTATCTTTCATCATAGCGTTTTCTATTCTCAACAATCCACCGTAATCTCGAGCATTGTCTCCTAAATCTTGTCCGACTCTTGTCCATCGTACTTTCGGCTGTGGTTCTCCTCTTGCGTTACAATGCAATTCTGCCGTGGTACCTTGCGCGACGGTTAATCTCTCAGGATCAATTTGTACGATTGGAGGAGCACTTTTTTTTTGGGGGAGGGAAAAAATATATGTTAAAAATTTCCAAAAAAAAAAAAAGGAAAAAAAAAAGAAAAAAAAAATTTGAAGATGCTCACCCAGTGGAGTAAACGGAAATGCGTGCAACCGATTCACCAGCTTGTCTTCCGGATTGATCGTATGCACTGCACATGTAGACTCCCGAATCGGAAGGTGAGACATCGTATAAAGTTAATATTCCTTCTCGTACAGACGAATTCGGTGGCAATTCTCTTCCGTCTCGTGTCCATCTAAGAGTGTAACCTCTCGGTGCTTGACAGTAAAAGTTGACAGTTTCCCTTCCGGGTCCGTTATATTCTTGCGGACTGATGCTAACTCTAACTTTGGTTTCCGGTGGACCGGGTTCTGTTAAAACGCAATGACAATAATTTAACCCTTCGAAAACAACCGTTCTACAAATAAAAACCAAAACCAACCTCTTCCTCTAACGACCAACATGGCTTCTTGACTATCTTGTCCGGCAACGTTTGACGCAGTGCAAATATAATTTCCAGCATCTGCCAATCTGACTCTTGGAATGTAAACGACGCCATCGTAGAAAGTAACATCGGGGCTGAGGGGTTCTCTGCTAGCGGAATTCCATCTTAGCGTTGGTGCCGGATTTCCGGTTGCGGTACATTTTATTTCAACGGGTTCGCCTTCTCTCACTTCCGTCACTCTCGGATGTATGGTAACTTGAGGTCTCGAATGAGGAGAACCTTAAAATGATATTTTATCGATTTAAATATTGCCAACAATACAAACAAAAAAAAAAAATGTTGGCAAAGCTTTTTGTTTTTCAGGACCGTACCCGGTGCGAGAACGACATTTTCCGGTATATCTTACGTAAGCATAAATAAATAAAAGAAGAAACAAACTAAATTAAATTACAATAAAGAAAGAAAAGCAAATTTTCAATCGTTAGATTTCAGAGCGACAACATTTGAAATTTTTTTTTTTTTTTTTACCTCCAACAACTAAAGTGGCACGACTCGTTTCCGTCGTGTATCCATCCGATGCGTCACATATGTAGGTACCGGAATCTGAAACTTCCGCCGTGTGTATCACCAACAAACCATCTCTATCTTCTATGTATCTACCGTATGGCAAATCTCCATCTTCTTTATACCAACGAATGTTGACTGGACGCTGGAAAATTTTTTTTCAAATTTGTTTATATTATTCGTTTGTCAAACACTAACAAAAAATTTCGTAAAAAAATTTTCTACTCACTCCAGGTTCGGATGATTCTCCAACGCATCTAAATCTCGCAGTGCCACCAACTTCAATAACTTGTATGGCAGGTTCGGCAATTGTAACGTTCAACGATGGTGTGACAGGTTGTAAAGGCTTGGACGGTTCCGTTGGACGTTCCGGAGTTCCTGTCGAAATAATTCAAAAAAAAAAAAAAAAATTATTAAAACTCTTTTTTCTTTTCTTTTGTCTTTTACAACAGTCATCGTTATTATTTAAACACATTTAAATTGTGCGAATGTTGTGTGACATCCATCAAAAGCTTTTCCAAATTCTCTCTGTCATTTAAAAGTGTACAGAAGAAAAGTTTTATAAATATTATTATTATTATTATTATTATTATTATTATCCCAGAAAGTGAAATGGCAGAATACCAAGCAGCAGAAAGAGTATTGACAACACATTTTTTTTTTTAAATCATCTATAGATAAAATAAATAGACACAAGTATATATATAAAAAAAAAAAAAAAAAAGTTTGGTCGGGTAATTTCTCGATATTTATAACGAACTTATATACGAAACACTATTTACACGTTTTGTGACACGAACACGTGACGGTCACGTGAGTATGTGTGTGCATGTTTGGGCTCGGGTGATACACATCTACATGAAATTCTAACGTGTGCTCGCGTAACCTTTCAAGTGCTTTAAGAAGTAAAATTAACGCGTCGTGGCTCAGGTAGTTAATAATCGTAGTTACGAAAACGATCGTGGTTTTAGATTAACGAAAATAATCCCTCATCACCGGTTTGTACGCCTACGCAACAGATAAAACACACAAAATATATATAAAACATAATAATAATACTTTTTTTTTTTTGGGGGGGGGGGTTGTTACACACATCAGGATGAAAACACAATATGATATTACATAGTCGCGCGTGTTCGGGTGACGTTAGAGAGTATGAGAAAAAAAAAGAGGAGTAGGAGGAGGAGGAGGACCCCTTAAAAATTTTTTTAGAACGGGAGCAAGAGAGTCCCAAAAAGAAAAGGGTTTTTTTTATTTTTTTGCGTCTTTTCGAACCTGTGCCAGCGATCATCGCAGTTACTTTCCCTACTTCGACACCATCTCGATTAAAAAGGATGCAATCGACGAGTTTAATTTCCGGAAACAAACGAACGATCATTTCTCTTTGACCCCCGTATGCGTACATTTCGAAATGATCTTCTTCGTAGTTGGCTTTCTTAAAATAAGTATCCGGATGAGAGATGTTTGGTAAGCTGAATTTAATCGTCATTTCTTCGCTACTCTCGTATTCGCATAGAAAACTTTGCTCATAGCCTACCGGTCTTTTTGAAACTCTAGTAGGCGTGATCATTATTTTTAGCATACCTGATCGTGTGTGATAAAAAAAAAAAAAAATTTACATTGTTAAATTTTTTCCCTTAACTAGGTACGTTATGGAAGACTAGAAAACAAACGCAAAAAAAATTGTCTTCTTCTTCTACTTCTTCTTCTATACGTTTGTTTGTTTGTGTGCTTGTGTTTATATATTCGCGCGTGTGTGTGTGTGTGTAAATCGATGATTATGATGATAAGGCACCGTCCGTTTCCTCTCTTTTTTTATTTGTTTGTGGATTAACATTGTGAACGAAGAGAATTTTCCGAATGCACAAAGATCGAATCAAGGTTCGAAAAAGAAAAAAAAAAGAAAAAATTTTTTCGTTTGCTGTACCTGCCATCTCGCAGTATCTTCCGGTGTAACCTTGTTTGCAACTGCATAAAACTCTTCCGTCTCCCTCCAAAACGCAACTTTCTTCGTGGTTGTGACACGGGCATTTCTTACACATTCCAAAAGCCGTTGGCGATGATCTATCGTACACGTCTCGGTAGTATCCAGGTTGGCAAACCTTTGAAAAAAAAAAAAAAAAATTTGAGCGTGAAACTTTTTAAAATTTTTTTTTTCTACTAATTTTCGAAACTATCGAGCGTTTGATACCTCGCAAGACATTCCTTCGTAACCGGGTGGACACCTGCATATTTCGACGTCCGTTGATTTTCTATCGTCACCGCTGAAATGTGACACGGCCGTATCCATGGCTATGTCACTCAAATAAGTCGAATGAAGTTGATTGTAGGGGGTTGCCAAAACCAAAATGGCTTCGAGATTAGATAAAACGGACATCAAATCCGATCTGGATGCTGGTCTGAAACCGAAATTCTCTTGTCTTTTCCAATCTCTTTCCCTCAGCGGAATCGAAATGACCTGTAAAATTTTTTAAATTGACTTTGTAGAAAACAAACAAATCACCATCAGCGGTAATGATCGAATCATCCAGTCTCCCTACCTGAGTTGCATTGGACGAAAGTTGTTCCGGATTGTTCCAGAACAATGTAACACCGTTACCGATTAAAATAACGTCTTTGTCCGTGCTGGGCCTTGATGCGTAAGTCGTTTCAAATCTTTGAGTCAAAGTAAGATGTCCTCCGTAAGAAGCAACCTTTTTAAGTAAAAGAAATAAAATTACAAAAAAATCCTTTAAAAAACATTTTAAAAAAACCGTTACTCGAACCTTGTTTCCGGTAAAGACCGGTGGAAGAGTCCAGAACAAATGTTGAGTTCTTCCCGGTGGAAATTGAAATCCGATTTCGTTTTCTGCACTGTTCAAACTAAAACCTGATTTTATCACGTTTCGGCGAGAACTGAAAACATTAATAATAATAATAATAATAATAATAATCGGTATCAATAAGAAAAAAGTCGGAGTGAATTCTTACGAAATTCTTACCTGTCGGACAAAGTGAAATGATTGTCGATACCTTCTAATACCTGCATGGGGATTTGAGTGACGTAAAGATTAGAAGACTGACAATCTTCGGTAACACCCGAGCAAAAACATTTGTGACAACCTTCGGGATTTTCTTCGGATAAACCAAACGAACCGAATTTACATTGATCGCATTTGAAACCTTCGACGTTTGCCTGAAAATTTTTATTAAAAAAACCTGAAAAAAAATCCTATGATGACGTCAATTTACTAGAAAAACGATAAACATTACTTTGCACACGCATTGTCCTCCTGGACAATCAGTTCTGAAACTTCCTCTTGAATCGCAATTGCAAGAAATGCTTTCACCAGCCAAATAACAACCTTCGCTTGACAGGGGATCTCCTGCGTATCCCGGTTGACATTCGTCACAATTTTCACCGGTCGTACCGTGCCTGCAATTCTATTTGGAAAAAAGAAAAAGATTTCAATGAATCGATCGTGAAAATTTTTCTTTTTTATCGTCATTTTAAATTTTCTTACGGTGCAAGTTCCGGTTTCGGGATCGCATTCGTTACTGTGTCCGTTGCAAGAACAAGGTTCGCAGGTTCCCAAATACAATCCTTCTTCGGTTCTCGTGTAACCTATGTCACAATCTTCGCAAGATAAACCACGGTAACCGACTGGACATTGACAATGTTCGACTTCAAACGCTCTTTCTTGTCCTTTTGTGAGAGAGAGAGAGAGAGAGAGAGAGAGAGAGAGAGAGAGAGGGAAAACATTAATAAGTGTTCCTACCACAGAAATCCAAAACTCAAAGACCTCTACATACCTGTATTCCTTTCTTCGGCGATATCCAAACTGACTCTGACCAAGGATGCTTGTTTCGTTATGGTTGTATAAGTTGCTTTTATAAGAATGTTTTTCAAATCGGCCAAAGCCATTATCAAATGTTCTCTGTTTGCCGGTTTGCCATCGTGTCTTTGCCAGTATTGTTCCATCAATGGTACAGCAACGGTTTGAGGTTCGTTAACGACCAATCGATCGTTTGGATTGAAATAAAGGAGTCTGATGTCGTTATCCTACAGGATGAATACAATCAATCAATCATTTTTTATATAAAGTACTGATTTTCCGATCAACAACTCTCTCAAATATACAAAAAAAAAAAAAAAAAAAATCAAATAAAAACTTACACTTATCAATTCTACATCTGGCGCGTTATTTTTCGAGAGTGCGCCACCTTCGACCGTTGTAAATCTAACTGTGTAGTTAAGGTATCCGCCGTAAGATGTCACTTTGTTACCCAAAAACGCCGGTGGTAGGACCCAGTAATAAACCTTTCAGAAAAAAAAATAGAAAATTTAGAATGTGAATGAATGAACATAAATGACGAATCCTCGAGAGTATGTTGTCGTGTCTTACTTCCGGTGGACGCCTGTTAAAATCTTGATAAACTAATTCTTTTTCCGTGGCATCGAAATGAATGCCGGAATCGAGAAAAGCTCCCGTAGAGTATTCTTGAAGTTTGAAACCTTGAGTATCTCTTGCAAACGAAGCCATCACTTGTTGCCTGTACCATCTCGAACTGTCACATTGACCGGTCACTCCAGAACAGAAACAACTAATGCAACCGAGTACGTTTTTAGAATTCAAAAAGAATGTGTTTGCCTTGCATTGATTACAAGTAGGTCCGGTCGCGAAATCCTAAAATACAAAAAAAAAAAAATTTTTTTTACTATTTAAAATCTAAAAAATTTCGTGACGTTACCCCCCAAAAGCAAACTCACCAAAAACAATTTTTTAAGCAGCGTGTAAAAAAAAAATAAAATAGTAATAATAATAATAATAATAAATAAAATTATTTGCGTAACCGTTTCCGGTAACAACGTACCTTGCATTCGCAAAGTCCAGTACTAGGATTTGGAGATGGAGAAAGACTTCCGCTCGGATCGCATATATCACTCTTGCAAGAGTCTCCGGGAATGTTCGGATTACCAGCAAAACCAGCATCGCATCTTTCGCATCTTCTACCAACGTAACCAGGAGGACAATCGCACGTGACTTGACCGTCAGCATCTAAATGACAGGTGCGACCGAACCTGAATAACAAATATAAAAAAATTTTAATTAAATGAGAGAGATACCGACCCTAGTGGTAGTAGCTATCATATTTTCAAACTTACTGGTTCGATGGATTCGTCAACGGGCAAGGACATATTTGACATGGAATGTTTCTACTAGGATCACCGTACATTCCAGCAGGACATGTTATCACTTCTCTAACGCATTCTCCTCGCCATCTATCTGAACCGGGTCTTCTTTCGTATCCAGGTGCGCAGTCCTAATAATTTTATCGTCATTAACAACTATCCATTTTACATTTGACAAAAAAAAAACAATTTTTAATAACTACCTCGCAAGAAAATCCGACGTAACCGACTGGACAGTGACATTTTTCAACAAAATTAGATTTTCCAAGTCCGGAATCTCTCGGTCCAGCAGATTCCAGTCGTACATTTGAAACTGTCGTATCCAAAACATCCCCATCTAAGTATTGAGCTCTAAAAACGAGGTGAAAAATTTGTGTGTGAGATTTTTCTACAAAAATGTAACTGTCTTCTCGTACAAAGGCAGGGGCACTCACCGTATGAGGATGCTATCGATGTCGGCCAATATGTTCATTATGTCTTCTCTTATGGCTATCAATTCACCTCTGGATGTTTGCTTTTTCCAAGATCCCGGCCAGAATCGAATAGAAACATCTTTGGCATTGGAATGACCAGGATGATGAGGACTGGGAGGATGATATACCATAACTTCGCCGTTTCGACCCTGTCAAAAAAACGATTTAAGTTTTATCCAAAGAATTTTCTGGAAAAATTCAAAACGTACACCAAATAAATACCGTTATGATGACGTCAGGTGCGATGATGGGTCTACCATTACCGTCAAACATGAGCGTGTATTTAAAATGACCACCGTAAGATTTTAATTGATTTCCTCTGAAGGCATCCGGCATTACGAAATATGGTATGACGTGTTCTCCAAATTCGGATTCATCGGGTGTTGCTCTCGAGAATAACTAAAAGAGAGAAGAAAAAAAATTTTTTTTTTTTTCTCTCTTCCGCCATAACGAAATCTCTAAAAATTTTAAAATTGCAAACTCACTTGGAAACCGTTAGTCACCGGTCTTATGCTCGGTGCCATGGATCTAAATGTTATGTGAGGCCTTATTTCGACCGAACCATCTGGAGATGTTTTCACACCGATCAATTTATATTGCGTTAATGGAGCTGGAATTTCGTAAATGTACAATTCGGCACTCTTGCACGATAATGCTCTACCGAAACCGAAACAATTGAGACATTCTTCGGTTCTTTGTGCGGCCGAATTGAACGTTCCCAACGGGCAAACCGTGGGAGATGATTTTTCGGTACACATTAAATTCGTATCCGGTACGGCAAGATCGGCTCCACGGGTGTTGAGGGCTTCGCAACTGTAAGCTCCTTGATCTTCTTCCTGTCGATTAAAAAAAAAAAAAAAAAAAAAATTACCGTGGTAAATTCTTCGTCACGTGTTCGACTTCCAAAGTGAAAAGAACAAAAAACTTACTCTGATATCGACGCAAGTAAGGATACCAAAACCATCTTTTGAAGTTTGAGTACATTTGCTCGGAACGTGACCCCAGTTTCGCCTCCACGAAATTTCCGGTACGGGACCACCTATGGCCGTGCAATTGATAGTAAATGTCATACCGACTCCGCAATCTAATTTCACTTCTGCCGGTGGTGGAATGATAACCTTCGGTTTTGCTGAAACGAATAATAATAATAATGGTTCAACCCGTTCCCCAACCAATCAAACGAACCCAAAAAATCGCGTGTGAAAACTCACAACATTGACTTTCATCGCTTCCATCTTGACAATCGAATTCTCCGTCACATTCGTACGATTTTGGAATGCATTGAGTACCGGAGCGACATGCGTATTCGTTGGGTTGACAAACTCCTCCGGGTGACACGACGTGACAATTTTCTTCATCGGAACCATCACCGCAATCGTCATCGAAATCGCACCTCCACGCTTTCGACACGCACTTCTTATTGTTACACCTGAATTCGTTGGGTTCGCATCCGTGAAGACCTAATACCAAACGAAACGTGACGCGATAATTAATCCTCCTCCTCCCCCCCCCCGCGCAAAACTCCTCATCATTAACTTTTAATAAAAAAAAAAAAAAAAAAAAACTCACTGCATCGAAGTTCGTCCGAACCATCCGTGCAATCGTGTCTTCCATCGCAAACTTGTGCTTTGTTTATGCATTCCCCGTTGGAACAAGTTGCCTGATGATTTTTACAAGCTGGTTGACGAGTCGAAGGTTCATTATCTAAATTACAAAAAGTAATAATTATTACTCTTCTAAAAAAAAAAAAAATTTATTACCCGTTAAAGGCGGTTAATTAGAAAAAAACCATCTTACCGTACACGTCGTCCGCGTTTAATTAAAAACGAACATAAAAAATTATTATTATTATTATTCGATTTCCGGTTTTAGAAAAAAATTTTTTTTTTTTAGTTTTTATCACTTGCCTGGATTATAATATTCGATTTTGGCTATACGTCCCGCACCGATTTGTGCGAGTAATAATTTTGCCAATGAATTATTACCGGCTGCGTGTAATTAAAGTATTTTTATCAAACGATATAAAATCGACATCGTGTCAATAGAAAGAAATTATTATTTTCATCTACTACCACTTACATGCTTCGACTTTAAGTACGACGTTGACTTTTTGTCCGGGATGTGATGGGGGATAATCCGGTGCTTCGCACGTGTACACACCGGCTTGAGTTCTTTGTATGTTTGGTATTTCCAAACGACCGTTGAAATCTATCGAACCCGGTGGTAGTGGTCCTCCTTCTCTCATCCATTTGACTTTGGCACGTATGGGTCCTTCGTCTCTGCATTGGAAGACAACTTCGCGACCTTTTTACCAAAAAAAAAAAACCGTTTTATTTTCGTGTTCTTTCAAATCGAATTTGTTTTTTTTTTTTTTTTAAATTTCATTTTCCGCCATTCATTACTTACTCTTCAACACTTTTGAAAGCGGTGATAAAAAATAGAAAGAAAACAATATAAATAATTTTTTGTGATGAGCCCCCTCACCCTCCCCCTCCCCTCGGCCCCCTCTTATCAATTAAAAAAAACTTTAAACGAACTTACCTTCTCTTATTATTTGACTGTTCGGATATGTGACCAATTTAAGTTCTTCTCTCGGCGGAGGACCTAAATAATAATAATAATATTATTAGAATAATTGATGAGTATGACGTCATGTTAAAAAATTCATTCAAACTAAAATTGTTTAATTAATTAATTAATTAAAAAAGTTAAAATTAATTACAAAAAAAAAAGAAAAAACCACATGGAAAAAAATAAAATTATTATAAGTTGAATTAAAAAAACATTAAAAAACCAATCAACGATATATTTTTTTTATATTCCATTTTTTTGATGAAAATTTTTTAAAATTTTTTTTTTAGAAAAATAATCGTTGCTATATTAAACTTTTGTTAAGTTTCGTTTTTTTAAAAAAAAAAAAAAAGTTTGAAGAAGAAAATTTTTTCCGTTATCAATTAAATATCGTTAATGAATGAGTGAATGAATTTTATATTTTTTACCGTTTTTTTTTTTTTTTGTTTTTCGGATGAGTAAAATGAGTCTTGTTATATATATAAAACAGGTACACGGTAACAGACGACAACCACAACAACAAACAACAACCGTCACTGTTTTTTATCGTGCGGTTGTCGACGAAAACGGTTTTATAAATCGAGCAAAAAAAAAAAAAATCAAAATTTTGTTAACTGTTTGTTACGTTTGTTTGTTTGTTTGTTTGTTTCTATACCATTTAACACAACTTACGAGGACAATCTAATTCATCGGATATGTCGTACGGACAATCATTTTGACCGTTACACCTGAGAGATAAAGGTATGCACGGTCCATTTTCGCACCGGAATTCGTCAGGTTTACAAGGTCCTTCACCTAATACAATTTTTTTTTTTTTTTTTTTTAAATAAATTTTTTACCCATTATATATTCATACGACACAAATTTCCACAGAAATTGATAATAATAATAATAATGATGATGATGAATTTAAAAAAAGAAAAACTCACCGCAATTGAGTTCGTCCGAATAATCGCGACACTGGTAGTGACCGTCACACCTCGAACTTTGCGGTATGCATTGATCACCGGAATGACATGCGAATTGTCCAAAATTACACGTCACGGGTCCTGGATAACAATTTTCTTCGTCTGAACCGTCCAAACAATCTCGTACTCCGTTGCAACGTGAAGAACCGGAAACGCAATCACCCGTGTTACATTTAAATTCGTGCGGTTCGCAACCTGTGGAAAATTTTTACATGACGTCATCGATCACGAAACAAATGATACTGAAGGGAAGGAAGGGAGGGGAAAGGGGGGAAATCTTATTGAATTTTCATAATAATTGATATCGAATTTTAAGTAAAAAAAAAAAATATATATATATATAAGAAATTTCATGCAATTTCCCGGGGGGGGGAGAGAGGGGTAAGGGGAAATTCCAGAAAGAAAAAATAAATAAATAAAATGGAGGAGGAGAAGAAGAAGAAGAAACATGCAAAATTTCAAAAGTACTACTACTCGGTCATATCAATTAATTATTCTAGAACATTCCGAGTTGGCGGGAGAGTGAGGGAGAGGGGGGGGGGAAATAATAAAAAACTAATTTGTAAAACGTATGTTTGTGTGTTAAAATCTAACCGATACAATTTTGTTCGTCTGAGAAATCCCTACAATCGTATATGTTGTCACACCTGCGATTAAGGCTGATGCAACCCTGAGTGTCACAAAACCATTCGTTAGGCAAACAATAACCTAAATAAAAATCCGTTTGTGGTTTGGAATTGTTTTGTTTGGAACAAACAAAAAAAAAAAAAAATTAAAAGTGTTTTTTAAAAATCGCATTCTGTGATTGATTGATTGATTGTTTGTAAACATTAAAAGCCTTTTGCAATCATTCCGGTTTGTGTTATGTGTATTATGTGTATTCATATACTCACTGCATTTCTTTTCGTCCGAACCGTCTCTGCAATCGTAAGCTCCATCGCATTTTCTATTCCTTTCCACGCACTGACCGTCATCGCAAGTGAATTCGTTGTGACTGCATGGCCTCAAATCGGGTGGGAAACAATCGGCTTCGTCGGATCCGTCGTTGCAATCGTGCACTCTGTTACATTTAGCAGATGATGGCACGCACATACCATCACCGCAAGTGAATTCGTGTTCCGAACAACCGACTCCACCGGGTCCGCCAGCTCCACCGGGTCCACCGGCTCCTCCGGGTCCACCACCGGCACCTAAAAACCGTCAAAGAATTTTTAAAAAAACCCGAATAAAAAAAAAAAAAAAAAAGAAAGTTTAATTAACAAGCGACGAGGCATAGAGTCTAGATTTAAAAAAAAAAAAAAATTTTAAAGAAATGAAAAAGCCCGAAGCTCGTTAAAATGCATTAAACGGAGGACGCCATTTTTCTTTTCTTTTCTTTTCTTTACCATTTCATAATTCTTCTTCTTTCACGAAAGAAAAGAAAAGAGAAAAAAAAAAAAAGGGAAACGTTTGCTTTATATTTTTAGCATTTGTTAATAACATTTGCGTATAATGATTTGTTGAAAAGGAGAATGGGGGAAAGGGGAGAAGGGGGAAAAACATAAAATGTTTCATGATTTCCACAGCAAGAAATGTTTTTTCTTTTTTTGTCGTGGTTTTAATCGCGCTGAAATTTAAATGATATTTAAATGATTATTACAAACTCACACACTTCTGACCAAAAGAATGCAACCGAACAAAAAAAAAAAAAAAAAGCAAAAAAAAAAAAAAAAAGAAAAGCTCGTGCAATTCCCAATTTCGAACCATATCCAATATTAATAATAACCTGTAAGAAAGCTCAAAAGCGATTTAGAATAGATGATAGTGGGGAGCAGGGCGTAAGGGGGGTACATACGCATGATTCGCACGTAACCAAATCCTATTTAAAAAAAAAAAAAAAAAGTAATAATAATAACCGGAAACGGAAATTTAACCGTTTTTTCTGGTTTATCTTGTTAGTTATGATTAACGTGTTTTATTATTATTATTATTATCGTATCCATCACCACCATTTTAATTATGAATGAGCGTGACGTGAAAATAATTTAAGAAAGTTTATGCACAAGACTAAAAGAAAATAAAAAGAGAGAGAGAGAGAGAAATTTCTTTCTCTTTTTACATAAAAAAAACCAAGGAGCTAGCGCGATGTTTGTGTTGGTGTGTTTGTTGGTGTTTGTTTGTGTTTGTTGGTGTGTTTGTGTGTGTGTGTGTGAGGATAGTGACTTACAGTTAGCTTCGTCCGAACCATCAGTGCAATCCGAATAATCGTCACAAAGATAATAATTCGGTATGCAAAAACCGTTATTACATTGGAATTGATCAGCTTTGCAGCCTGAAAAATCAATCAAAGCGTTTTTCCCTTAATAATAGGGTTTTTCATCTTAATCCTCCGGATGATGATGATGATGATGATGACGTCATCATAATAAATCATTTTCTCATCATTCCGGATAAAATATTGGTTTGTGTTTTTTTTTTTTTATAAATAAAAAGTTAGTTTCTACTATTACGAGTGTGAAATGTGTTTGTTGTGGATAAAGATTAAACGTTTTTTTACTAAAAAATGTGTGTGGGGTGGGGGCGGGGGGGCGTATTTTGTATGCTTTTTAAATGTATGTGTGTGTGTGAATGTGTGTGACTCTTTTCCAATTTTCTTTTACGTTTCGGAATTTTTGGCATACGCACACACACACACACACACACGATGGTATCAAAAATGCAAAAAAATATCCCGACCGGAATCCCCGAATAACTACTTCAACCAAAATCAAAAAAAAAAAAAAAAAAAAAAAAAAAATCTACTATCTACTCGGCAATAATTTCATTCATATATATGTATACTCTATGTACAATTTTATTTTATTATTATTATTATTGTTAATTAATAAAATCCATCATCCATCATTTCGACTCCTCTCCGCCGTTAATAATAATTAATATTATTATTGAAATGATGATGATGATGATGATGATGGTGATGATTTTTCTTTCTGTTTGAACTAAAGCAAAAAAAAAAAAATTATATAATTAAAATGAAAATGAGTCTTGATTGACGAGGGAAAATGTCACGTGATTTCCCACGTGATTTTGTCACCGTTTCTGCAATGTAAATATTAAATTAGTCAAGCAAAATAAAAAAAAAAAAATTTTTTTTTTTTTTTTTGACGAAAAAGAAAATCTTTGAATCGAGTTTTAAATCCAAAAGAATAAGGAAAACGTTTTTCTAAAAGTTCGACACAATGCCATCTTTCGTCGATTAGTATAAACTAATTAAAAAATTTTCCGAAACCTCGAAAGGATTTAAACCTCGACGACAATCCCATCTTTCGTCAATTTTCGTAGAAAAAAAAAATTTTTTTTTCTGGAAAAGCTCGAAAGGATGTAAAGCTCGAAGACAATGCCACCTTTCGTCAAAAAAAAAATGTCGGTCGATTCTTTCATTCCGTAATGATCATAAGAATGATGATTATGATGATGATTATTATTATTATTATTAATATTATGTCGATGGTATTGATAATAATAATGAATTTCCATCCGTGATGCGAACCATGAGGGGAAAAAAAAAAATGTTTTTGTTGTTAACATATCTGTAATAAATAAATAATTTTAAAACCGGATATCCGGTTTCTCTATATCTCGTACTTGATTCGTTATAATCGGTGCAATTTTTTTCGTCGCTACCATCGGGACAATCGATTCGTTGATCGCATTTACTTTTGAGACTGATACAAAATCCTGATCGACATTGCCACTGTTTTGTTCCGCATCTTGTTTTGCTCTCTGATTTGATGATCGTTTGTTCGTAGTAGACGAAAACAAACAAAAACAAAAACAAAAAAAAAAAAAAAGCGATTGAAAAAAGTTATCGCGCGCAAAAAAACAACAAAACAACAGCAGCATCATCGGCGGTAAAAACAACAACAGCGACAGCAAATAATAAAAAAAAACAAAAACAAAAAAAATCATTATTATTATCATTAATTTTTTTTTTTTTATTGATTTTGGATGAGTCGAAAATTTTTTTTTTTTTATTATTTGTATACATATCACACTTCAAATCCATTCTATGAGTTATTATCATTATTATTTTAACGCATAACCAAAAAAAAAAAATCAAAAGGAAAAAAAAGAAAAGAAATAAAAGAAAACTTACCGCAGTGTACTTCGTCACTTCCGTCGCGACAATCTTGGTGACCGTCACATCTTTTTGACGAAGCCACGCACGAACCATCTTCGCATTTGAAATCTTCATCGGCGCAAAGACCTGCGAAAAGCAAAAAAAAAAAAAAAAAACAAAAAAAAAATTAAAAACGGAAATGTTTCCGAGGAGGAAGAAGGGGGAGAAAAACCGGAAATAGAGAGATAGAGAGAGAGAAAAAAACTTTTAAAGATTAATTATTACACGTGTGCGTAAGATCACAAAACACGCACGTGCACGTGATTCAAAGCACTAACATGCATTTATTAAAAAAAAAAATAATTTATTTGTTATGATTATCGATCGATCGATCGATCGATCAATCGATTCGCGTTCGAATCGAAATTTTAGTCTTTTCGTAAAAGTTTTTTTTTTTGTATTCACATCGCCTTATCCTACTTACCAATTTTTTCAATATGGCGGTTTTTTTTTAAAATAAGCGTAACGTACCTTTCAAAAATTAAACAATCGTCATGCACCGTAAACGGTTTTTTTTTTTTAATTATAACACGATTACGCGATGCGTATAAAAAGAAAAGAAATGAAAACGGTGAGGTTATTATTATTATTAATAAGGTCAGTCGAGGGGGGAGAGGAGATGCAGGTCGGATGATTAAAACCGGAAGAAGAAGAAGGATTAATAATAATAGACTAACACACTTGATTGAAAGGATTTTTTTATTGTATACTTACCGGGACAGTTAATTTCATCGGATCTATCTGAACAATCGGGTACCGAATCGCAAACATAGGTCGAAGGTATGCAAGCTCCATCTTGACATGTAAATTCTGAATTGCTGCAAGGCGGTCTCGTTGTCGTGTCTGACCAAAAGCAAAAAGGTAAAAACCCAAAAGCGTTACTATACATAAAGCTAAACAAGCCTTCTTATATAATATGTACGTGTTTAATATGATAAACGCGCGCAAAGTGCTCGCGTGCGCGTGTGTGTGTGCGTTTGATTCGGATGGCGATCGTTGACGGTTAAGAGACGTGTGTGTCTTATAAAACATTTTTTTTTAATCTTTTTCCCGTCACCATCCTCGTCAAAAGTACCAACGTGCCAACGAAGCAATATGAAATTAAAATACCACGATCGCGATGATGGTGGTGGTGGTGGTCGATATGCTCCGCGTGACGTCATAGCATATAATTTTTCACATTTGTGACGATGTGCGGCGCTGTCATCGACCAACACACCCCCCCACACACACGTGACCGATCGTGATTTTTTTTTATCACCATTCGGCTCCCCTGATAACCCCATGCTCGGATGTTTTTAAAAAATTTCACCGACCACGTGTCCGCCACCTCGAGCACGTGGCATCAGGCAAACCGATTTTCTCTATAATATTATACTTAAAACTAATAAAAAAAATTTTTTTTTTTTTTGTGATAATAATTTAAACTTACGACGTTAAACAACGCAATCATCCATTTTCTATAAGAAAAAATTAATTAATTTGGATAATAAAAACCTAATTAACAGCTTTTACAACTTCGGCTTGATTTTACTATTAAAAAAAAAAAAAAAAAAAAAACCTGATGGTCTGGGAATCCCCTATCAAAATCAAGCCGATGATAATAATGATAATATACCCGAGACGTTTTTTTTAAAATCGAGATAATAATAATAAATGCAGGTAATAATAATAATAATTATGGCGCACATTTATTTATTTATCTATTTAAAAGTTAGCCGGTTAAAAATGGCGGACTACAAAAGCTTCTTTTTTTTTACTTATTTATTTATTTATAATTATTATTTATATATATATTAAATTTAAATTTAAATTTTAAATTACGCGCGAATTATTAAAAATGAAAGAAGCGTTTTTACTTTTTTTTTTTTTTTGTTTAAATAAAAAAATTAGTCACAAAAGCTATTAAGGTTTTTTTTTTTTTTTTTTTTTTTAAATTTACGTCGGGTACGAATCGTTTTGTAATGAAAATTAAAAATACGCGCGTTTTGATGATAATAATAAAATTCGTAAAAGTTTTAAAAAACGCGCGAAAAAAATTTTAAAAAAAAAAAACTTTTATTCACAAAACGCGGTAAAACGCGATAAATTTAAAATGGCGGGTTTTCCCCTTTCCGATTTCTAGAACTACGTATAAATTACGCGCGTTTTTAAATTTTAAATTAAAAATACAGGAGAGAGGCGGGAAGGGGCGGAAACCGTCCATCGTACCCGACGTAAATTTTTTTTTTTTTTTGTTTTTTCGTGAACATAAATTAAACCTGCAAAATAAAATAATAATAATGATAACGATAAGATGAGCGTAATGATGATGATGATGATAATAATAATAATATAGATGATGATGATGATGATGTTTATAATAATAATAACGATGATGATGATGTTTATAATAATAATAAAAAGAATAATAATAATAAGCGAAAGCTGTGAATGACATAAAAACTATTTACAACAAATGTTACACCCAAACAACTGTTTGTTTCTTATCGATAAGACAAAAAAAAATAATAATAAAAAAGTTAAAAGCCAAAAAAAAAAAAAAAAATTTTTTTTTTATTTAAAAAAAAAAAAAGAAAGCGTTACCAACAACAGGACAGTTAATTTCATCGGAAGCATCATCGCATTGCGTTTTCCCGTCACAACGAAATTTCAAAGGTACGCAATATCCGTCGTGGCACTTGAAGTCGTGATCCTTGCACTCTGACATTTCTCCTTCTTTTTAACGGTAAACAAAAAGCAGCCCAAAAAAAAAAAGAAAAGAAGAGAAGAGAAAAAGAGAGAGAAAGAGAGAGAGAGAGGTAAAAGAAATTCAAAATAATTTTTGTTTTTCGATTACGTCGTGTGTATGTGATACGTGTGCGCAAAAACAAACGACAAAGGGGAGAGACTGGGGGGAAGTGGGGGGTAAAATAAAAAAAAAGAGACAGAGAGAGAGAGAGTGTGAGAGAGAGGAAAAAATGTTTTGTAACCTCGTAATATTTAAATCTCATAATAAAAATCATCATTCCCTTCATCTTCTTCTTCATCTCCCTCGTCATTCGAATTAACAAAAAAAAAAATTCAATGACGTCACAATTTGTTTATATTTGGGGGGTTGGGTGGTGGGAGAGGCAACAAAGGGACAATATTTCCGGGTACGAAGGGGGAACGAAGATGCCTTTCCATGTCAAAAAAAAAAACAAAACAAAGGAATAACTACAATCCACCAAATTTTTAATAATAATAATAATAATAATAATAATAATAATAATAATAATAAGCAGGTAAGCAAATAATATATATATATATATTAAAACTACAACTGCTACAACAACCAAAAAAAATTACTACTACTACGGGAGGGGAGGGGAAGGGGGCGCGTATATCGCTGTCAATATGCTGTTAACAACCATTAAAACCAGGATTTAGCCAGTCAACTACAAATGGCAGCAAAAGATTTTCCTCATTAATAAGAAATGAATGAATCGTCGCGCATCGGAAACAAACACAACCGCACACAACTACTAATCATATTAAAACCTTGAATAAAAGCATGCTTAAAGGCAATACAGGCTTGTAATGGATGGCACTACTAATACTACTAATTCTACTACTACAACTACTAATAGTACTACAACAACACCAGGCATTATATAGCAAAACCACTACTACTGACAAAATCAAATTACTACTCTCTCGGGTAAATAATTCCGTCATCGCGTGTCGCATTTTCTATCTTTTCTCTTATTGTTTGTTTGTTTCGATAAACAACTTACAAACGACGGGGGGTGTGGGGAGCGTGGGAGCGTGGGGGGAGTAAAAAAAAAAAAAAGAAAATTTTTTTTTTCTTTCTTCTTCTGTCTTTACGGATTCCACGTCGTCGTTTAACGTTATTATTATTATTATCTTTTTGTTTGTTTGTTTGTTCGTTTGTCGAACGTTTGTTTTTCGTTTAAACTCTTGTTCTTCTTCTTCTTCATTTTTCGCACGCATTGTATTTCTTTAAAACTTTTTTTTTTTGTTTGTTTGTTTTGTTTGTTTACCTGGACATCCTCTCTCATCGCTTCCGTCCAGGCAATCCAAATATCCGTTACATCTAGACGATATCGGCATACAATCAAACGGATGTTTGCATGTCCAGTAGTTAGTAGGACACAGTCGAACCCCTGCACCTTCACAGTTCAAGATTTAGCCGGTAAGTCAAATTTTTAGCAATACCAGAGAAAAAAAATATATAAAAAAAAAATAAATAAAAATAATAAATAATAAATAAATAGTAATAATAATAATAATAATAAATAAAATAAAAATTGACACCGTAGTAATAATAGTAAGACGGGCGGGGGAGAGGGGGGAAGTTGAGAAATAATAAAAAATCAAAAAGTGATGATTGAACGTGGAGGAAGAAAAATAAAAAAAAATAAAAATTTCCCGCAGCCAAAAAAAGAAAAAAAAATTAAAAATAAAAAAAATAAGAAAAAAATGATAATGATAATAATAATAATAATAATAATAGAAAAAAAAAAGAAACCATTCGACGAGAAAAAAATTTTTTTTTTTAAATACCAACGACTCGAAGAAAAACCAAAACGTGTCCGTAGAAAACCTGCATTCACATTGCCAACCATCGAAAAATTAAAAAATAAAAAAAATACGTGCGCGAGTATAACCAAAAAAACCGACCGAAGACCCCGAAAAATTAGAAAAAGGGGAGAGGGGAAGAGGCAGAGAAAAAATACAAAAATACAAAAAAAAAAAATCCCTTCTTGCACCGTCGCCATATTTTTTCTACCGGAAGTCTTTTTTTTTCCCTTCTCTTATTGTCTGGGTGTACAATTGATTGTTTGTTTGGTTGTTTGTTTGTTGCGTGTTTAATAAAAATAATTATAAAAAAAAAAAAAGTGAAAAAAAGTGAAAAAAATAAACCAAAAAAATGAAAAAAAAAAAAAAAAACAAAAAAATGAAAAAAATAAAAATGAAAAAAAATAAAAAATAAAAATGTGAATACACATTTTTTTTTGTGACATGCGAAGCCGATTTGAAAAAAAATCACATTCAAAAAAAATAAAAAAAATAAATAAAAAATCAGGGATAGAGTGCGTGGGATACGCGTCAACGCACGAACGCGTGAAAAAGGAAGTAAAGAGGACCGGAAGGAGAGGAGAGGAAATCGGGAAAACCAGTTGAGGAAAAAAAAAAAAGAGAATTTTCCCACCGTGTATATATATATACGTGCGTTCGCGCGCGTGTGTGTTTGTATGTGCGTACGTGTGTGCGCACGTGTGTGCGCACGTGTGTGTGTATGTGTGTGTGCATTCACTTACCACAAGAAACTTCGTCGCTTCTATCACTGCAATCGGGTACTCCATCGCATTTCCTCGATAAATCGATACACATACCGTTGCTGCATTGAAATTGATGAGAACCACAACTCGCTGAAAAATTTTAACGGCCATTTTTTTTTTTTACACGTGTAAAAGCACATTTAATAAAAATTTGTTGTAAGCTTGTGTTCTCGAAGTTGTTGTCTTACACAAATAATATGCGTACATTCACGCGTGGAAACCTAACAAACTATACATATATATATGTGTGTGTGCATACGTACGAGGTGGTGGCGGCGGAGGACAATCCCTTTCGTCACTTCCGTCTCTACATTCCGGATATCCGTTACATCTTTGATCTCTTTCCAAACACATTCCGTCACCGCACGAGAATTGATCTCCCGAACAAGATGGCAATACGGGAGGTTGAGGAGGCGGTTGTTGACAATTTTCTTCGTCCGATCTATCAGAACAATCGTGTACTCCGTCGCATACTCTCGAAGATGGAACGCATCTCGATTCGTCGTGGCATTTGAATTCGTCTCGAGCACATGTAACCGCTACGTGAAAAAAATAATTTTAACGTGTTTTCACATAAGTATATAAAAAAAACCCTAGTGACACGACAAAAAAAGCGCCTTTGCGTAAAAAAAAAAAAAGAAGAAGAAAATCAAGAAGTTATGTTGTTGTTGTTTTTATTACGTATATAAATAAATAAAGCAGCAGACGATTTTAATCTACGCATCTTATTTTTTTTTTATCACGCAAATCCTGTCGTCGTCGTGGAATTTTTCCAACAAACCAATAAGAATCGATGGACTACGATTGTTAATACGCGGCGTAATACAAACAAAACGCGTGCGTTATTTATCAATCATCATTTAATAAAAAAAACTCAAATTTTCGCGTGTCATCATCATCATCATCCATCGTGAATTATTTTTAACGTAATAAAGCTTATCTATACAAACAAAACGCACGCGCACACACGCACACACACTCCCATAAGTTAATTAATTAATCACGAAAGAGTTATTGTCGCAAACAAACAAACAAAACAAACAACGGATAAAAAAAAAAAAAATGAAAGTTTACAACACATAGTTTGTTTACACTTTGTTATCGATATTAGTTTCTAACATTTAAATGCATTCGCGATAATAATAATGATTTTATTAATTTGCAAGAGGGGGGCGAAATGAATGAATGAAAGGAAAAAAAAATCAATTTTTCACTCGAATAGCAACAGCAGCAACAGCGGCAACAGCATTTTGATGTTATTAAAAGCCACCATGTTATCACACGATTCTTACCGACGCAATTTCTTTCGTCCGAATCATCATTTGGACAATCAACTTTCCCATCACATCTTTCACGGTGATCAATGCAACCGCCATAATCACAAGTAAATTCATCCGGACGACATGCTGTTTTTATGGAAAAAAAAAAAAAAAAACAAACACAAAATGTCACGTGATTAATAGAATAGAAAAATGATAATGATAATGAATGTTATATAAAAATTACATTTGTTAATTTAAAGAAGAAAAAAAAAAAAAATCCCGCGTGAAAAATAAAAATCAAACTCTCCCCTCCCCTCCCTCCCACTCTGTCTTCCCGGTTGTTAATGATAAAAGACAAAACAAGAGCATACTCATGCTTTGGTATGAATTTCGTTATTACGAATGATGAGAAACCGAAAGAAGAAGGGGGGGGGAGAAAACAAAACAAAACAAAACAAAACAAAACATGCCGGAAAATTTCATTTAAAAAAAAAAAAAAACAGAAAATTTTCCCCCAATTAAAAAGCAAAATCTCGACAGCCGCAGCAGCAGCAGGAGTATCATCATCATCAACAGCAGCATCATCAACATCAGCCGCGATGGAGGCGTCACACGTCTCCTCCTTCCCCCCCTTTTTTTAGTTTTAACACAACATGCGTTCATATCATCAACCCCTTAATCATGCCATCGACACAACACGTACTTGTTGATTCCGTGGGTTCCGATGGTGGACAACTCCACTCATCGGAATCATCATTCGGACAATCTCCCTGACCGTCACAAAGAAGTCTTTGATCGATGCACCCTCCGTATTCGCAAGTGAATTCATCAGGTCTGCAACCTGTATACGATCCCATACGTTCACGCCACAATTTTTTCCAATAAAAAGAAAAGAAAATCATTTTTTTTTCGTTAGTAATTTTTTTTATCATCAAACTCCCCAAACAATCATAATCTTCACGCGCAAACCCGCGAGGTCCCTTTCCTCCTTCTCCTCCTCCTCCTCTCATAAAACGATTACACTACCTGAATCGGGTGACGACGGCGTCGGGGATTGATGACAATCATTTTCATCCGAATAATCATAACAATCGGGTTTTCCGTCGCATTTATTATTTATATCGATGCAACTTCCGTCTCCGCAAGTAAATTCATCCGGTCTACACGCTAAAAAAATTTTTTTTTTTTTAAACAAACGAACAAATTTTTAAAACAAACAAACAAACAAAGAAATTTTGACGAAAAAAAAAAAAAAATCTTGAGCTCGGGAACCTTCAAAAAAAGACTGCAATAACAATCACAAAAAATATGAACAAACAACGACTTTTCCAACCCGACGATTGTTTTTGTTTTTACGATAAAAAAAAAAAGAAAAAAAAGAAAATGGCGGACGGAAACTTACTGCAATCGTATTCGTCTTCACCGTCTGGACAGTCTCTGTAATGATCGCACCTTCTGAAATGTTCAATGCATTTACCACTTCTACACCTGAATTCTTCCGGACTGCATTGAGCTCCTGTAACAAGACAAACAAACAAACAAACAAACATTAATAAAAATATACTCGTGATGATGATGATGATGATGATGATGATGATGATGATGATGATGATGATGATATTAATAAAAATCAATTGAAAAG